CGTTAAATCCAAAGCCACAAAACATGCTTGTTTCTTGAAAACAATCAGAAAAAGTAGGTCTCCCCAAACTTTTGGTAAGCAGTGCAGCTGAAAAAGTTCATTTACAATACGAGCAGTGTTTTTTTTTAATCCATTAACGAAACCTGCAGCAACAATGAGGCACCAGCTAGACACCTGTTCCATCCATGTCATTGATAAAGGCCCCCCCCCGACTCGTACTCATTCTAGCACAGCCATTTGTGGCTCCTTGCTGACAGCACGAGGGCATCGGACACCTGGCAGAACCCTACCATGGCCCACAAGTCTCCTCAGTGACAGGAGATGGTTGCCAGGTCCAGCAGAATCCTGCATGCCAGGGCAGGGTGTTTGGAATCCCAGCGCCCGCATGGCTGTGAGGGGTTGGGGAGGGGCTCATTTGCTGCCCCTGGGACAGGGGGTGGGCAGGAGGTGGGACACTACAAGCTCTTCCCTATAAGGTCATCTCTCTGGGAGCCAACAATAGGAGCTCAGGGTGGTTATCAATCACAAGCTGCAAGCAGTGGCCCACCGCGTTTGATCTGAGTGGGGTGTTTCTCTTGTTCACAGCTCAGTGGACAAGGCATGAATCAAACGCTTATAACACTTTTGTGCCACCTATATTTCTACTGCGCTGTGCAATGCACAAATTGATACTAGACAAAAACAAAAACAAAAAAAAGCCCAGAGAAGATGTCCTTAGATTTGTTACCCTCAGTCCCATCCATCTAAGGAAGAGGTCATCAGTACTGGTCCTGGAAGGTTTTAGCCCAGCAAAGTTTGGTGATTTCCCTGCTCAAACCCACCTGATGTAACTCAGCAGCTAAATATGTTTATCAGATGTTAAAGAAGGGGGGAAAAATATCACAAAACTGTGCCGGACTGTGGAATGTGGCCCTCTAAGAGGAGAATGGACGACCCTTTCATCTTTGATCAGGGATTCTCAGCTTGAGTCCTGGACCATTTCAAGACAGTTTCCTTGTCCTAACACACCTAATCCACTTCATAAAACATTTGATAAAGTACCCGATGAGTTAAATCAGGTATACAGAAGCAGATATCTTTTGAAACTGACCACAACTGGAGCCGAGAACCCAGTAGAAAATCACTGTATTTCACTATTAAATTAACATATGTAATAGCAATTTGTCCTAACACTAAAGTGGAGACGTACGTATTCAAGGTCATAGCCTGCAATTATAAGCTTTACCTATATGATATATATTTTTATATATTATTGAATTGAAGATTTAACATAAAAGTACAGTTCAGTGAAAGTTGGGGTTGTAGCAAACTGTCATTTTCAATTCTCTGCGAAACGGTAATTAATCTAGTAAGAAAGAACAGAAATGCAAATGTTGCATAAATGTCACATCACTACAGAGGAGGAGGAGGAATGCAGTCTTTGCTAATTTTCAGAAACAAACATGTACTTATCCAGATAGGTGACGAATGAGACACACACACACACACACACACACACACACAAACTTCAGGGCTGTGAGGAGTTGACAGTCAGTCAGGACAAAATTGGCTGTGTTTGTAATTCTGTTCACGGCCAAGTCAGTTACAGTCCCTCAGTCCTTTGCAGACTGTGTGCTGTGCCACTGCCTGCGTCATGCTCCCAGCACACGCGTGGAGTGAAAAAGCACAGATGTCGGGTTATGAAATCCTCTCTAGATACAGCCAAAAATCCCAGGTGCCTCTCTGTTTGAGTTTATCATGCTAAGTAATTGTTCACTAATCCATCATTATCACTTCTATTACATTAGTATTTACCGACCCAATTGCTTATTCTGCGCAAGATATAGAGCCTGCTTAAAACACTCAGAGTGATGGAAATACTGGGGTTCAAGTCCAAAGGGGAAATTGGGTGAAAGGAATGTCCTCCAAAACCTAGAACAAGCATTACGTATAGAGATGGCATTTAAGTATCAATGGGTATCTGTACTGGGCTGATACTGGCAGAAAATGCTGGATCAGATAACGATGGGAAAAAAAAAAGAATAATTCCAATCTAATCCTGTAAAAAATCCATCCTAATGTAGTGTAACACCCGCACTCACTCAACAAAGTTTACTGCAAGTAACAAACCTGTCAAAAAGAACTATGACAAATAAACACCAGTTTAGACCGACGCACTGCAGTGATGTTACACCTCAACAAATACCGCAGTCAAGCCCGCTGCCTTTGCTCAAATTATGGTTAAACAAGACAAAACAGAAGAGGAGAACTAATCCATGAAGTGGAGAAAAGAGAGCTGTATAACCTGTCCTCTATTTTTATACCAAAATTAGACAGGAAAATTGCTAGACTGCTGGAAGTTTCAGTGCCAACATCAACCGTTGGCTGTCAGCTACTTATATTGCATTTAAATGCATTACAGAAATGTTATGTGTAGCTAGTCAAGATCGTGTTTCCAGGGTAAACAGATTTGTGACATGCAATCTTTTATTTAGCAGCTGCTCTTGAGTGTATCCAAACTTTCATGTTAATCAGTTCTTGTGTCATCTTGGTCTCTATACCTCTTAATATATAATAATAAAAATAGTAGTAATAAAATAGTAGTAATAAAAAAGTAGTGTAAACTGTTGGATTTGTGGTATAATGCAGTTTCGTGCTTACGACTGCACTACACCAGTGCCACGATCACACTTCCTTGTGTATTATTCCGTAATTAGTTATTAAGTCAAAAAAATAATAAATGCCATCAGTATCTACTAATATTCCAGGACTGAGTATTGGTATTGGAAAAGTAAAAAATAGTATATTGCCATCTCTAATCCTTTCCCAAATATGAACATTATTTTGGGAGTTTAACTTCAGTGAAAATATACAGGTGGAAACAAAAAACCTCACATAAGACTACAATAAGACAGGCAGGCATATTTGATTTTTTCTCCACAGATCCAGAGATATTTTCTCTTCTTTAAAGTCTAAAACACTTAAGCTGATCTCTTCAGTTCCTCACTGGACCACACAGACATGCTTGTTCAGCAAAGTCACATGGGGATTGCTTATCTAAACACACCGCGAAGTTTAAACAGAAACACAGCACGCACATCCAATCCAAACGTATTGCCCATCCGTAGCCTTAGAGGCATTAACCAACAGTTATGTTTCAATTACAGCGTGTGAAATGATTAAGGACTGTCAGTGACCTTTTCAAGGTGACACTGTTGTCCGTCTGGACCAAACCTCACGTCACACACTGCAATACTGCAAAGGCATAGGGGGTTATGGGAGAGAGCTGGGGGGGGGGTCAAACTCGGCACCTGTCATCTTCACTATTGTAACTGCAAGCTATAAATAAGGCATTCCATAATCTCGACAGCCTATCCCTGCTAAAAATAAAATCTACCGCTATGTTACAAAAAAGGGGGCAGAAAAAAAAAGAAGGGATGGAGCTAGCAAGCTCTCCACAAAGCATGCAGCAGCAGCAGCCTGTGCTAGGAGAACCCATCCGCCCTCAGCACCCGCACACCCACATATTCACAAATGTTCTTTAATCTCTGCGCAATCAATTACACACAACATAATCCGTTTTAGCCCAGCAAGTGTTTCAGTTTCTATCAGAATCTTATACGAGCCTGGTTAACTAGAATTAGCAAAATTTAGTATTTGAAACATTAATCATGAATGCAAATGAGTGCTTACTGTCACAGCACACACACACACACACACACACACACACACACACACGCTCTACAGAATACAATAAAAAGCCTAAAACACTCCTTTCAGAAACGGGTTTAACTTCGGAGATTTCCTAGAATCCAAACTAACAGAAGCAGCAGTCTCGAAATACATCAAAGTCCTAATCCTCCTTTCATTCCAGCATTATTCTGGGCTCTTCTGCATTTCTGCACATGAGGAGAGCTGCTGACAGAGCTGAGAGCTGTGAGAAGGGTGTGTGAGCAGCATCAGCAGTGAGTGTGTGTGTGTGTGTGTGTGTGTGTGTGGCAGAACAGGGAGGCTGAGAGCTCACTGGATGGAAAACAGCTCTGATATGGACCTGTAATGTGTATGTGTGGAGCCAGTGCAGCAGGATTAAGGATTACAGGACCATACCAACATACTACACTTACAGAACGGCTGCACAACTTTATCGTTTGTTATTCTTTATCACGATATCGAACTTCACAATTCTAGTACTGCAGATATCCACACTTTGCTGAATCATTGAATGTTTTATTGTGCGCTGTGAGGTCACAGACATTCTTTGAGTGTTTGAATCAAGACATTCATGTGATCTAACAAACATACATTATTTTGATTGAAAATAAAGCAGATTGTAATTATTTTGGTTAAAAATAATGCATTATTCATATCACAACAAAGCCATATTGTAACTGTAATATGTAGCCACAATAAGGTCCAGTATGTTGTCCACACTGTGCTAATTTATAGTATAGAAGTATCTGGCATTGGCTGATATATGCATTAAAAATATTGGCATCAAACAGATGTTAAGATTTAGCCAATATTTCAAACCGGTATTTGATGACGTACTCATTGTACTCCGGAAAACGCCAGATGACGCTGAGCTACTGCACTAAGATATCTGCATTTTATTCATTTCATTGCATTTATAACCCTTTAGAAAAAAGGCTTTATTTCTCAGTAATGCTAACTGTGGCAATTTCTTTCCAATTTCTACATATCATTAACGTGTACGTATCAGTCCATATGGGACATTGGCCCACAGTTCCTATATCAGTGCATCACTAATTTATAGGGAGGCAAAATGGGAGAACAGAATAAGCTATATTTTCTACATATACACACAACTGCAAATCAAAGGTATAGCATATACAACCGTACACCACCAGCCCATTCAGAATCATCATTACAGCCACAGACATCCTCACTAATTCACAGAGTCCATTTGAAATTACATAATAATAATTGTATTATGTATGTGAGCATTATGTTATATGAGTAACATCATTTATATTCATGTATGGTCATGTTTTCCCACTTACCAGCCACCTCCACAATGTCTCCAGGCACTATGTCTTTGGCCTTGATCCTCTGCACAGTTTTCCTGTCCTGGCGGTACACCTTCCCCATCTCAGGCTCGTACTCCTTAAGAGCCTCAATGGCATTCTCAGCATTACGCTCCTGTCACAGACAAAACCTAGTCCTTTAATTTAGATCATTTGATCACTTCATGGCCTAAAGTCTGTATAAAAAAAGACATTTTTGGAAGAAAAGAGCTTTCAGATTTTAATTGTTTTGGCAAGATTTCAAGCTGTTTAAAGATTTTCTTCCACGGAAGTGATAAGAGATAGAGTCAGTTCATTATAAATATAATTTTCTCAGAGAATTCTGGACTAAGACGCCTTTTAAAACAAGACCGAGGGACAGGGTATGTATCTGTAAAAGCCACTGTAAACACTCACCTGCCACACACCTACGATGGCATTGGCTATAAGAATAAGCAAGATTACGAAAGGCTCCACAAAGGCTGTGATTGTCTCTTCTCCCTCTTCAAACCAGGCTAAAACCTAGAGAAAAAGACAAAACCAATAATACAGAGAGAGAACACATGAGTCATCTTGACATGCAACTCCTGATAGGCCTCTGCTGGAGGGTCACAAACTCAGGCATCTTGTAGAGACATGTTACAGCACCATTCACCATCACTTTCTTACAACCCATAATCACTGGCGGGTACAGTCTATGGCCTCAAAACCCCAGTCTGACGTTTTAAATAGCCAAGCACATAAAGCCACAGTGAATATGTGGCTGTATGTGGGGTGATCTTTTCAAATGCAGACCTTAAGCTTAGAAACCGTATAAAAAAAATAAATGCAATGCAAAATGGTCACTGTATGCTGTCAGGGGAATCTGAAAAAGCTCAGATTAGTAGCTGCTCAAACATTCTTCAGGCGTTCGAGAGGTTGCAGTGTTGTAACGTTCCTGTTGTCTGGAAGCTTCTGAGGTTGCAGTTTTAGACACATGTAGCTACCAGCTGCAGAGATTCCTCACTGAGACTTTAAGGCACTCAACAGACCAAGTTAGTCAGCAAGTCCACAAAAAGAAGCATCAAAATCCTGGAGACCGCACATGCAAACGATGCCAGTGCAGCCTGGCTTTCTTCACTGCACTGTCGAGATGTTATCATCAATATCAGAGGTCTTCAAATCCAGACTTAAAAATCCAGTTTCCGGTCCTGGATTTTGTAAGTGTTGATAGGTAGGACACTAGACAGCCAATCAGTTACATCAACAGTTCAGTTAACTACCAGCGATTACAAAGTCCAGGACTGGAAACTGGATTAAAGGTCAGGATTTGAAGACCTCTGGTCCATATCTACTCCAGACTTTCATTACCATATAAAAAGCTTGGCCTGCTCATGAAGAAATTCATCGTTACTGTCAGACAAAACCCTTGTATGACCAAAATGGTAACTTTTCAGGATAAGGACGAAACTTTTCAACTGAAGTTAATGTAAAAATATTTTATTCCAAGTAATTTTAGAGCACTTCTATTGGTTATGACATCATGGCACTGTGACACAACATGAAGGACAGCAGGTGTTTTCAAATCATGTTAATAATTAAAACAGACAAAAATGGAGATGTGAGGTTTTGCCCTGACAGAGATGATACGCTTTAACATTCTGAACGATGAAAAATGTTTTATAGTGTGTGATATAGTGGTCTTAAAATGCTCTGCATCAACCTGAAGATGGTGATTCAATTGCACTGATTTTGGAATGTTAGATTAGGTTTAAACAATATTTAATAAAGCATGCATTCACTTTATGCTGTATTGTTACATAACATCTACATTTCTCTACTGTGTAATAGTACCTCCAGTCACATTTGCACTTTTGGAGGTTTGCTGTTTACAATAATTCTTAATTGTACCAAAATAAAAGAATCGATGCACTGAATCATTTGCTGAAGAATCAAAATCATATTTGACCATTTTAAGGTCACAGATACACAGCCTAGTGTTGCCCCTTTTGATAAGTTTTCTCTAGTTTTGCAGCTGAGAGTATTATATAGTAGATATGGGCAATGTGATAATATGTATTGTTATCATGATAAATGTTTTTTTATGGATTTTGTCAGTACTTAAGGAACACTATCATGAAACATGCAGTTGGTCAAAGAGAGCATAATTAGGTCTGTTTAACTGGATTAATTTTTATGTGTTCATTGCAAACCTCGGATTTTCGAGATGCATGTTGTGTACTGTCAACATGTCTTACTATGAAACATTTTGCCATATCGCTCATCCCTGTTATACAGGATATGTTCTGGGTATAGCTGTTTAAGACCAAGCAGACTGCACCCCCAAAAAAAAAAAATAAATGACACCACAGCCAAAGTTAGCATCCCAGTGCCGATCAGTAGGAGCCATGTTCCATGTGATGCCCCTCACATACTACCTGGTGGTCCTGGCTGTGAGCTCGACTGCCCTTCCACTTGGAAGGCTTGCGGTAATGGCTGCAGGCCTTAGTCTCCTGCCGTTAGCCAGTTAGTCCAGCTGCTGGAACAAGCAACCCCCCCCTGAAGGTCAGAAGCCAAATTTGGCGTGCAGCAATGCCCTCTCCCCTACTCCATTCAGCAGGAGCTGTCAAAGACAGAGCCCAACACCTCGCTATCTCTCAGCTGGGCAGCGGGCAGCTGGCTGGCATACCTCTCCCCGACCTGATGACCAGACCGGTCCGTAAAGCCATGTGGTTGAGAACTCACCACAGTGCATGCACACTGGACTTACTGGCTTAGCCAGCCACCAAGCTCAGAACTAGCTGAGCAAAGGAAATGCAGCATGCTCACTAACGACATAAACCGCAAACTGGACACGTGACCTCTGGATCCAACAATATTTCAGCATTTGATTTACAGAAAGAGGAAAATAGCACTGTTGTGCTCTGAACTTTGTTCTTAACTAATGTATATTAATGCAAAATTTTTTTGCAAAATGCATTCATTATAAAGATGCTTCTAAGGGTGCTTTTGTCATTTTTGTCATTCGTTTTATGCTGTACCGTACTAACGTCTATACTTCACCAATGTGAAATAGAGCCTCCAATCTCATTTGTGTTTTTGGAGGTTTTTTAATAATTCTGCGTTGTACTGAAATGAAAGAATTACTGATTCACTGAATCATTCCCTAAAGAATCAAAGTCAAATTGAATCGTTCTGAGGTCACGGATTTACAGCCTAGTGTGGCCTGTTTTAACAAGTTCTCTCTAATTTTCCAATTGAGAGTATTATATAGAAGATATGGGCAATATGACATATCTACCATTATCATGACATTGTGAATTTCAGGACATCTTCATACAATGTAAAGCATATCGCTGCTGTCAGAAGAAAACCTCGTCTCTCCAAAATGGTAACTTTACAGGAGAAGCAAAAAACATACTTTACTTTTATTGTAAGTCAATGGAACCAGACTTACAGGTAATTTTGGGCCGTTTCTTTTGGTCCATTTATCATGAAATTTACATGCAGTATAAAGGCAAACAGGCATTTTCAAATTATGTCAAAAACTGAAAAACGACAAAAATGATGATATGAGGTTTTGTTCCGACAGCACCGATATCCATGTATATGCCAAAACTTTTTCACCAACATGTTAAGTTCAGGAAATAAACAGCAATTGTACATGAAGGTGTGCAAGAGGATGATGTGTTCACTAATTTTCACTTCGAAAATCAACAAAACACATCATTTGACCAGGGAACTCAAACTTTTGCATACAACGTCACAGTCATGCTAACAAACAACAAAGATCCATGTGCGGGCTCAACTAATATTAGTGTATATCCACTACGGATATCAAGATAAAATGCTGTTTTTGTTAACAGACAGAAATGTCAGTGCTGTTGTGGAGCTATTCTTCCTCTTTGGGGGCTTAAAAGAAAAGTGGTTGAATATGACGGAACCTTTAAATGTGGCCACCATCATCTCTACAAGCTGCGATAGACCATTCCTTCCAGAAGCAATCCAGGCAAACGAAAGGAGTCTTTACACATCAGTCTAAGACAGCAGTGCACAACTCAGACGTCTTGTTTGCTGGATAGTGACAGACACTCGATCCCAACAAATGCTGTTATCACCATTCCCAAGGAGTGCAGCTTTCTCAGCTGTTTAACCTTCTGATCTGTGAGTAACCCAAGATATGGTGCAGACATGAGATGCTAACAAGCCATCTGCACCTCCACATGCACTCAAAGCAGCAACAGGAAAAAAGAAGCCTCATCCAAATTCCCCCAGCCTGCTTTAACAAGTAGTACACAGCTAATTAGCATTACTGCTCTGCGACATGCAAACACTTGCACTGTTGAAAAAAAAAAAATAAGGACTTTACCTAACCATACTTTACGCTTTAGGTTAAATTCAAATATTCAAACATAAAAATATGGTTATCTAGTGACGCTTACGCATTTTAAAGTTCTGTGAATGTCAATTACACTTACAAAAGATATACAAGCTGCCAGTAGAAGAATCCGCACAAGTAAATCCTCAAATTGCTCAATGACCAGCTCCCATATAGATTTTCCTGGGAAGAGATGAGGATGAGGTCAGAATGCATCAACGCGAACGGTAATGGTGAAACAATAAATAAATAAATAAATAAATAAATAAGAACTTTACCTTCCTCAGCGGGCAACTCTGCACACAAATATTTGTTGGGTAAGAGGACAAAAAAATGAGAGAAAAAAGTCAGTTAATATCACGCTGCAAACACTTTTTATTAAACTTGTATTAGAGACATTAAATAGAGCCCAGATTCAGAGGGTTCCTGCTACATTAGCCATGCTTTTATCCACACTTGAGATACAGAGAGCTGCATTAGATGGTTTTGTTCAGCAGAGCAAGTACTCTCTGTGGGAGATGTGCACTATTGGAAAGATTCTGGCTGGTAGTTTCTAATCAGGCTTTCTCACTTCTTCCCCTGAGAACAGATGGGCCGTTATTATAGACTAGAAAGGCTTCACCAAGTCTACAAATAGCAACAACTGCAAGCCTCGTCAGTTCCCGCAACTGTAAGAACATGTTCTTTAGGCCCTAACGTCAGAAAAGCCAAAACGTCAGGAAAGATCAATCAAATATCACTAATCATAGCCTTAGCCTTGTGTAGCTAAAATATTATATACAAAACCATAATCAGAAAATCTGATAAAGTAGTTTAACTTGATGTGTAAAATACAGTAGTACAGACCAGGGGTTCTCAAAATGTTCCACATCAAGGGTTGCCTTATTACAAGAAAGCAAAGGAAAAACAAAGCTCAACTTTTTTTTGCTTATAAAATGTTTTTTGGGGGAACTTTTCAACACAGCTTTGTATGGGTGACTCATGCAATACATGATGTGCATCAGTGAACCTAAAATATCAAAAGAATGGTAAAAATTGTAGTGACATTTTTCTATGGCAATGGGCAAATATATACATTTTAAAAATATATAATAGTAATAAATAATAAAAAAAATAAGAAGAGCGAAGCTACCTTCATGCATTAAGATTGTTTATCATTTGAAAACAATTAATATTTTTTATTGAATTTTTTTTCAGCAACTTTTATGACAAAGTGCCACCAGCAGCACACTATGGGCCTCTGCAACCTCCTCTGTACTGGCAAAGACCACCTAAGGGTGCTTCACCACCCAGTTGTTGAGAAATCCTGGTCTAGATGACAGATGATGAGGACAGATAGCCAAAATAAAAGTAGTGTGGACAAAAGCATAATTCTTAGAACTGTTATACGGCACAGCTGGGATCACAGTCTGCATTCCTTTAAGATATGCATCACTTCTACCTGAGATGAGAGCTTCCCGGGGCTAAAGACGATGTAATAGAACTAAAACAAGGGTATTCAATTCCCAGTGTCCAGCACAGTTTAGGACAGCACTCCTGTTTAAACTCACCTGTTAATTACCAGATTTAGTAGGTCTAAGGAGGGAAATCACTAAAATGTGCAGGACTGTGCAGGATTTGAAGACCCCTGAGCTAAAGCAAGACAAAGGTGAGAGTAAGGATGCCAATGACCTTGCTTTCACCCCCATGTATCAGCCTCAAATGCTCCTGCACATTCAGTCCAGGTTTGTAAAAGAGGCAAGAAAATCACAAGGACGTGTGTGATGACGTCAGCACTTGCGCACTCCTCGCCGGCTTGTACAGACGAGGAAACGAGCACCAGCATTTTTCTTAGGAAGCTGAATGTTACCTGAATCACCTCGTACCAAAAAAACAAAAACACGTGTGACGTACCGTTTGGCCCCCATTTCTCCCTCTGCTTTTTCACTTGGTCTAGCGTCAGTCCCGTGCTCTCGTTCACGCTCAAAAAGCTGTAAACTTCCTCCACACTCTTGGTGTGTGCGTTCTCCATGCCGCCGCTCGGTGCGTCTCAGCCGCAGCTGACTGACTGAGTGAGTGACTGAGTGAGGGAGTGAGTGAGGGAGTCAGAAAAGAAGGGCTGCTGCTTTCTCAGCGCAGAAATCAGAACAGAGCGCCTGTCTCAGCGGGCACCACGCACATTCACACCGACACCGCGTCCGGCAGGCGAGAAAAGCCAAACATGAGGCACCGAAACTTGTGTGGGGATGAAGAACGCGCTTTCCTTACAGGACTCTCTCCCCTTCTCGCTCTCTCTCTCTCTCGCGCGCGCGCTCTCCACAGAACATGCGGCTGAAAAACAGACGAAGGTGGTTCTCCCTCCCGGTGTCTTCGTATTCCCCAAACAGGCGCAGCTTGTCCCGGCTCAGCACATCACACGCACTTCGGTTCGAGCCCTGAGCTTCTCGCCAGGAACTGTGCCGGTGAGCCTCGTTCCCCTTCCCCGCGTCCAGTGGCACCCTGAGGCGGCGCTTTACTCTCGTTTTATCGCGGCTGCCTCACTGCTGCCCCCGCTCGGCGCGGCTGGCGGAATCCGGGAAGAGCCAATCAGCGCCCGCGAACGGTCTCGAGCTCGCGAGGCGAAGTTAGATGCTGAGGTGCAAACCAGCTAACCTCCTTATCCCGTCCGTCACACTGAGAAGGCATAGAAGACCATAAAGGGGAAATCCACCGAGTTTCCAAAATGTATCCATAATTCAGTGATGGAAATATAAACAGCGATTTGATGTTAAATAAATAATGTCTAGAGAAATTTACCAACACAGATTTTCTATACAGTGGTTCTGATAGGAACCAGAGGTCCGAATGTCTACGAGGCAAACATAGCCATTTTATTTACTATCCAAACCCACCAGTGAACCTATACATGTCTTTTGAGTTCTTATATGTAATGTTGATAACTGTCAATCTGGAAAAATACGTTTTCTTTGGGGGCTATTTTGCCTTAGAACATCCTTCATGTATCCCTCCACCATGAATGGATTAAAATACACTGATTAAAATACGTTTTAGTCTTAAACTTTGTCACACAACTACCGTAAAACAATGTCTCAGACATCAACCAGAGGATTCATAACGATTTTATATAATAACTTTCTGTGAGAGAGTTTTTGAATAGGACGTCTGGTTCCTATCACCTCCACTGTGAACAATTCTGACTTGGTAAGATTCTCTAGAACAAGGCATTTCACAGCAAACCACTCTGAATGACTTTGTTGACATGTTAACCATTTAATCATGCAGAAATTCTGAAAACTCAGTGGAGTCCCCCTTTAATAACATTGTGCTGCAGGCTTATTATCTAATTAGGAGAATGAGGAATTTAAATGTGGCTCTTGACATTTAAGGGGTTCCTTTTATGTTAAATTCATAATTAAATACTTAAAATGTAAACAAAGTCTTTTGGAGTGGTTTGATCTGAAAGGGTTGTAGAGAAAAAAATGTTCACAGTGAAGGTGATAGGAACCAGACGTCTAAGTGTTAAATGCCTTTAAAAGCTCCCTCACAAAAAGTTGTTATATGAAGTGGTTACACATACACTGTCTGATGTGTGAGATTTTTGCGTGAGATAGTTTTTAAAGAAAGATAAGTTTTGAGATGAAACATTTTTTAAATACCTTTGTGGCGGAGGGATACATGCAGTCTGTCGTAAGGCGAAATAGTACCAAAGATTTACCATTATTTTACTATTATTAACATTACATATAATAACCCAAGATAGATTCATATAGGTTCACTGATCATTTAAGACACCAAATAAAATCGATACACTTGCGTTGTACATATTGCATCCCATTTTCTATTGCAACTGTTGTAAAGAAAACCACGCTGCAAAGTTCCTCTACAATGGACCATTTCATGAATGACCACTATGAATGACCGTTATTCAACAACTGAACAACCCAGACATTTTGGAAAATTCAAATTCCCTTTTAAAAATGCCAGTTCCATCATTTCCGGGAATAGTTATTTGTTGATCGATCACTAACCTGGCACAGTTTACACCATTTTTGACCCCAAACATAGTCAGTTGGCCAAGATTTGTTTGGTGTCTTAAGTTGCATAAGTTATTTTATATTTTGAGGCAAACATAGCTGAAAACTAATGTATTATATCGCTGTTGTTGGAAGAAAACCTCCATCTCCAAAATGATAACTTCACAGGAGAAGGAAAAAACATACTTTACTTTTAATGTAAGTCAATGGAACCAGGCGTTTTGCCAAGTGATTTTGGGTCATTTCTTTTAGTCCATTCAAAATGAAATGTACAGACAATATAAAGCTTAACAGGTATTTTCAAATTATGTCAAAAACTGAGAAACTTCAAAAATGGAGATACAAGGTTTTCTTCTGACAACAGCGATATTAGCCTTTCCTTTAACTCGAGACTCTTGTTTGTGCAGTGTGCTTGTGAGGCCTGAGGTGTGCATGGGTAGTGTAAAAACCTCAGTTCACCAAAAGAGAAAGAAAATAGAAATGCTGGACGTGAATGAAGTCTAGCCGTGAACTAAATGTAATGTCAGGAGTGAATCACCATTAAAAACCCTTCCTAATCTGGTTTTACAATTAGTCTTGCTCTGAGAAACCAGCCTGGCATTTTCACACCTTATCAGCTCTCTCGGTTTTTGAATATTTAGCGCTTGCCTTAAATGATAGGGTACAACTTTATAGCTGTAACCAGACACTGAAGGCATCCCCAGAGACAGCTCTCTGATCTTCACAGATATAGTGGTGATGCATCAAGGAAGGTATCTAGCAGGCCAACTGGAGAAACTGATAAAGCCTTCGAGAAAGGACAAAAAAGATAGTGCTTATCTACAACCGTCACAGAGGCGTACAGATATGCAGGAGGTTTTTTCTGCTCTGCTCCTCATCAATGGACCAGTGAACATATCTCAGGACCTTGGCCAGATGCAAGAACAGACGAGAACTTAGTGGTTGAAGATATAAATGGCTGGGGGAGTGAGTGTGACATGCCAATGGATTACATGCAATAAGAGCAATACAAGTGTGTGAAAAGGACAGGCCGGCATGGAAAGCACACGTACAGGGCAAAGTCTCCACTGTATTTATTGTAAGACCTTTTCCTAGAGGCTGCACTCAAGCAGCTGGTGCCCACTATCAGTATGGATCTGCATATGTCCTGTTACCTCATTCAAGCAAGCACTAGTTATGCCACTACTGTCACACATAGTTTAAAGCTGCTATGATTGAGCCAGTTCTCATTCATGTCTGCATGTACTGTTTACATAGACATTGTTTGAATAGATAGACTAGGGAAAGGGGAAATTTACATTTGCAGTGTCCACAATGGTCGCATTTTGCCTATCCATGTAAATTGTGCAGAGGCCAAACAAGGGTCAAAAGCAAGACTGTTTTAAACATGTAATATGTTTTAAAAAGTTGTAAATGTTACCATTTTATATAGCATTGTCATGGCGTAACGTAAAAACATACCTTTGGTTGATTTAAATGTATGCTGAATTACTTTACACTGACATATATTTACATAATAATTAAATATCAAAATTTAAAGGTAAAAGAAAGTCAGACACCACCCTTTATTTTATTTTCAAAACATTACACTTTCAGCATCAGGAAAAAGCAGAAAATATACATTTAACAGTAAATTACAGTGAAGCCTCAACAGCTAAATATAGATATATATATTTTTTCAGTATTTATTGTGTCCACTCTTTGCCTTTATTACAGCTACCATTCATTTTGGGAGATTTGCATTCAGTTTTTTTCAAGAAATCTGCAGGGATATTTTTTCACACCTCCAAAGTTCAGTTTTAGAAGTTGGTTTTGCATTTTCTGTTTCTCACAATCCTAAAAATCCCAAACATATTCAGTGATGTTGTGGACTCTGAGGCAGTCAGTTTATTGCTCTGAGAAAACCAGCAGCTTCTTTGTTAAATTTGCAATTTTTTTACTTTTTTGTCAATTTACTTTTCTCAGTAAGGGCTTCTTTACACGTACACATCCTTTCAGACTCATAGCGCTCAATTGTCTCGCTCAGTTGAAGAATGGACTGAAACACCTGAGGATTTTTTCAGCTCTGAAGCAAGAGTTATTTATTTCATGAGGACAATTTTGGTAGTCTACCAGGGGCATGTTCAATCTCACAATATTGTGCACTGTTTTGCGACGGTTACCAGGTTGAATGACTGGTTTCATAAAAACTGTGTGAAACAGTGTGCAGTTGGCTGTGAGGTGCGTATCCTGTAGTTTGAAGGGTCTGTCAGAGGTGTTACCCAATCAGCAGTAACATGCATATGAACCCTGCTGTATTAAAAAGGCAGTGCACACAGTAGATTCTAATAAAGACCTCTACAAATGCGGCTGCTACAGCTTGGTGTACACAACAGCTGAAGATGTTTAGAGATTTATTTTGACGTATTAAACACATATTTAAACCCATTTATATCAGGCTCCAAAATTTCTAAGAAAAAAACATCAAGAATGGCCTTTTCAGCTGCCACAGTTGCAATGCTTGCATAACACAAGAGTGTTTAACACACCACTGTTTCCGTTTAAATATACATTTTACTAAATTTTGTCAGGGATGAACGCAGCCCAGGTCTTGCATGGTTGTTAGGATTCCCATTTTCTCTGTTCACGTGAATGAACCATGTGCATCATGAACTAACTTCAGATTCGGCTCTGCTGATGCTGAATGATGGCGTATGCATAGTAAAAAAACCCACATGAATTCCAGTCTGAGAGTTCTCATTAATGTCACATGGCCCTGAATCGGATATGTGTCCGATCTAGGACCACATATTAAATGCTACGTTCACATTGCCTGGCTGAAATCCGATTTTTTGGTTAGTGGCAGTAAACAGTGCAAAAACATCTGACCTTTTTTCACCTTCGTCTCGCTCTAATAATGAACAGCTCAAAGTGGTTTACAGCAAATTACTGATTAGGATGTGCGCATGCAGGTTGTTTCAGGACACAGGTTCGTTCACATTAATGACAGAATTGAGTCCCACACCAACACAAATGTGAACCATCAAATTAGAAAAATTGACTCAAAAAATCAGAACTGAGGCAAAGTGGATCAGGTCAGATTTAAAAAGATCAGATTTGTGGTCACTTGTGGTCAGAGCCAAACAATGCAAAACCAATACTACGTCTGTGCTGCAGTCACAGAGGCAACCACCATGTTAAAAATAGTTGCACTGATGCACTTAATGCCGGAGTCTAAAAAGTTGGAGTTGCTGTTTTAATTGGTCTTAGTGAACTACAGAGATCAAAGAAGCTTATGTGCTGACACTGCAAAAGCAACGTTTAAATTTCCAGAGAAGCAGTCAGAGCATTAACATCAAACTGAGTTGAAAAGTTCTGCTCGTGCACATGCAGAGACCTGTGCTTTATTTTCACAAAAATACAAGCATGACATGCAAATAAAAGATGGGCCATTTGTGTTTGCTTTCTTATGCACACTGCTTATACCTCCAATCCAATCTAATGAGTGTCCTAAGACAGAGAATCACCCATGTGCACTAACAGGTAGGGGAGGAGTTGTAGATGTTGCTCTGTTGATTACCTCTGCCCCTCGATGATGGAAACAAAAGAAGGGCCAGCCGAATTCCTAAATTGGGCAGCTCTTCTGCCCAAGGTCATGACTGTTGCTTCCCAAAATAACTGGGTGCAAGCGCGTCCAGAGTGTAACACTTTGTTCGCTGTTATCTTAGGCCACATTGAGTGAAGCTCTATTCTTAAAGACGTGTCAAAATGGAGACTGAGGACTTGTTTAAAAGATTTTCAAACCTCTTATCAATGAAGCACTTCGGAGAACATGTGTTCTCTCTCCCTAAAATTCAGGGCACTGCTTGCCTATCTCTGCTAATCTCTCCTAACTTGAGTCAATTATGTCCAAAAAAGGACTTTTTGCTCTGTCTCAAAAGTAGGACTGGTGTTTATTGAGGTTTATGGATAAAAATAGACTAAGAAGCACTTTTGAATGGTTTGAGGAGTCAGTAATGTCTCTATATGCACTGTACATACATTGCTCCAACAAACATGGTAACATACTTTTCCCCAATAAATCTGCTAATAGCTGGTTAAACTTGGAAAGCGTAAAAAATGCTGGAACACTCAACGGCTCCATCAGAGAACGAGGCGGTCCTCTCCGCTGTCCTGAATCACCTGGCCAATAGAGGCCTGGCTTTGGGCTCGGAGGTAACACTGCTTCTTACACTCCAGCAGCTGCTCCAAATCCTTCCACATGCGTACCTGCCTCATGTTGGGCCCATGGCTCTCCTTCACCTGCTTCTGCTGCTCTCGGAGTTTCTGCAAGAGCACAAAGGGAAAACAAGACCAATGTCAGTGTGCTTCTGAATGGCAGCGGAGACACTTTTAAATACAGGCTTGACACGAGCCAATAATAACAGTGTTAACAACTGAGTGCTTCACTTTTCTCTTCCATTGTTATTTGTTTACCCATAAAGTGTCATGTGTCCTGGTATTTTTTGAAGATGAGGTTTTGCGTTAAGCTGTTTAATCCTCTTTTGTCCATCATGATGCATAAACCGTGAGAAGTTGTTTGATTACTTGTCACTCCTAGCTCGTTGAAAAAAGCAGAAAAATTCTGTCGAAAGCGTGGATTTATGTCACAGTTCTGTAGGTAAGTAGGAGATATTTTATGATTTGAATTTCATGAACATTGTTCTGCATACAGTCTTGTTTTTGCTGTTTTTGACAGTGTTTGACATCAAAACAAACAGAAATGCAGACTTGAACATGCTGATACAGAATATAATTCCATGCAAATAATTATGTAATGTAAATCAAATAATGTAAATAAAAGGAACAAGCATAATGCACTTGCACTGTTCAGCAACATTTGTTGTCGTCATGTCAGAGGGATTGCCTGCATATGGCCCAATGATAATGTGGTGTATCATTGCTGTGTATTTCACATGCTTTGTCATAACTGAGGCATCGTGTAGCGTGACGGTACAGCATGTTGCAAAAGCTTTGGCAGAAATATAAGAGGCCAAGCCTCGGTTGTCACCTCTATCAACCTGTCCTAACCACAGAAGCCTAAATACAGGGAGAGAAACCAGGCTCTCCCAGTACAGCGTCAGGTTACACAGGTTTGACAGACAGCTTAGACAGCTCAGGTCCTTACCTTTCCCAAAGATTCCTGTTCTGCTATGTTCTTCATGTACTGCTCCCTGAAAAGAGAATACATGTTAAAACATCCCTTTTCTACCAGTTACTGATTAATGAATAGTATATTAATCATAGTAAAATAATCATCAATGATGAAAACAAGCGCCAACACACCTGAACAAAGCAAAGGACTGAAATATGTGGTATAGGTGTGCTGGGGACTGGGATAAAGCAAAAATGTGGACTGTCTGGGGGTCCTTGAAGACTGGGTTGGGGAACACTGGTCTTAGATTAAGAACATCGTTCAGGTGTTTTGGGTGTAGATATGGGTAATGGTGCAAATTAGTTTGTGGATTGGGTAATAGGACATCTGGAGTATATAAACAGGTAACGGTGCATTTGGGCTGCAGACTGAATAACTGAGTGTGGGTGTCAGTAATGGGGTGTGGATATGAAAAAGAGTGTCTGATCTAGTTGTGTTCTGCAGATCCTGGATATAAATTAGAAAATATGTGTGGATTCTAGACCTTTGCTGATCGATGCTAAATGGAAAGCATTTATCCGCATTTACATTTGTAATATTTTGTAAAAAAAATAAATTGAAAAGACATCTTTTGACTCCTAAATAAGGACTGATCCAATGTGATTGGGAAAACAGAGCATAGGACACTGTAGTAGAACACTAAAAGCATCAAGTCGAAGAAAATTGTCCTGTACTTCTACTCTCTAAGTGATGGTTCTGGCTAAAAATCTAATTTACCACACTTTCCCTTTATTTTTTAAGCTTGTTAGCTATATAAACTTTGCAGTTCTAGCAAACTTCAAATACTAAGAGGCAGATTTACTAAAAAAGGCATTAATTACTGACACCTTGCGCTGGGTGGCCAATTTAGAGGGATATCTACTATGCACTTCTATTTAAATGAACATAGGCACAACTTTGTAACTAACATGACAAGTGCCATATAAACCCGTTTGTATCACATGCTTTTTTTGTATGAAAGCCTGATTCCATCTAGTAGAAGAAACAAATAAATTCTGGTTCCAGTTGTGACTCATTAGGTCAAACCGACTTCTTTTCTCAAGCTTTTGACTCAGTAACTCAGTGCTGAGTCAATCTGGCCCTAAATGTGTCTTTGCTAATCAACAACATTTGGCATGAGAGGAAAACTGAAGAAATCTGATTTACACCATTCTTTTACAAAAAGCACTCCTTTACGGAAAGTGACAGCCCTATGGAGAGCCTATTGTTCAAAGAGAGCACATGCAGTAGAATTGTTTTGTGTTGACACTCAAAAAATTTACATATGTCTGTGTAGGTGTGAATAGTGTAGCCAAAACATTTAAGGGTGTGGCAGCTGTGGCTTTACCTGATAGACTTTTTCCTTGTTTGTGGATCAGAGGACACGTAGACCTTCATCTCGTCTGCCGCCCGCTGCATTTGAATTTCAATTACCTGTGAATGGTGATGACAGGAGGAGGGAGACAGGAGAGTAAGAGGGCAGTAGAATGTAAGGGGCAGCTGTGCTTTTCCTCTACGGTCTAGCAGGTAGCTCTTACTTCTCTCATGCAGTTGATGTAGTGATAACGGTTTTCCTCTTGAGCTATCTCCTCTCGCAGGGTCCTCACCTCCTAGACCAGATCAACACATTCAGAGAGCTTACTGGTCAAGCTATGTTCATCCGTATGTGGGCTTCAACCCCTACAATACACAATATCTTGACCTATAGGCCATTTGTTTGCATGTGCATGTACACTACAAGTGAAAAGTTTGGGAACACTTACTTTTACTAAATGCTTCTAGTACAAATGAGCATGTTATCTTTGTCAGTTTGCAACAACGTAACATTAATTAAAAGACAAAGTTCACTCTGCGGAAAACTATCACATGTAAATATCTGCAGAAGCATTACTTTTGGAAAAATGCCACGTCTCACCCATTTTAACCCCTTGTGATGTCGGCAGTCATCAGCATTCAGCATCAGTTTAAACTACCTTTGGGCTAAAAGGTTTTTTAAAAGAGAAATTCCACCGATTTTTCAAAATTTCTGTATAGTTTGATTGTTATGTTGTAAACAAATTTACTGGAGTGATTTGATGTAAATTGCTCCATTCTAAAGAAACTTAGTCAGAACTGTTTAGTGACGGTGATATGAACCAGACTTCTCAAGTGTTTAACGCCTCTAAAAGTTATTTTGCAGAAAATTATTACATGGGATTGTTACAAATACTTTGCCTGATGTCTGAGACTTTGTTGTATGTTAATTTTGAGATAAGGTGTTATGTAATTTTTAAAAATCCATTAATGAAGGAGATGTGCATACAGAAAAATAGTACCTAAAGAAGACCTAATATTTTAGACTTTACCATCAACATTACGTATGAAAACTCTTTCAAACTCTACAACTTTGAACATCTTTGTTTAAATCTTAATAATTGAATTATGCAGGAAGTTTAAAAATTCAGTGGAATTCCCCTTTAACAACAGTTTCGAAAACTGTCAAGTGATTATTTAGGCAAAACCTCATACCAAGGAAGACACTTTGACTTTGATGAACAAGTGTTGAAAAAATACCAAAAGCAAATAGCAATTTTATGTTAACAAATCCTTTACAGGTATTCTGCTTAGTTAACTAAAAAAACAATAGCTAGAATATGTAAAAAGAAAAAATGCAAGTTGTCCCCAAACCTGTGATGGTCAGTGTATGCATGTAACAACCGCAGGCCACTGTACCTGCTCAAGTTTGGATCTGTTGCTTTCCAGACCGGCAGCACATGTGTCATACTGAGCTTTTTTTTCCTCGTACTCTTCAGCAAGCTCCTGTTATAGACACAACGAGAGAACACATTTAGCAGTCCCACCAGAATCTCACAGCTTTTACTTGTGATTGTTGCAGGCTAAAATACTTGATTTTGCGTCAGCTTTTCTCAATATTTGAGACAATATTCGCACTTTGTTTTTGGGAGAGTTTGCAATGAACTGTAAAGATGTGTTTTGATTATGCAATAAGTACTTGTTTGAATGTAGCCTAGTTAGTTAGTTAGATAAACACAAGGAAGAAACAAATAGGATAATGTAGTGTATCTCTGGGAAATGAGAACATACACACACAGATTTGAATTTTAATACTGTTGTAAATTCTCAAAGAACACAGGTTTCAATAAATAATTTTCACTAAAATGATGTAATAAACCTACTTGTATATAAAATAATAATAATTTTACTTCTTTTTTCCTCAAAAGACAAGAGGAAAAAAGTAAAATAATGTGCTCTCAAACTTTTTTGGTAGAATATCCAATAGCACTGTAGTTCTGAATTAGGCTTGGGTTATTTTCTAATAGTGGGGTAAGGGGTTTTTTTCTAATACTTAAAAAATTAGCATTATCAGTTATATCTAATAGAGCTTTTCAGCAGCTTCCCACCTGGCACTGCTGCCGAAGAGGCCTCAGCTCCTTTATTAACGGAGACAGAGCTGATTTCTTCTCTGCTATTGCCGAATTCAGCTTCTTCACCTAAAAAACAAGAAAGGTAACTGAAGAACATAGCTTCATTTTAGACTTCAAATTCATGGTTGAATTACACAAGCTGACCACAGAGAGTCGCAGAATCCATCCATCCAAAGTTCATCTCACAAAGCTTTATTCTTCCTAATCAAAAAACACATCCAGACTATCTTACAAAGTTGTAAAACAACTCAGAAACTGGCCTAATGTCCAACTGATGGCAGATTTTGAAGCTTGGAGAGAAGGAGTGACAGTAAAGTATTTTTTCCAGCATTCAATCCAGCATTGTTTGTATCCAAGAAAGTACATACAGGACAGATCCAGAAATGACAGAAGTCACATATAAAGTCATGTGTACTATATTCATGCCTTACAAGTGGTGTCAGCATTTGTATATTTAAACTGTGCCGTGTTCACATATGCAACATCAAGCTCCAGAGATGCACAGCAGGCCATATTACTGCATTAGACTGGTCCCCCTTGCTTCTTGTTGCTGTAGCAACCCAAAGCAAACGGAGCGCAGGGGCAGTTGCAGATTTCATCAGCAAAGCAGCATTCTCCCCAGTGTGCTACACACTGAACTCAACAACTTAATCATGTACACACACATCACACACCCTGACACATTAAAAGCCATGTGTAACAAACAGTATCAAGCTTTCCAAAGTTTTCCAAAACAGTACCTTTAGTGGACAGGACTAAAACCTTAAGCTAATGTAAAAAGATTTTATTCCAAGCAAGTTTTGAGCACTTCTATTGGTCCATTAATCATGACATTTTCACATAATGTACAGCTGCTGCGTTCAAATGATGTAAAAAATGAAAAATCAACAAAAAATGGAGATACGTGTTTTTCTTTGGACACAGACGGTATACAGTTCAGTCAGTTTATTTACACCTCCAAAGTTCAGTCTTAGAAGTTGGTTGCATTGTCTGCTTCTCATCACCAAGTAATCCCAAACATATTCAATGATGTTAAGGTCTGGACCCCAGGGTGGACTGCCCACTGCTCTGAGAACACCAGCAGTTTCTTTGACTGATTTGCAAATTTTGCTTTTCTCAGTAACAGCTTCCTGACAGCTACACATCCTCAGAGTGAGGCTCATGATGCTGAGTTGTCTTCTCACAGTGGAAGGATGGACAGAAACACCTGTGGATTTTTTCAGATCTGAAGCAAGAGTGGAGCTTGATTTTCTCCTCTCAAAGTTTTATGTGCTGTTTATCTGAAAGTGACACTTATTTTCCTTTAACTCTCCACTTCCTTATCCTATTTAATTTTCTTATATCTAATCTCCTCAGATGTATTTCATGAAAAATGAATAACTTTTACTCAGCGCTGTTTTGACTAGAAATAAATTAACAGTGTTTTCTGTCTTCTGCACAGTACTGTATATGTAATACATCTGGGACATTATTATAACATACGAGTACTTACGTATATAAAATATATAGGACATATGTGTGACCGCATATTCTGACAGAGTATAAAAACAAGTGTGAGTGTCTGTGTATAAAAGCGACTAGTGTGTCCTGAGGTGTGCTTCTTGTCATCTGCTCACCATCTCGGACATGTCATCCAGCGTGCGTCCTTTCAGTTCGTCCAGCTCGCTCTTAATGGCCGAAACTCTCTCTAGCTCCTCCTGGGTCTCGCTGAAGCCTGAGATGCCCCTCTGGGCCTCCAGAGTTTGCTGAAAAATAAGATGACATAGTCATTCTCCCTTAACAAAAAGCTGCTTCCTCAAATCAGATCACATTTATGGATGTTTTACATGAAAGTTTCTTGTGCGTATACATGAAATATCAGTGCAGACTGAGAGAGAGGGATTTGAAATGGTAGCAGGACACACACTTTTAAGCATGAGTGGCAGAAAATGATAGATGCTGTGGAGGCCTTGGAGTGTGTCCTACTCGGCTGGTGTCACGTTAAGGACTCTCTGATGGCTCACGTCCACATACACAGTCAGGGCTCACCTCCGCATCAGAGTGCAAAGCACTTTGTCCAGGCAAAGAGAGGGAACTTCACACACTGTACTGATACTGACAGATACACTTTACGTTATGAGCTAAAGAGCCAACATTTGACAAGCTGTGGACACTGCATGTGTAATTAGTGTAAACATAAACAAAATATCCAGTGAATAAGCACTTGTTAAAGCCTAAAGTTCTTGGGAAAAACTAACAGGATGTGTATTTGTGGAGTTTCCTAAGCAAGAGTCCCAGCTCTAGCCTGCTACTCCATGTCAGGATCTGCTGGCCTTCAGTTAATCTTGCTAGAGCTTTAACTGAACTTGAAATTTTGAACTGAACCCAAATACAGCTTATAAACCATTTTCTACCTGACCCAACCCACCAAGTTTAGAATCCGGATTGTAGCTCAACAAAATTCGGGCTCAAACCAACTGTAGCCCTGAACCCTGACTAGAGCCTGGCAAATATCTGTTCAAACCCAACTGCAGCCCAACAAAATTCTGTCTGAACCCGACTGTTTCCTTGCAAATGTCTGTCCAAACCCACTGCAGCCCAACAAAATTCTGTCTGAACCCGACTGTTGCCTGACAAATTTTTGTCCAAACCTGACTGTGGCCCAACAAAATTCTGTCAGAACCGAACGGTTGATTGACAAATTTCTGTCCAAATCTGACTGTTGCCTGACAAATTTCTGTCCAAACCAATTGCAGCCTGACAAATTTCTGTTCAAACCTGACAGCAGCCCAACAAAATTCTGTCCCAATCCAACTGTAGCCTGACAAGTTTCTGTCCAAACCTGACAGCAGCCCAACAAAATTCTGTCCCAATCCAACTGTAGCCTGACAAGTTTCTGTCCAAACCTGACAGCAGCCCAACAAAATTCCGTCCAAACACAATAAAGCCTGTCCAAAGCCTGCCGACAAAATTCAGTCCAAACCAGATACAGCCTGACTAAATTTTGTTTGAAACCCAACTGCAGTCTGTCAAAATTCTGTCCAAACCCGACTGCTCCCCACCAAATATTTGTCCACGACCAACAGCAGCTAAAAAAATTCTGTCCAAACTTGACTATAACATGAAAATCTCTGTCTAAACATGGCTCTAGCCTGACAAAATTCCGCTTAAACTTGACTGTATCTTGACAAAACTATGTCTGGACCTGACTAAAGCCCAACAGAATTCTGTCCCAATCCAACCACCACAAATCAAGGACCAACTCCACATTAGTAATGACAGCACCTGTTAAGGTACATTGTTGCAACAATGACAATCAGATCATCGATAAACAACACTGAAATGACAAGCCTAAAGGTTGGAGACGGCTTTGAGAAACATTGATCTTAAATTTGAACCCAACAGTTACTTGTGAAATTATGTCTGAACCCAATCAAACCCTGACATGAATAGCCAGGCACTGCTGGGTTCAAACAGATATTTCAAATATTTTTCTAAATCTGATTCTTGGATCTGGAGTCTCCAGCGCCAGTACCTACTGCTTCACCAACACAGCACCTGAAGCTCTCAGCAGAAACACAGCTCTTCCTGATTCAGTGATTCAGCGCAGCATAATGAGTTTTTGGCAATGATGTGCATGTGTGTACATGTGAGAGTGACTGAGTGACAGTGCATGAAGACATGAGTCCACCTACACGTGTAATAGTAAGTGTGTGTGCTGGTGGAGGGGTGTGCAAAGTGATGGCCAGTCTGCCAGCGGTCAACAAGCGCAGGGGGATGGAGGGAGGAGTACAGGAACAGCTGCCAGGAGGAGGGGAGGCCTAGGCCCGTGCAACCCGCTGCAAAATTCCCCCACTCGTGAAAGAACAGCCTCGCACGCAGCCAGGGAGCAAATGCCGCGCTCACAAATAGCTCCGGCTCAGGCCTCCTGCGTCAAATGGGCTATCAGCAAGTCCGCGGCTGGGAGGGTTCAGAGGTGTGAAGTCATTTCCAGGAAGGTGCTGTAACTTCACTGTTAAACGCAGTTCAAAATTTGAATGAGGTATGGGTGAGCAGGACAGGTTCGAGAACAGAACATGCCTCAATTGATGAGGCGCACAGGACAGAGAAGTGGGACAAAAGGGTCACAGCATGTCGAACAGCTTAATAAAACATACTGCTCTGCAAGAAAGTCTGTTGAATAGCCAAATACAGTATTAAGCAGCCAGCATAAGAATACATGTCCATTAATATTTATCTTTACACCATGCAGTTAACCTGACTGATTTATCAAACTAACTTTTTAAATTATTTTTATCAAATACGGTAAACCCAGATAAAGCCTACATTACCTCAAAGCTGGCATAAGTCTGCTTGCTTAATAGTTTTGTTATTGAGCTGTGAGATAAACATTGTTTAATAACATTTATTTACAACATTTAAACATATTTTTAACATTTTCAGCTTTAGGAGTGAAATAAAAATGGCACCGTCCTTCAGATGATGAGGATAGCATGTCATGTTTCCACCATTTCTTCTTGAATAATTTTGAATAAATTACTACCACCGCTGTTCTAACTGCAGGTTTGTTTTAAGGAGTTCTGATCTATCAGTGTACATAAGCATCTGCTACTTGTTAGCTGTATAGGCATCGTAGCTCCAGTGCAAAAAACATCAACATGTTAATTTTAATTTCATTTTTACTAAATTATTGCTTTAAGCAGGAGAAAAGAAAACAAGCTTATATATGATTGCATGTCAGAGATAATGTGTAGAGTACTGAGTTTACTGGGCTGGTACAGGATAAGACATACAACATAGAGGAAGAAAAGGAGGTGTACAAGGAGAACCGCTGCCATGAATGAGGATGTACAGTACGAAAGCCCTAATTTCAAAAGAGAAACCAAACATGAGTTAACAGCGACTGGGAGATGTGAGGATAGGTAAGCATGCTTGGCAGAGGGGAGAGCTGTGTGGTTACCAGCTGCTGTTGCTCGGCAGTGTGGCGCTGGCGCAGGATCTCCTCTGTCCTCTGCAGAATGCCAAACTCAGCCTGTAGCTCTGCAATCTCCTGCCGCTTCTTCTTATACGTGATGTTCTTGCCGCGCATCTTGGCGACGTACCGCTTGAACTGTGAATGACACAGTGAGAGATCAGAAACCTAACATCTCCAACAAATCATAAACTAGGAGGTAATTGAGTTCAGATTTACACAGAGCATGGACAAATAAATATTAAAAATATGACCTCATCTCATACCGGTGTCTACAGGAGGTGCTGCATTATGACAATAATGAGGAAGGCAAAGGGAGACGAAAGGTACATTTCAAGAGAAATAAAGACTGATCTCACTCATAAAGGGGCCTCTAGTTGAGAGTCCACATCTGTCTAACTACAGTGAACAAGTAAATTATGGTCACTGAGATGAGATGATGAAAACAGGACTGATCACTCGCTGTACTATGCTGTGCTGCTTTCAGGTTTATACATCATTTGCAATGTTAATTTACTCACGCCCGTACTCACATTTTTAAAATTTTTACTGGCTTTCACATAGCATATACTGTTGGTTGGCTAAAAATACTGGCCAGTATTGATGACCTGAGGTTTTATTTATACTTTTAAAAATATTGCAGATAAAGCACCAGCACCGAACAGTATGCAGCCTGATACAAGTCCCTCTCTTTATATATATGAGAGCAATTCAGGCTGCAGTGGTAAATTTGAACACAAATCATGGTTAAAATAATAATAATAATGTAAAATATAACCTGACCTTTAGCATGACAATAACACAAAATAACCTTCTATGAAGGGAACTGAAGAAAAATGAAAACTGGTAATTGACCGAAATCAATACCGCAAAAAAATTATGTCTGCCCCTAGTGCTATGATATGTATTTTTTACTTACAACCTGTCACGCATCCCTCCGGCTCCGACATTCCCAAAGACTCCATTTCCCAGAACGTCTTGAGAGACCATGTGACAGTGGAACCTCCACAACCCACCAATCACTGTTCTCAATCACCTGAGCACTAATCTCTCTCACCTGTTCTGTTTATCTTGTGACTAGATCTAGTCTAGTATATAAGCCCGGGCTTTAGACTATTTACTTTTGCAAGGTATTGCTTATCTTGGTAGAGCCCCTGAGTGTTGCTGTACATTTATTTTGCCTGCTTGTGTATCTGACTGTATTTTTGGACTTCCTGACTTCGCCTTTTTGCCTTTCCCCTTTTTAAATCTTGATTGCCTGATCTTGCTTGTTTGTCATTTTCTGTGTTTTGTCTTCTTGGATCTGACCACTGCCTGTTTGCCTACTACGAGTTTTGCTAAACCCTTAACTAGTAAAGCCTCAGTTCTTATTTTTAACCATAAGCATCTGGCTGGTTCTGTCACGTTACACAACCATTGACAATCAACAGTCATATTTCACATTTTACAGTTGTCAACTGACACAGTTTAATTATTTAATTACTTCCCTGACATGGATTAAGTCTAGTCTTGGACTAAACTGCAATGCCAGCACTGAATCACCATAGGAGATTCTTTTTAGCCTAGGATTAGGCCTAATATGGGTCTAGGAATCTCTAAACATAAAATTATATCAGTTAGACATTATTGGTTATCAGAATTTTTAGCCCCTTAAAATCGGTATCGGCCACAATTTTTTCTATATCAGCCACATCCTAATTCATTGTTGGGCTCTAAGTCTACTTTTTATTGTTGTGTACTTCTAGTGCAATTAAGTGTACTGTAGTGCACTGTCTTGCTTAATTATGTGCTGTCGATGTTAACTGTGCTTGCGTTCTGCACGGTCTCTGTGACTCGTACTGTACGGTGCAGTAAACGCTGGTCCTGTCTTGTGTATCTCTTTGCAGCCCTGGACAAACGTTGTTCTTCCACTCTATATTTGTATATGGATGGGATGACTTTTTGTGTTCTAGACTCTTGAATCTCAATGCTCTGCTCAGAGATGTCACTTTGGGAAGGTCAGAGGTAAAAGGATCCACAATATACCACAGAGCTGAGGGGAAAGTATTGTGGAACATAGTGAGCATAATGGTGAAAGCTTCAGGAGAAATCAGACTGATAGTGGCGTTTCAGGTTGTGGGAGGTATTGAAAGGATCTGGCAGGGGAGCGGGGTTCCTCAGGGACGTCTCCTCAGTCTGCAAACAAAAGAAACCTGACCCTGCAGGCATGTGGCCAGTGGCGCAAAAAACCCTCTTCATCTGGCAGCCTAAGCAGAAGGCTATCACTCGGACCGCCCCACTGTCACTACTGCCAGGGGCTATAAATGTAGAAAGCGACCTCAGAAAATCACACAATGTGCCGTATGTCACTCAGGGCATGCAGAGCTTGTGTGTCAGAGTTTACGCTTTGTATATTTCGGGACGTCAAGGGCAGACAAGGTTGGGGGGATTAGGGGCACAATAGTGCTGGGTAGCGTTCTCTTGTTTTCTCTTGTTACAAATGGCCATCAAGTGACAGGGGCTAAATTAGCCACCACAAGCCCTGGCAATCGTCACAACAAAAAGGAAAAAAATGCAGAAGGGGAAGAGTAGAATTAACGTTTACACTGACTATATGAAAAGAGGAACAGAGAGTGAAAGGTGGGAGTCATGTCTGGAACCTGGACAGACAGAAAGCAACAGAAACATCCCTGTGGTATCTACAACATGCCATTATGATCGGTAATAGATGCACAATATGTCAAAGGTAAAATTGATTTGTGAACCATATTAGCTTAAAGGGGAATTCCAAAATTACCCCCCATTTTTTCAAAATGTCTGTATAATTAAAATGTTAAGTTGTAAACAAAGTCATTCAGAATGATCTGATGTGGAAAGCTCCATTCTAGAGGAACTTCAAGTCATAGTTGTTTACAGTGGTGATGATAGGAATCAGATCTCAGAGGAGTTTGCTGCCTAATGCCTGAGACATTGTTGGATAGTCTTGAAATAGAATATGAAATGTTTGTCCTAAAACATCTTTTTTTTATCCATTCATGGCAGAGATGTACACACAAGTCGCTGTAGGGCAAAACAGTACCCAAAGAAAAAGAAAATTTCAGATTTTCTATTTTATCTTCATCAAAAAAACTTGAAGACGTGTAGGTTCACTCGTTTTTATGGATAGTAAAGAAAATGGCTATATTTGTGTTGCAGACATTGTGACCCCTGGTTCCTGTCACCCCTACTGTAAAGAAATCTGAGTGGCTAAGTTTCTCTACAATGCACCGCTCCACGTCAAACCACTCTGACTTACTTTATAATTTACATGTCAATGATTAAATCATGCAGAAATCTTGAAAAATGGGTAGAATTCCCCTCAATGAGACAAGCTGTCTGTAGTTAAAAAATGTTCATGTTGCAATTCAACATAAAGTCAAATGCAAAGATGAAACTCAATCCATATGAACAAAGCACAGCAGCTGGCTTTTTTTAGCTACAGATTAAAGTGAAACTCTGTGAGAGGCTAATTGAAAAGTCAGTCGAGTAAGGAAGAGTACAGTGCCTTATCTTTTGGGAACCATTACAAGTGAGTGAGCAGAAACACAAGCCAGAGGCTCAGAGAGCAGATCAGACGCATTCACACTTGTTTCAGGATATGGACCAGCTGCTGTTTAAAAGGCTTTGCTCTATTTACATGTATCTATTAAATTAAATGCGGGTTTTGTTACAACAGATATGAACCTCCTGTGTCCCCCCCGCCCCCTCCATTTTTAAATCAGTGCTGTGCCAGTGCGTGACCAAACATGGGCATACTCCATCCCAGCAGCTTAGACCTAAACATCCTTCTCACATGTACACACACTTTCTTATTTCTTTCTTTCTGTTCCTCTCTGCTCTTGTTCAACTGTATTGCTCTCCTTTTTATTTACTCTTAACGGATGTAGCTCTGTTTCTCTCTCTCCCTCTCTCTATCCATCTCTGTGACACTGCTGCTCTTCACGGTGGATGAGCTATGGACAGAAGCAACCGCAGTGGATGAAGTATGGACAAAAGTGAACCTTATCAAACGGGGCTGATAGAATCACAGGAAGTGGGGAGGAGGTGGGGGCTATTTTAGCAAGGGTGCCTCTCTCTTTCTCCTCTGCCTGCCAACCTATCTGTACAAGGGCAACCTGGAATGGAACATCTGCTCATAAACCTCCCAGACAGACAGACAGACCAACCACAGATAGTAGAGCACAGCAGAGACAGGCATTAACACCATGGTGCTCTTTAGGATGACCTGCAGCCTCCCCCTTCAGGGACATACACTACAGTGATGCATTAGTTCAGTGACACAAGGTGGGTTAAAGCCCCAATTAGTAAATACCAGTAATATGCTGGCAAGGCTGTGGTACTGCAATAATAGAAGCTTTCTTCTGTTCATACACTTTTATATCTCATGTGCACACACTCTTAATCTAACTCAGATAATGGTAATGAGAGTCTAATTCACACAGAGATTATCTGTATGAATGAGGCTCTTACTGTCCTTACCAATTATATTAGTACTTGTATAATCTAACACTTATTTTGATGATTAATTACATAATCATGAGTTTTTTTTTATAAATGCTAAACAATGAAATGGACTGAACAATAACAAACCATGCACCGCATTTCACAATTTTTTAAAATGCTTCATTAGAAAACATTTAAAATCTTAAGATCCCTTTAAAATCCCAGGCTTATTACATACTAAGGCTTATTACTGAGTAACTAGAGGGACTGCAATGCAAACAGGTTGGCCTATTCTTAGGTTATAGAAGTGTGTAACAAAACTTGGCTATGTAAGGGGTTGAGTAGGAACAATACAGCAGAGGCTTGTCTAAGCAATTAAGCACTGCTTAAAAAAAAAATTAAAAAGTAAAAAATCCTAAACAAATTTATTTTATAGTAGTAACTCATCCATATTTTCTTCAATATTTTCTAACAGTCTCTCTGTATACGTGGCTGGCCTAACGTTTTGTCCCTGTCATGGTGCTTAAAGGGCCCAAATACTTTGGTTAAAAGCGAGGGAAATGTCCATGATATGGGCCCTTTAATACCCAAACTTGCCCTCCATTCACTGCTGGAACACTGTGGCAAAAAATGCATACAAATGAGTGTATCTATCAGGCTTTGTTCCTTACTGTAAGAGAAACCAGTAGGATATATTGTAATGCCTTACAATATTAACATTATGCAAAGCAAAATAGCACATACTAATTGAAGATTTTTTACTTATAAGTCAGACAGTCAAATTGAATTGATTAATCATGATAACTCTAGCAATGATTTATAAAGTAAAAGCTATTTGTGCCGTGTGGTGTGGTGTAATTCTACTGTGTGTGAAGTTGTGCGATGCTCTACCTCGTCTGCTCGGATGATCTCAACTCCACCCTGTCCACGAGCCTGGTTGCTCTTAGCACTCAGCTCCCTTGTCAGGCCTGCCAGTTCCTCTCGAGCCTCCTGCAGCTCCTCAGCTTTTGCCTCCTTTTTACGAGCTATGATGGAGGCCTAACAAACATCACAGACTTCAGTACTTCTGGTATCTTTGTGGCTTATCATTTTGACAATATCAAAAAAGTCCAAGAGAGCTCATTAAACTCCTGAGCACCTTCAGCAAGATACAGATAATCATATGAATAACTAGACCTAATCTGTGTCCACAGACATCTGTGCCCTTTTGAGTAACTGTACAGTAGTCTGCGAAAGTCAAAGACCATTCTTTCATTTACTGCATTTCCAACCAAAACGGCCAGTCAAAAGAGATCATTCATTATTTAGCGCCTGGAAAAAGCAGAAATCATACTTAACAGAAACTTACACAGAAGCCTTAACAATTAAGTATAATATGCATTTTTTCAGTAGTTTTTTCAGTGTGCCCACTGTTTGCCTTTATTACAACGTTCTTTTGGGTGACTTGCTTCCAGTTTTTCAAAGAAATTTGCAGGGATATATTTCCACACTTTCAAAATTTCCAACATGTGATTTTAGACCTGCAGATACTGGCCTTCTTCAAACAAATTTGGAAAATAAAGAAAACATGGAGAGGCCTCTTTCAGTTATTATAGGGAGGACAGAGCTGTAACTCTTTGGTTTTAAGAATGGAAAGATGGAGGAGTTAATATGGCAGTAGGGTGCAAAAAAGTAAAGAGTTTAAAATGAAATGCTGATAGATTTGAGGTTAAACTTAATGTGAAAAGCTTTTACTTTTATTATTTTATCATTTTCTGTTTCTGCTTTTTTCCAACACTAACAAATGAATAACTTGTACTTATTGGCTGGAAATTAATAAATAAAAGGTTGGTCTCTGACTTTTGGACATTTTGTACATAGTAATTAATTAAAACAGAAAAAACAACAGCTTGGTTCATCAGAACATCAAACTAACATTATGCAATGATAACAAACATCTGGCCATTGAACATGAAACAAATTCAGTTCACAATATTAACAATTCAGAGACATCAATCATTCTTTCATGTTCAAGGTTAAATCTGAGGACATACAGCAGAAGCAAATGTGATCTCTCATTTTTGATGTGCAGAATGGAGGGATGTAATAATAATATAGTGTGTTGTTTTACTAAATGTACTTTATACATACTTGAGTCTTGGTACACCATACATCTGATACATGGAACATATATCTGTGGCTTTCTGTCAGTTCAGAGGTAGAAAAGGACAGACAAATAACATTGTTACCTGCTGCCTGTACAGAGCAAGATTATCATCCATGGGGTCACTCCTCGCCACCTTCTTCTCCATCACTTGGTTCATCTGACTGAGCTGTTTAATCTGACCAGCAGGAAGAGAGAAAACATGGGCATCAAGGTATTTAGGGTCTATCCAAATCAAATTTGTCAAGAATAATCAAAGAATAAAGATAAAAAATTGAAGAATGGAGAAGAATTGAAGTTATACAAATTTACAGAATAGAATGACATATAGATTATGGCAATACTGTCATCAGGAGACTCCAGTAAAATGAAAAAATGGTGCTTAACTTCTAATAATCTTACATCTAAAAATGCTCAATGATCCTTAAGAGACTGCAGTAACTTTCATATTACTACATAATATAGCCCTTATGAAAGGTTTTTAAGAGCATGCAGGCGTAAACATTAGGTGTTATGGGATCTGCATTAAAATTCAAGTGGGTGTAATGTTAAGATGCCAAACCAAAACTCAAATGAAGCAGATGTTTCACAGAAGACTCAGCAACATGTTCCACTGACCTTATCCTCCAGCTCGGCCAGCTCTGCATGACCCATGGCTGGCTCAGATGCCACCTTCTGCAGGTAGTGCACCTTGCGCCGCATTCGCTCCAGCTCTTTGGGCAGCTTGTCCGAAACCATGTAGGAGTTGAACTTGATCTCCTCCTCCAGTCTCTTCACCAGGCCTGCAAAAGAACAGCATCATTCGCCAAGGTTATGACACTAAACTCCCACAACATACACAGTGTGTGCAGACAGCTAATTGGCAAAAGAATACCTCGGTTTGTTTAGTGAAAATATGGTTTCTGAGAACTAAGCAAATACTGTGAGCATACAATGTTAAATAATGTGGGTACTACTGAGAGTCAGAAGTCTAATTATAGGCTTGCAAAGTGTTTAAATGTAACATTTCCATTTACACTATGATTTGGTCCACGGGAAAAAATTAGCTGTGCCCAAAAAATGAGGCTTATAATAGCTGACTGTAAGATACACATGCCTATTATATTGAACATCATTTGAAACATAAGTACAACTGTCCTTCGCATGGCTTAAAAAAGCAGCAGTTTAGTCGGCAGCCAGTGCAGATGGCGTCTGTTTGACCTCGACCTCCTGCCAGACTTTGGTGACAGGACACAAGGACTTTTTTCAATGGCTAACTCACTCTCAGGCTTGGCATCTGCTGCTGCCTGTCGCAAGTCTTTCAGCTGGATCTGACACCTCTGCAGCCTCTGTTCAGCCTGGAAGAGCTGGAACAGACAAGAAAACACACTGTGTGCACCACATTTCAAAAAGGAACAGTACTAATATAGCATCAGCTTTTTTTCTGCGTGTCTGACAAATATACAGTGCTCTGCAAAAGACAGAGACCACTTATTTATTTAACCTCCAGTCAACATGCCCATTAAGTATAAGTTATTCATTTTTCAGGAGATATTTCTGAGGAGATCAGATATAAGATACACCACTTGCATAAGGATGGAAAAGTTTAGGGAAAAAACAGGAGGTTTCAAAACTGGAGTTCAAAAAATTATTAAAACAAATAGAAAAAAATGGGATTTCTAACAACCATGCAAGACCTCGCAGACCCCCAAAACCATCACCATCAGATAAACAACACTTAAAACTCTCATCTTTGAGAGGAAAATCAAGCTCTACTCTTGCTTGCCGATCTTTAAAAAACACAGGTGTTTCTGTCCATCCTCCCACTGTGAGAAGACAACTTAATATTATGGGTCGGAAACAATGTGTAGCTGTCAAGAAGCCCTTAAATAGAGAATTAAGCAGAGAATTTGATGATGGTACTAAATTTGTAATTGGAATTACCTGTATTGTGAAAAGTAGAAAACGCAACCAACCACAACTGAACTTTGAAGGTGTTCATGTGTTCATGTGCATGAAAAATATCCCTGCAGATTTCTTCAAATGAAAGTATCTCTCTAAAAATGGAAGTTGTAATAAAGGCAAAGGGTGGACATGCTGAAAAATCTGATATTATATTCAGCTGTTGAGACTCCTGTGTATTTTCCACTGTTTTTATCAGATGCTGAAAAATGAATAACTTGTACTTAACCCCTTGCAAGGCCAGGGCCCGCTGGTGGGCCCAAAGTTTTTACATACTTCTATAACCTAGAATAGCTCAATCAGTTTGCATTGAAGTCCCTGTAGTAACTGAATAATAAGCCTGGGATTTTAAGGGGTTAATGGCAGTTTTCACTGGAAATTAAATAAATGAAATGTGGTCTCTGACTTTTGCACAGAACTGCAGATGATACATTACACATGCATCCTTGACATGATACATATGAGCCAACGTGACAGTTATCACGATAATTCATATTTTCATATTTATAATAAAACACAGTCATCAATGATTTTAAAACAGTATGATTCATTTAGCAGTTTAAACAAACAGAATGGTTCCCAGTGGTACCTGGTTCTTCTGCTCTTGTTTCTGATGAGCCAGAGACTCCTCTCTCTCCTTTTCTACCCGAAGCTGTCTGGCCAGCTCCAGCATGCGTTGATGGTTGGACACAGACTCCACCTTGTGGACAAAAGTATTACACAAAGTGATAAGCCTGCGCTCTAAACACTATTTTTACATCAAAATTAGGAGCACTATATAGAAAACTATACGGGGAACAAAATTTGTGACTCAAATAAATGATTTTGGATGTTAGCGTTACATGCGATTCCTTGTAAATATGCGTCAGAAGTCACAAACCATCTCATAACCATGCAAAATGTCAAATTCAAACCAAACAACACTGGTTTTTGGCCGTCACACATCTATGAGGGTAATTTTTTAAAACATTAGATTACACATAGATTCTCTACTATGTCTCTGAACACCAATACAAAAAGGGAGACCAATTTAATGAACAATTAGAGTGCAGAGATCTTCAAATCTGGATCTTAAACCCAGTTCCCGATTCTGGATTTAATAATCACTAATAGGCATGACATTGAGTGGCCAAGCAGTTATATCAACAAAATACAGAACTGGAAACTGGATTCGAAGTCCAGTGCATAGTTTAGGAAACAGGGAAATGGTTGTCCAGCAGATAAATGACCTAGTGATTTTTATATTTCAGCTCAGACTTTTTTTTAAAAAAAGACATTATCTGCCAAAGCACAAGCCTGCCAACCTAAATAGATAATGCCTGCTTACCCGCTTCCTCAGACGCTCCACTCGTTTGATCAGCTGATCCTTCTCTTCTTCCATTGCCGCAATATCCTGCAGTAACAAATTATATCACTGTGATTGCACGACTGAAAAGCTACTCAAATAGTACATTTAAAGCGGCATAATTGTAACATCACAAGCAGAGAGAGTAAAAGTGAAACAGAGTGAATCATCATCTTACCCGTCGAATCTCAGCTGTAGAAAACCCAGAGTTCCTCAGTTGTTCACACTCCTTGTGATAACTCTTGAATCCCTCAACCAGCTCCTCATACTATGGTTACGGTATAAAGAAACACAGAGAACACAAAAAGACATCTGATCATCCCAATTTTCACTTACAAGCCATTCTGAGTGCCAGGTAACGCTAAAGAGTCTATACCACCATCACTAATCTTATTCACAAAGGGCCGCTGTGGCTGTAAATGCTCATTCCAACAAGGCAGAAGCACACCTGATTCCACTTGTTTAACAGTTGGTCTCAGTCTTCTAACAACCCATTAGTTATCTGAGGTTGGAATAAAACCTGCAGCCCTTTCCAGATAAGATTGGTGACCCTTGTTCTATAAGCTGAAGAAATATTAATATCCTCTATTAATGTGACTCAAATGTGTGCATCATTTCCACATGAATACAGTATACTACATCAACACAATTTTGACTAGTTTAATCAGTTTTGTTACTTTTAGCAACAATTGTGTTGATATATTTTACTCCCATGGAAATGATGTACAGGTGAATCAGGTGCATCATTTTTTCAGAGTAGGGTCAGTCCACACTGAAAAGAAAAACTGTTTTTCAATTCAGTCTTTGGAGACCTGCAGCCAGTCCATATTTTTCTGTGTTCCATATCCCGCACAACTCAGGTGGGTAACCAGCTTTCTACAGCTCTTTATTTCCTGGCAAGTGTGTGTCTGCAGTTCCTACTCTTCAGAATGAACATACACGTTGGCTGAGAGAACCCAAGGACTGCACTGAAAACCCCTTGAAAGAGACTATTTATCACATTGCAAGGAGAATTATGCATGTTGTGACTAGTAGTTCACTGGGATAATGTTAATTGGCTCCCTCCAAAACCAAAAATGACTCAAGTTAGGCCAAAAGAAGTCAGACCTGGTGGTAAGTCTCTGAGATGACATCATCCGTCAAGAACTCGCCAGGCACATCCAGCTTGACGAGGAAGCGAGCCAGATAGGCCCTTTTCTTCAGCTCGGGAACCCTCTGCAGCAGCCAGTGCAGGATGGGGTGGATCACTGGCTTACTGCCAGTCACCAGGCCCTGCCGAAAGCTGCTTCTGTAAAGCCAAGAAGAGTAGGATCTTAGTGAGAAATCTGCTCTGAGCTCCACATTTTCAATTCACTTTTTCAATTCAATTCAGACTCAGTAATGCAGTTTTGATCAGCAGCAATATGCAGCAAAAGCATGGAAAATGCTGTGTGCTGTTTGTTAACCCCTTAAACACTAAGGGTCAACTGGCAATCCAGACTTCCCTTTTTTTGTCTCAGAACTATGCAAATTACATAATTTAACAGTAGTTACCAAATCATTCATAGTAGTCACTGGGTTAAACGCCTTAAAATTAATAGATGAAAAACAAGCCTAGAGTTTAAATAGGACTGTCTTTATTTATTATGACAATCAGATCACATTTTAGGTGCAAATCATATAGAAATCATTCAAACATTTACCACAACTATGGGACAGTACATAATGATTTACTACAGTAGTAGTTCACTCAAACGTTCTAATGTTTCAAATAATGAATGAAAACTAGTAAACATAAATATTAATCACCTGTTCTTATATTTGACATTTTATTCACATACTCACGTATCAGAAAAGCCACCAGTAGGCTTGTATTTCAGTAACGCCAACAAAGTGAACATTCTTTTGGCTGTCTGCTCAGGCATTTCTTCTCGGATATCTATTGCTTGCTGAAATTTAAGAAACAGATCAGGTAGAACAGGTACATGTGAGTGCACGACACACAGAAAAAGCAGAAAACCTAAAATAACAGGTAGGACTCAACAACTAAATATAATGTCAATTTTTAAAGTGTTTACTGTGTCCACTCTTTCCCTTTATTACAGCTTTAATTCCTTTGGAAGACTTGCTTTCAGTTTTTCAAAGAAACCTGCAGTGCACCTTCAAAGCTCCATCTTCACGTGATCCAACTAATTCCAACTACAAATTTAGACATACCCTCACATCTCAGATGTCCAGTTTTAGTGTTACAGTACAAATGTGCTTCTTTTTTGTCTATCTCTTTTTCTCAATGACAGCTTCTTGACACCTATGCATTCATTCAGTCTTCTCACAGTGGAAGGATGGACAGAAACACCTGTAGATTTTTTTAGGTCTAAAGTAAGAGAGGAGCTTGATTTTCTTTCTCTCTCAAAGAGACGAAAGCTTTAGGTGCTGTTTATTTGATGAAGACACTTTTGGGGGGCGGGGTTGGGGGGCTTTACTAACTTCAGATTTGGAAAACCTTGGCTTTCTTTGAATATCTTGGATTTCTTTGAAAATGAATAGCTTGTACCTAATAACCGTTTTGGCTGGAAATGAAATAATGAAAAGTGGTCTGGGAGAAAGAGGAATGTGTAAAATGATATGCTGACAGAAAAAAAAATGTGAAGTTTTATATCTAAGTTAGCTAACCTGGGTTAGCTAACTAGCTTAGCTAACTAACCTACATTCCAAGTTGGAGAATATTTTCTTTCTGGCTTTAAAGTAAAGCATTTATTAAGGTCATTATGATATGTTCGGGAACCGAAACCAAGATATAAAGTAAAATCGACTTATATTCGGCCTTTGTGCTATTTAAATTGAGCTTTGATAGATAATATAATAGATACTTGATAGCTAATTACTTAGGTTATCAGTCTGCAGTCTCTCACCTTGGAGTCGATTTCGGCCAACACATCGTTGAGAGTCTGCAGAAGCTGCATTGGTTCCAGTGAGTCAAAAGTGATTAGGTTAAAGTTTTTCTTGAAAGGTTCCCGGTTCAGCTGCTCCACAATGAACTTAAGTTGTTCACTCATCTTGACAAGAAGTGGTTTTCGCAATTTTGACCCAAAAAACAATCCTTCTCAGTTAAGACAGCTAAGCCGTTAGCTTGTTAGCTAAACAAAACTAACCGTTGCGGTCGCTAGGCAACGTCCCTCTTCGGCTAGCTAGCTCGCAAGCTAACGGTTCATGACGTTACTTACCAGCTAACTAATGTTATCTAAGGAAACTTTGGCACGTGTTATTTTAATTTTAGACTATATTTATTTTAAAAAGCGCGGTAGATACTGACTAGCAAGGTAGTTAGTCAAAAATGCCTAGAAACCCATAATCTGATCTTGGTTGCCAGCATGACGCTCTCACAGAGTTTCCACTTCAAAATAAAAGCATGGATATCTTCTGCAATCTCTCCAGACATCGACCTATTTTGAGAAGTGTGTGGCTAGAATGCGATTAATGTTTTATTTTTAGATTAAATAATTTGAATCATATGACCTGCTCCAATAGCCGCACTCTCTAATATTGCCATGTTGAAGCCTAATAAAATCGTATTTTTCTAATTAGGCTAAAAATTGTGCTGTATTCTTTGAAATAACTTCTGTTTTTTTTAATCACGTCTAAACAAAAATAATCGATTAATTCAGTTGGCGTAGGAATGCGCACTGTTATTTTGCAGGATTAGTTTTCGCCGTTTTACACGACAGCATCGTTGTCGAACCGACCGTCTGCTGTCACCCAGCGGCTGCATGCATGAGCCGTGCGGAGGGAGAGAGGAGAGGGGAGAGGGAGAGAGGGCATTATCTCCACTTCTCACGGCCATAGCCGAGTATTTGCAACGTGCAGCATGCAGAGGTGAAAACGTAACGGTGCCCGCCGCTCGAGGTTTACATCCTTGACGGTATTCCAGCCGCGCAGCATTTATTATTTTTATTTTATTATTTTTAAACGAGCTCCTCGGAGCCAGCCGCGTGCACTCATGCATTCGAACAGAGGATTAGCGCGGAGGAATTGCCTTGAGACCATGAACTGCAGTTGGGGGACGGAGCTATGGGTATGTATGTAGTCTACCATCAGTCTCTGATAGGAAGAATGCAGCGTGGAGGGGAAAATTGTGGAGCTTGGTGCATCAGTGCCATCATATAGTCCTTTCACAAATCTCTGCATCAGTAATCAGCAGGTGTGCCGCTGGTGTTCAGACAGCTTAGCTAGGACGAGGCTGAAGTTGGCTTCTTATCTTATTCGCCAGCTTCTTGTTCCAATTTTCCCGTTCCACCTTAAATGGTGCAGCAGTTACGTTACAGTCTGGCGCCTCAGGGAACGGGCGAATTCGGACAAGAAGCTGGCGAATAAGAAGCTGGCTTCAGCTTCGTTTAGCTGGGGCTGTCCAGTCCAGTCTACCCAGACACCCAGGTAGACGGGGTAAACGGGTGTCCGCCCATTTTATAGAAATCTTTAGCAAATAACATAAGAAATGTGCTGTATTTATCCCGTTTCGACCCTCTTCATGTGGATTTTTAGTTGTATGGGCTTGCAGCTTAACCAGCCCCAGCTTATTGAGTTATTAGCCAGCCCAGTTGGCTAAATACCCGAGCTAGCAATAATCCGCAGCTAATGCTGTCCCTAACTGCCCGCAGTGCAAAGTGCATGATGAGTATTCCTGCATTGTTCATCGTTAGGGCAGGTGCATGTGATTACAGTTGAGAATTATGGATTAGAAATGTGCTATGATGATATGAGCTGATATGCCATGGACTGTGACAATGCATCTCCTCTCTGTGCACGTGTGATGATGAAACCCCATCTTGCAGGCTCCTAATTTGGATAAGGATCATAATTGTTATCATCTTCATCTTCATCATAGATGTAGGCCTCGTTTCTTCTGTCATGGTGGTGGAGGAGATTCAGAGGTTAAACTTTCTTTGTTAATTGGGAAGGTGATGATAATAGCAATGTAATGGAGCTTTAGAGGGAAAGAAAAATGTCCAAGGCCTCATCATTCTGGCCTCTAAGCTGGCAAACTGAGGTCAGTATTTTCAGCAGTGGGTCACATAGAATTCACATTGCCACTGAGCAGTCCTGTCACTGTGGATCAAACACCTTGGTGGAGAAGAAGTCGTAGACTTCAGTGGGTCCAAAAGTCTGAGTGAAGTAATAAGAACTAGGGGTGGCTGTTTAATCGAATTTGTTTTTATTTTTTTTTATGATTTTGGCTTCCAAAGATTATGAAAACAAGATAATGGAGATAAAATGATTGTTGTGCCACATTCTGTTTGGCAGTGGTGGTCTGGTTTTGGCTTGTTTTATAAATTCAGCGCACCCCTTTTCTTCACAGCGGTGCACTTTCGCCCCTCCCTAAAAGCTTAAACTCATGTTATTTATTTTTATTTATTATATGTGTTTAGTAGTTTTCAATGAGTTGTAGAGGTGCATTACAACATAGTTGATCTTATTCATTTTTATTTTGATTTATTTCTTTTGATTTATCATTTTGGCTTGTGTTATAAATCCAGTGCACCCCTTTTCTTCACAGCAGTGCACCTTTGCCCCTCCCTAAAAGATTAAACTCATGTAATTTATTTTTATTCATTATATGTATGTGTGTTTAGTAGTTTGAATAGGTTGTAGAGGTGCACTACAACATAGTGATCTATTTATTTTTGGGTTTTTTTCCTTGTGATTTATCATTTTTTATATTATGTATTTGTATGTATATATTTTCTAAGTTGTATCTTAATTTATTTATCTTTTTTTCTACATTTTAATTTTTTTTTGGTTTTTATTTCAAAGGTCAAGGAAATCCACTGTTAAAAAAACTATTTTTTAAAAGTTTAATAAATGCATGAAGTTTGCAAGGTCAATGAATAATCATGTTAAATAGTGATGATTTCAGTATTGATCAAAATAATCATCATTATGATTTTTGCCATAATCAAGCAGCTCTACCAAGTTTTTAGTTCATAATATATAAAAGTGTAGTATAAAAGTTTACCTCACTTGAAACTTGATCTTTAAGAATGCACTGTTTCAAACCAAATCCAAAGTTTGAGAAATCCTTTTTTTGAGAAAATAGTCACCAGACCTCAGTGCCATCAAACATCTTTGGGAACAAAAATGAAAAAGTTGAATACTGACATTCCGTCCAGTTTCTCTCTGCAGAAACTTGAGGAATCCATGCCAGACAGAGTTAATGTTTCTGATAGACATATTTAATATTGAGACATTTTCACTTTCACTAAATTTGAGTGAAAAATGCTGTAATCTTGTCGAGAATTATAATTAAAACAAAAGCTAAAAATGCTCTATTAGCTTTTCTTTGTGGTGAGATCAGGCTTTTGGACTATGGACTGCAAAAGAAAGCATCTTTGATTCGTCCTGTCCAGTCAGTCCAAATTGAACCTCCTTCACTGCTGAGTAATGAGACTTTGACAGGGACAAGACAATGTCTGCACACATTGCCAACTCAGTACAATATACGGTACAGCTTTAATTGATGGAGAGGTGTTCCAAACTCTTGTTCTCTGGAATGGGTTGCCAAGGCAAAACAATTTACTCTTTTTCTGGAGGCTTATCACCCTGAACTCTGGTTACATTCCAAGGCTGTGTTAAAATATCAAAAGAGAGAAATAAATTATCAATAAATACATGTGTGCCAATACAGTATTACCATCAATATATCATTTTCTCTTTTGTCATGATGTAAACAAAGTCATTCAGAGTAGTTTAATGCGAAATGGTTCATTGTAAAGAAAATTACTGACTCATATATCTTTACAGTGGTGGTGATGGGAACCAGGGGTCACAATATCTACACATGCAGTTAATGCCGGTTTTATTTGATATACCAAACGATCAGGGAACCTATTTATATCTTCTGGTTGCTAACCTAACAAAAAATGAGTTTCTAAAATGATCACTTTACAGGAGACAGCAAAAAGTCATTTCTAACTTTTAAAAGAAGTTGATGTAACAAGATTTTATTGCAGGTCAATTTTGGAGCATTTCTATTGGTCCATTCATTATCAGGACAGTTGCTGTGCTCAAATGATGTAGAAGAATAAAAAAATGCAAAATAAATGTAGATACATAGTTTTGATATGACAGCACAGTATGTAATGTTGATAACTGGAATGTTGTAAATTGGTTAATAAAAAAAAACAACATTGTCTTTGAGTACAGTGTTTCCTTACAACAGCCCAAACAGGCTAAATGTGTTAAAAAATCAGTTGTACAGCAAAAATTTTTCTATCCTTTTTTCTTACCTATTGTGTAAAAATGTCTCAGTATATTCATAACCATTTCTTAAAGTTTCCTTTAGAGACATTAAACACTTCAAACGTCTGGTTTTTATCACCACCACTCTTTCTCTTGAACGCAGCATTTCACATCACACCACTCTGAATGGCTTTGTTTACATTGTAATCATTGAATAATAGTGCAGACATTTGGAAAATCCTCCAAGCATGTTAAGTATGGCAGGTAGTTTGAAACATGTCACTACTACACTGAAAATGAACCGGGACTAATTTGCCGTACATTGGATAAAAAATAAAGAAACAAATGTCGAATAAAAGTTCAGCTTCATGTAAGCTGGCTAGACAGGAGGATAGAGCTGAAAGGAAGGGATCAGTGACCCAGAGACCTACTAGGTGAGTGACGAGGTACTACAGGCTGACGCTGCTGCTTTCACTCCAGATTAAGACAAGCACTTCAGACCTGTAGCACATAAACGGGCTTGTTTACTTACTTTGAAACATGTTGTGTTAATTAATTACAAGGTCACATGCAGTAAAATCCCAAGAGTAAAATGAGCTTTTATTGGGTTAAATGAACTCCTACTGTGTTGAATTTGGTCTCAGAAGAGCAGTAGATATTGCTCTGTGTGTTCTAACCTTGAATCAGAGCAGTGTGCAGCTGTTTAAAGCTTTTCTCTTTTCTGTGTCCTCAGGATCAGTTTGATAACTTGGAGAAGTACACGCAGTGGGGCATCGAGTTTGTGGAGCGCTACACCAAGTTCGTGAAGGAGCGGTCCGAAATTGAGCTGAGCTATGCCAAGCAAATAAGGTACTTAGAGATGATGTGTTACTGTGAATATTCATTTCAGCTTATAAGACGTGATTTTTCGGCTTGCAGAGTGTGGAGCAGAAAACCGGACAGATAGAGGCAGCATAAATCTGTGATTTAATACAGAGAGTAATAGGACTGCATATATTGTTTATTAATTGTTATTGAGATGTTAGCTATTGTAGTACTAATATTGCAAAGGCTGCAGTATGCAAATTAGCCATCTCACCAATACCAGTTTTTTACTCTGAGCATCCTGATCAGTCACAGCTCCAGGTGAGCTTTTAATATTTGAATGAATCGAGGTTGACAATTAACCCATTAAATGTACTTTTTTGTCAAAATAATGTGGACCAGTTTTTCACTATAGCACATTATAAATTCATGCATGTGTTTGGAATGTATTGCAAGATGTATCACAATTACAGTATGTAACAGTATAATTGCAATACAGTATTTTGTCCATATTAAGAAGCCCTAACAACTAGCCATTAGCCCAATGTTCTCATCTACAGTACAATAAATACATCATCATAACAGTCTAGATTTCAGGGATGCGCTGATAGGAGATTTTATGGGCCGATGCTGATGCAGATGCATGCATATATATGAATTCTTGAGAATGGATCTATCTGGATTAACATTATTTCTGCAGAGTTGCGAATGTAGTAAAATGACTAAAATGCTTACATTTTAGCCCAGTAGGCCAGCATTGCCTAAATATTCTGCTCTTCTAGAGTACAGTTAATAGATCATCAAATATCAGCCTAAAATATTGATCAAATCTCTTGGATTACAGTAATTTTTAAAAGCAGTTGTCTGCCGATACTGATATAATTCTGATACCATTATGTATCTAATAACAGATGCTGTAGCATAACCTTAAAACCTGAGTCAGAGGGATGTAATAGTTCAGCGTGGGGTCACAAATTAGGCTTATTAATTATCACAGATGTGCTCTGTACAGTGATAATCATTACGTTATGTGTAATGTATTATAATTGCACTGCAGGGTTCGACAGTGCAAAGAAAATGCTTGCATTCGCTCTTCCTTTTTTTTTTGCTACCAGAATTTCGGTTTAGTGTTTTACTTGATGTGCAGATTTTTTTCAATGATATGTGACACTAATGCTACCATATTTACAGGGCATGACAAAGACATTTGCCTATTGACTCATTGTGCATATCACAAGAAGCCTAACTAACTTGAGAAATAACTGGGTAAGAACTGTTGGTTTGCTGGAAGACTGGCAGTCTCACAGCAGTGAATGTAAATCTCATGGGTTAAAAAGTGTGTTTTACTGCCCACACTGTGGGGCATCACAGAAATTGCCAATACTGGGCTCAGTGACATATTTGCAGTGCAGCCCAGTATTATTAATCTATACAGCACCATCAGATTAAAGCCAAGTGAGTTGATTTCGCTCACTGGCATTTAAACAGGCCACAAAAACAGAGGCTTAGTGAAACAACTAGCAGCTAAACAGCCCTCTTTTACAGCAGAAAAATCTCCCAAATGGAGCGTTTAATTTTATTGCATTGAGAAGTTAACCCCTTAAATGGTCGGTGGGCCCAGAGTTTTACTACATACTACTATAACCTAAGATCAACTCAGCAAGTTTGCAATGTAGTTAATGAATAATTAACCATAGTATGTCAGAAGCCTGGGATTGTTAGGGGTTAAAACTGAAGGGGAAATGTGTAGAATTCATACATCTCATTGTGAGATTGTTGAAACGTGGTTTAAGTTATTTTGTCTTGAGAAATTGTTCTCTTTGTATAGGTAGGTATTTTTGCTTGTCTCAAGAAGTAATGGTTTTTCTAGATTAAATGACTTCAAACAAGTAACAAAATGCCTAGAAAGAAGTTATATAATCTTATGCTATATATCTCATCATAAGATTATACACTATAAACAGCAATCCTGTAATCAGACATATTAGTTATATTCACTAGATTATTATGATTTCATTGCAATCACTTTTTTGCAGTGTAATCATTTGTAAACTGTTTTTGTAATGAGTTCATCCATGTTGTGTGTGATCTGTCATACTCAACGAATCATCACTCAGGAATTCGTTTGGAGTGTGCTGTGACCACGCTGACTAATTGCTGACCTTCTTGATGAGTGGTTGAAGAACGCTCTGACTAATCACAGGTGTCCACATGGTCTGGTGAACGCACAAACCCTATGTTAATTGCATTTGCTGATTGTAATCTCAGTAGCACATTACTGTTTGTGATTTTGTGATTGCCTTCGTCATGTTGTTTTGTCAAATATTGTGTGGTTGGAGGGGGCGTCTATTTGTGAAAGTCCTACCACTTTATTGAGTTGGCGTAGTTGAAATCAGAAGTTAGGATATTTACCGTCATCGTGACAAATTACACCACAACATGGTTTTCTGAGCATATTGTACAACTGCATGGTTCATTAAAAAGAGCATAATTAGTTCTGTGTAATTGGATTTACTGCATTGCAGGGTGTGAAATGTTGAATTATAGTTTTTGATTTTTTAGATGTGGCACTACTGCTGCCTCTTTTTGTCTGTTTCACCTTATCAAGCCTTACAAAAACTAAACATCATTATGCATATCAAGTAATGCGTATATTAGTATGTCATGTTTTTGCCATATCGCCAACTGCTGCTAGAAAAAGTTCTTGTCCGCATCCTGTGATTTGAGGTGGTGATGAAGCGCTTGAACCAAAATCACACTCAAAGTGATTTGTGCTAGCCAGATGTTTGACCTGTCAGTAATCCTTCAAGGGGATTTTTAAAAAAATATCTGATTAATTCACTTGTTTGAATTGCTTTTTCAACTGCTTTTCCCCAATGGCGGTTACCCTTCTTAATAAGCCAGCAAATGTACCTTGTGAGTTGCCCTTGAGCAAGACACCCAACCCCCATCTGCTCTCCGGGCGCCGTGGATAGGGCTGCCCACCGCTCCGGACAAGTGTGCTCACTGCCCCCTAGTGTGTGTGTTCACAAGTGTATATGTGGTGTTTCACTGCATGGATGGATTAGAATGCGCGGGTGAAATTTCCCTGTTGTGGAACTAATAAGGGACACTTAATAATTAATAATAATAATAATTAGCATGATTTATCTTTGCCTTAACTCGTTTGTGGACTCGTATTTGTATTGTGTTTATTGTGTTTTGCACTTCTTATATGTTCTGGTGCTGGCCTACCAAATTCCTGTGTACTTTGTAGTGATTCTGATAGGAACTAGGGGTCACGATGTCTACAGTGCATAAATATAATCGTTTTTTTTTGTTGTTCAAAGTGACCAGTGAACCTACACGTCTACAGTGTGGTATGATTATAGTGGTAAAATAATATTAAATTCTAAAAAATTGAGGTTTTATGTACTATTTTACCTAAAAAAGCCCAGCACATACTTTTACACAATGAATGGACTTTAAAGAATTTTGTTATAGGTCAAAATTTTATCTCAAAACTGTTGTAAAACAATGTCTCAGGCATCAAAACTTTCTACGATACAGTGTTTAGAGGCATTAAACTCTTTAGACATCTGGTTCCTATCACCACCACTGTGAACAATCCTGACTCTGTATGTTTCTCTAGAATGGAGCATTTCACACCAAACCATCCTAATTTACATCCTAATGATTTAACTGTGCAAAAACTTTGAAAATTCCTTTGGAATTCCCTTTTAAACATCCAGTGTTGCTCTGTGCCATTTTACCAGGATTCAACACCAGTTTTCATATCTAAGTACAAATTATTTCTGCATGTCATTGTCTATGATGTATTTCTTATTAAAGCACATTTTGAACAAAGATGTTCTTCCCTAATGATTATCCAGGATTGAACATATTCAGCTGGACATGGTACGTGCCAGGCGTGCATTACCATGGTTACGGGGGTTGCTACGGTGCTGACCCACATTCTGATGGTCTCTTGCTGGTTTTGCTGGTTTGGTTCTGTCTGTGTTTTAGAGACGTGTGAGCCAGCGATTCCCCCCCTTCTGACAGGCTAGACCCCGGAGGAAATTGACTTGCGTACTCACACGCGCACAGCGTCAGCTGCAAAAAACCTCTGCATTCATAATTACGCACACAGCTGGGGCTTACTGCGGCTAGCGTCCAGGCTAGAAGCACGACACGCAGGCCCTTTCTGTGTGTGTACATGAGAAAATCCTCTTTTACAGTGGGTTGTCAGTCAGGGCTTTGTTATTTCTGTGAAGTCTGGAGGGTGTATTTGCATGCTCCGCTAAAAGAAAGGCTTAATTCACAATGTCTCCCTCAAGCCTGTTATTCAGCGCTCCACAATGAGTGAAGATTTATCCGACACAAAGCACTTGTTAGTAGACATGCTGCATCGACCTGTCTCCAGCTCAGGAATAATAGCCTTTTAAAAGACCACAAGATACTAGTCATTGTGTGGAAAGACTATATTTCTGCCCGACCCTCTTCTTAGAGGTGTGCTTAGTCCTCTGGTGAAGTTATACGGAGACAATAAGCGACAGAGTCAGTGTGGCTTTGACAAGAAGCTGCAAGATGGTGATCTGCCTAGCAACACGTCAGCCTACAGGGAGGTACAGTTGGGTGTGTGCAGAGAGAGAGAGAGAGAGAGAGAGAGAGGGAGAGAGAGGGAGAGGGAGAGAGAGCTGCAGACTAGAGGAGAGAGGGGGTGGCACCGTCAGCGCACATTGTCATGTTCATGAGCATTTCGCAGCCCTCTTCGCATTGATTTGAATTAATCTCACAATGATAGTCTGTGGAACACTGCTTTCATTTTTTGGGGGCTGCTTTGTCTCAGTTTTTCACTCTGACTAACAAAAGTCAGCAGTGTGAAGTGGAGTCTTTGTCCAAAGGCGCGATAAGGAGATGATTATGGTCAGGACAGTAAACGGCTTTGTTTGCTTTCCAGGCTACTTTAATAGGCCCATTTAATAGACTGATGTATTATTAGAAGTGAAATATGAAGGCCTCACTAGTCTGTGTTAAAGGAAATATGTTAAAGAAATATCAAAATAAAAGAAGAACAGAAATTACACATGTAATGTCAAACCATGTGATATTGGAATCAGCCAATTTTGTTTCTAAAAAAAAATCAACATCAGAGATTTTTCAGTATTTCAGACAGATAGTTGATGAAGAGCATTTCAGAGCATTCAGAGCATTTACTGTGCTCTGAAAGAGCAGAACGTTTCGGAGATGCTGGGCTACTGAAATAAAATGTGTTGCTGCATTTGTAGCCTCAGAGGCTCTGCCCATGCACACCTGGAGCATCTGCTTACTGTAGCATGTTAAGCTTGGATGGTAATGTAACTTTAGACAAATTATTATTGTCTCTAGAATTGTCATGATAAATGATATAATGATATCACCTGTGAGTGATGCCCTTTAGCTTGCATTTTCCCTGTTGTTAACATAATTACCAATAGGGCTAGTTTCTAATATTACTTAAAGCTGCACTATGTAACATTTGGGGATTTGGAGAAATCTGGTGAAAATATGTAATTGCACGCAACGTGTAGAATTTTGTAACGTCATTTGTGCTTTGGACCCCCATGAGTGTAGAAAATATCTACTATTGTCATCAAATCTTCATTAGTATAGTGTTGATTTTGCATTTGAGACCTAAGCATCGAGTCTGACCTTCTTTTTGAGCCTATGCGTGTGACATTAATGCATAGATACGATGATGTGTGTCTGAAAAACACCCAATTCTGACCCTACACCTCTTAAATAATTATTTCAGGCTTTACAGGGTGAGACTCTAAAGCACAGACACTATATTTTAGCATGTCTTTTTCTCCTGACTTAGTAACACTACTTCTTTCAGTTTTAACAGTAAAATCCTACGTAGAGCTGCTTTAATCATTTGTAATGATAACGCTATTCTACACAGATAGCATGTAACATTATTAACATTTAGTGTTAGTTGGAATCCTACATATTGCCAAACTGGTGTGTTGGTGTCCTTTTTCTACACAGCTTGTCCATTTTACTCTCTGCCGGAGAGAAGATCTCATGTACCAGAGTTTCTTTCTTTCAATGGGATGTGCCCCAACATTCTTGACCTACATAATAATCTTTCCAAGTGGCATTCAAAGTATGTATGTGTGTAGTTAATTAGTAGTTAAATAGTTAATTAGGTTGTGTTCTATTTGTGTAACCTATAATTAAGTGCAGTGTTTTCTATTATTTACATGTTTGAACTAACCAAAGATTAGAATGATCATGCAAAAGGGAATGAAAATAATGGTAATTTTCCTAATATCTGTGCTTATTTAAATTGTTGCAGTATTTGATAATGCAGTTTACCACCCCAAGGCCTACTGGTAAAAACTACTGGTATTTTCTCAGTTTTATTCTGATGGCTGAGTTTAATCTGTTTCATGGGAAACAAACTTTCGCAAGCAGTTATCGCTCTGATCCCCATGACAAGTATTTGGGAACAAGATATAGATGCTGGATTGGAAGTCTGTGAAGTTTCATTCATTATTCATTGTTTTCCTTGTTTTTCCATGCACACCACTTTGCTGGCCACAGATGTGTTTTTGTATTTTAAAAGTCCTGACCCTACACATCACACAAAAACAACAGTGCTGAATGTGAGGTTATTTTGCATGTCAGTCAGACAGGCCATTCCTGTCAAAGAAGGTGGTACCTTACCGTGTTAAGTGACAGAAACGCACAGAACTCTCTGACGATAGGCTGGCTTGTGAGACAAATAAGTGTTATATTTCTCTAAACCTTTAGATATAGGGTTACTGATGTTCTGCTCTTCTGTTATTATGCTGTGACACTGGTATCAGTCCAAATCTCCTAAAAAAAAGATTCTTATAGCAGGTCTGACCGCTTCTTTAAAAACAGATCTGAGGTATTACTAATACTCTGTTGAAATAAATATGGCTACAGTTCTTCTTGGACATTCTTATTTTTGAACAGTCTACAGCTGATCTCCATAACGCAACACCAACTAGTGTGGAGAACTGGTCTAATGCTATTTGGTTTATGACGGATCATATCTGAAAAAAGATTTTTTTCTAAGGGAGTTCTAAGTCTGTTCCCTGAGAGAATTTTTATGTATGTATGCGTGTATATGTGCATGCGTTAATATGCATATTTATGTAAAACCCAACAAAAAGTAATTCACAAAGTGTTATATTTCTCTGTAATGTTAATCCAGCTAGATTTATTATTAATGTCTATATAATGTCTATGTTATAAATGCTTCTGAATCAGTAGCGACACTGACAGATGTATACATGAGAAATAACTGATATGCCCAGTACATTCCTAGCATGTGCTGTTATTTTGGCACGTGGTGCTATTACTAATAAATATTTTAAAAGATGTTTGGTAAAAAGTGGTGGTAGGGAAGTCTCTAGTGAAATATCATAGGCCTTTAGCTCATATTGATCACTGGCTCTTTGCTTTGCTCTTACCGTAGAAATCTCTCTAAGAAATACCAGCCCAAGAAAAACTCCAGAGAGGAGGAGGAGTACAAGTAAGTATTTAGCATTTATTCATTTCCCTGGGTACATCCCAGTCACAAGATTCCATCATTCCAAGCATTTATACAGTTCAGTTAAAGTTGCTCTGAACTCCGGAAGTCAGATTTCTCTGAAACTCTGAAAGTCAGATTTAATGAATACATTTTAATGTTTGTCAGAACAAACATCACCAGCATTTTTCCAGGTTGATTTGCAGTCATCAGCCTATATGAACGACACAATTACATTTAGACTTCACTGGAAATTGTTTTATCTCATGTAGCTGATGTGTCATTGCCATGGTTTATATTGTTCACTTCATCTCTGAATGCCTCCATTTCTTGATTCTATATGTTAATCCATTAAAGGAATTCAGTTTTAATTCCATGTTTATTTTTTCATTCCAGTTTTTCAACCCTGCTAAAGTTTTTTTTGTGCTTTTAACACACTTTAATTCAGCTCATAAGGGCCTCATTACCGGCTGATGATCTCAGGTGTGTTAGTCCACGAAAAACGTGGCTTAGATACGGCTTTGACACATTCTCTCATATTGCCAGGTACACCTCCTGCAGGGCGTTTCTCATGACCCTGAACGAGCTGAACGACTACGCCGGGCAGCACGAGGTCATTGCTGAGAGCCTCTCGTCTCAGATCATCTCAGAGCTGACCCGCTACATCCAAGAGCTGAAGGCCGAGCGCAAAGCGGTACGACTCTTCTTCTTTTTAAGAAACAAAACAAAAACCTACTTTATGTTCTGCTTTCCAGAGTCTAATAGATTATCCTGAAAAACCAAATCCCTGACCCAAGCAGATTTTTATTGTCAATGTTTTTTACAGTGGGGTGGAGGGGGGATGGAGTGCATCAATCATCTCTGAACAGGAATCAAATCACATCACGAATTGTGCAGCCCACCCCTGCATCCCCCACCTCCCATAAATCCCAAGATAAAGAATGTGAAATATGTTATTATTTTGTTGACAATTTCATAGCGCAGTGCGGGATAACGCTGCAGCTAAATGTGGGTCATGTATTCGGGTCAGTGGAGTGGGAGCAGGAGCAGGAGCATGTCCTCCCCCTTGCTGAGCCCCTCTAAGGCCTCTACAAGGCCTCTATCTGAGCCGGCTGGCTGGAACTAACGCGATTGGGGTTGGGGGGGGTGGGGGTACATGACCACGCACAAGCTGAAGAAAATGTAGAGCAGCTCGTTTTTCCGCCCTGATGAGGTTGGTGCATTTAGCCCATCTTTCATGTATGAATGGCTCGCTGAAAGAAAGTGCTCTTTATGTATTTTTCATAAAGCATGTAATGGCATCTTGTGAGTGGGAGGAGGCAGAGAGCGGTCAGGCACGAATGCAGTGACGTCGGAAACATGTCACTGCAACCTCATTGACCTAAGCAAATGATTTTGATGACAATAAGAAGTTTGTGTACAGTTTGCTTTTAAAGGAATAGTTTAGTGAATATACAGATTTACAGTTTTTCTTTTACCCCAAATATAGTTGGATGTGTTTGATGTTTGAACTTTGCTTCAGTAGTTTTGCACTGGAGCTAAGAGGCTAATGTAGCTAACAAGCTATGGAAACTTATGCAAACCATTTAGCATTGGTACATCATCACACACTTGCCTCAAGCCATGTTGAATTGTTAAGTAATCTCAAACAGACTTGCTTCTGTGGTTTCTGGCACTGTATGACAGGGGCATTGAAGGGCCAGTGTCCAGCACAGTTTGGTGATTTACCTGCTCAAGCACACCTGATTACGCTCATCTGTTAAGTTTAGTGGGTGTGTTTGAGCAGAGGAACCGCCAAACCAGGACTGAAGTTCTGCATGACATACTGTTATCTATAAAAACAAAGGCACAGACAAAGTTCAGGCTCCAAGATGCCCACTGCTATTATTTTAGCTTTAAGTAGCTATAATTTTAACTACAGTGTTCAGTTGTGTATACTGTTCAAGATAGGTACCAGAAGTTGTTCTCACAAGAGGTAATCAAATGTCATTTCTCTTCTGTTTTTATTCTCCTGAAGCATTTCCACGATGGCCGCAGAGCCCAGCAGCATATCGAGAACTCCTGGAAGCAGCTGGAGTCGGTGAGCAAACCTGGTCCTATGTTAAACAGATGATCCCGCGAAGGTGGATTATGCTTAGACCTGGTCTAAATTTCAGTGTTAATGGGAATTTATCTCTAAAAATCGTTTCTCAGTACAATAAATACAGGATGAAGCTTATTCTGAGTTTATAATACTTGGCCAAATGGAAATATTTAGGTTTTGTGTAAAAAGCTTTGATTGAACCAGTCAAGAACAGTCAGTGTGAGAACTACAGTAAATGAAATCTTAAATCTAATTAATGTATCTAATAGTTCTCATTGTGAGATGGTTGTAAGATTATTAGAAGATCATTCAAATTATTACCAGGTGTTTTTACTTGTTGTAATTAATTTTATCTAGAGAAATTGTGTATACTATTGGCTGTTAATTTGGCTTCTTTAAAGACATAATGCAGAAATAAATCGTTGACACGCACAGTTGTCTGCCAACAATACATGACACCCATGACTTTTTACCTGTAATGACTTAAAACAAGTAAAAATGTCTACAAATAAATCAGTAAAGCAATTACTGTGATTTTATCACAGATAAGCCTTGTTCTTCACCTGAGGTAAAATCACTGTAATGCATGGTCTCAAGTAGTTTATTGTTTATATACACAAATTCTCAACAAAATATTTCAGTTATAATTAATCACAATAAGCAATTCTTCCATCAAGAAATGTAGTTTGTTTATGCTATTGTTGCCATTAAACTATGGACTGCTGAGGGAGGACAAGGATATTCAGACGGCTGTCATTATAAATCACAGTCAATGTTGTATTTTTCATCATATAATAGTGAAAATGTCATAATATAGCAGTGTTTATAGTATAATCCTTTGCTTATTAAGTACATTTTGCTCAGCACCACAGTGATGATGCTAATGTGGCTAGCATATCAATGAGATTTCCTGTATTATATTAGCATCAAGCTACCAATGCCACACATTCGTGTTCCCACACTGAGTTTACCGAGTACTACTCAAGGCAGAGCTCTCAAAAAATACTAACATTTAAAGTGTGTAAGTCACTCAAGCCACAGTCTTTTTTGTAGTTTTACAGTGAGTCATTTGGTTTTAGTCAGTTGCTGCATTAATAAAGAATTCAACTGTTGAATTGTCTTGGCCAATCAGATTTTAGGACATTGAACTATCCATTTTTTTAAAATAATTATATGTTGTTATTCTTACAGCAATCTCAAAATGACACTTATTAGAACGATGAACTATATTTAAGATGTTTTTATGTGTTGCCAGTAAATCAGTTCTTGCAGTGGACTATTCATCCTGCTGTACCGAGATTTTTTTGCAAGGGGTCAACCTGTTTTTCTTGCTGGTGGTTGATGAAATCTGTGCTGGTCTCTTGCAGAGCAAACGAAGGTTCGAGCGAGACTGCAAGGAGGCGGACCGAGCCCAGCATTACTTTGACAAAATGGACGCTGACATTAACGTAACCAAGGCAGACGTGGAGAAGGTATGCTCAGAAGAAGCTTTCTGCCTTTTTCTTTTTTTTTTCTTGGTCTAATGACCCAGGATTCTCATTCCATCCCAGCCCCGGGTTTCAATACGCTGAGATAAGGTGTCTCCTGCAGGGAGTTTGGGATGGATGCGTGTCAGTGACGTGCTTGGCATTCATTCAGATCTTTCCACTGCATCCTAAAGAGTCTTGCTCCTCTTCCCTCTAACCATAGCTTTCCTCTGGAGATGTGCCATACTTTCCCTGCAGGGAAATTGGACAGTTGTTGGAACCTAACGAGCTGTGGACAGTTTTACAGCCCATGTCATGAGTCCTTTTGATTAATAAGTCTAAGCTGATTCACCCTGGCAAGAAATACACTGCCACTTCCCCTGAATGGCCTGTTCCTTTCATTGGATTTTATAGTACTTGGAATTACCAAGATGGTAATTATACAAGATTATAGCTGAGATTTTGCAGAGTTGCAGTTTTTTTGGGTGCTGGGTGGTTTATAAAAAGTGCAAAATGCAGATGGACATAAAAACGTTTTGGACAGCGTTGTTAGCTAAAGGTAGACTCTTGGCACCTTTCATATAACATCTAAAAAAGGCTTAGATGGTACTATTATTTAGTAGGGATAATTTTACTACTTATTTTTTTTATTACTTATTATTATAACTATTAGTCTATTAATGTGATTTTAACCAAATAAAAATTATAGTTTAATGCTAATTCAGTATTGTGCAGAAGTCAAAGACCACCCTTTTATTTATTTAATTAACAGTCAAATGGCCCTTAGTACACATTATTGATGTTTCAGGAACAAAGTTGAAAACTTAGCTTGAACAATTAAGTGTAATGTCAGTGTTTCAGTGTTTAGTGTGTCCACTCTTTGACTTTATTACACCTTGCATTCTTTTCAGAAGACTTGCTTTCAGTTGTTCAAAGAATCTTGTAGGGATCCTTTTCTACACCTCCAAAGTTCAGCCCAAACATTCTCATTTCTAAATGGAGGCTCATCGGTTCTTAAAACCCTGATGTCCATCCCAGATGTCCAGTTTCGGTGTTCTAGTTTTTTCCTTTTCTCAGTGAGGGCTTCTTGACAGCTACACATCCTTTCAGACCCATAGCGTTGAGCTCTTCTCACAGTGGAAGGATGGACAGAAAGGTCTGAATCAAGAGTGGAGCTTGATTTTGATGAAAGATGAAAGCTTTCACTCTCGGCTTGCTCGCTCGGGTTTGGACCCGCATTTTCTGTAAAGCTGCTTTGTGACAACAAAGCGCTTGACTTGACTTTAAGCAAGGTGCAAAATATGGAGAGGTCCGGGATCCCCTAATTAATGTACTAATTGGACCCCCTGAATGTCTCAAAATCCCTGAAAATGAACTTACTATGATATTTTGCTGTCCATTAGGGAAAAATAGACACTCAAAAACAGATTCAGGGAAAGCTGATTGTTTAGCCTGCCTCAACCACGAACGGGGAACAGTCTTTACCTCTGAAAAACTTTACAATATGCCACAGCACATGTTTAAATCTGAAAACTTGCCCAATTTCCCAAGAGTTTAGTGGAAAGAGTGAGTTGTTACTCATTTCTCAAACCGAAGACAAAAGAGGAGACGTGTAAGATCCCAATTAATGCGAGGAAGACGGCATTACCAAACTAGAAAGGAGCATTTCCGAAGGATGAATTGTTGAACCAAACATTTTGTTGCCATTAAAGCTAGCATTAGCGCCACTATGGCAAGTGAGCAGCTAACCAATGCTGGTATAACCAGCCAATATGGGACCCCCTGAATACAAGGGAGTATTTCGCACTCTGACTTTAAGTACTGTTTTTCTGATGGGGACAGTTTTGGTGGACTACCAGGTCTTACACAGCTGTTAAGAGTGCCGTGTTCTCTGCATCTTTAAACTATTTTTTGAGTTTTGGAAACTCGTTTTTGCACTCATTTTTGTTTTTGCACTACTTAATGAGCGATTTAACAGGACATTAAATATTTGGGCGGTCTGTGACTTTTGCACAGTATTCTATTTGTATATTATACGCATATACAATATTTGATTATACGCATCTATACGCATTGCTAAGTAGTCCTTTGACACTAATCGACTCTGTTTTTGTTTTTTTAACATGTCTCAAAGCGGTGTTCACTCAAGGTAGGTTTATAACCACAAGTTGTCTCTGTCTGTGGGGAAGTGTTAATCTGTTTAGTGTACACCCATAGACATCAACATCAACGTAAAATGTCTGTTGCAAAATTAAGTTCTTCTTTTTTCTTTGTCCGAATCTCTGCCCCTGTTGCTCTATCACCTCCCTCTGGCCACCGAGTGCAGGCATACAAACACCAACAATAAACAACAACAGACTTATTAAACTGCTGTTTAGTACAACATTGACTCGATTAAGCGACTGAAGTGGTGCATAATCTGCCCATTCATAGAAAAAGCCACGAGTTGCTTCAGGTTCTAAGAACAAGCGGCCAATTCCTGTCCATTTTCTGTGCCGTGCGTCTTGGTGTTTGTGTTCTGTTAATGTGCATGCTGAATGAATCTGTGAAACCTGAGTGATTCTTTTTTGACTTCTTTACTGTTTTGACTTTGTCTCATTTGTGTATGTGTTTGTGACCACAGGAGCACTGTATCTTTTCCTTTGCAGTTTCTTTTCCTATTCTCTGTCTTTACTTCTTTACTTCTTCTGCTGCCATGATTTGCACTGATGTTAAACGCTACGCTTTTAAAGTTCTGGAGGTACTGGGTGATGGAGAAGTGGGGCGGTATTACTGATTGTCTAGATGTCTGAAACCCAGTTTACACCTGGTCATTTAATGTGCCTTGTATCTATATTGTAACCTAATAATAAAAAGATTTTAAACACATGCATTTACACTTGGTACACTTGGTACATTTGGCACCTCCCATTAGTCAGATTAAAATCTGTTTGCTATGTGATAATATGCAAATCAGCTCATGTACCTGCCTTGGCTTCTCCTCATTCTCCTGTTGTATTCAGTAGAAAATCACAGCTTTGCACCATGTTGTTCATTTCCTTACACTGGAAGCCAGTGTTTACAAGTGGGCGGCTGTTTATAATAATTAGCCTGTGTGTTGAGATGGTGAAATATAGTTAACCAAAAGCAAACTTGAGCTTTATTTAAGCTTACTAGCTTAAACGAAGTAGTGTACTGATTTAGGCTCAATCCCATTCATCATTTTACCCCTACACCTTGTTTTTGAGTGTCATCTTGCCCCTTGGAACTGAGTTACAGGGGTAGTGGTTGAAATCATCCCCTACAAAATGGGACCCTTAAATAGAAAAGTACATCATTTCATTAACAGGCTACTAGCAGTGCTCTGTAGGCGACCCTGCCAGTCTGCAGTGACAGCAGAGGAGGGTAAATTTCAGTAACCTCACTGCTGGGGTTTAGTTACGTTTAGGAAATCATATGCCTTCAAAGAGGGGGGATGACAATTATTTATTATCTCCCACCCCTAATTCTTCAGTGATATGAAGCTGAAGTCAGCTATTTGCCAGCTTCTTGTTCAGATTTTCCCATTGCACCTTAAATGGAGCAGCAGTTACATTCTGGTGCTTCTGGACTATTTAGGAAGGAACGGGAAGACCAAGACATCAGCATACTATTAGCAATTGTTTATGCTTTTGAAGAAAAGGACCAACATATATTCAAACGACATTAAACTAAGATAATACAATGGTTATGGTAATGTTTATACGGAAAAAATACTCACATTTGTGGGTTTTTTTGGTCGCTCGCACAGCCATCTTGCCGTTTTTTCTCATAACACTGTTTGGAGTGTGCCTCTAAAAAACCTCCCTAACACTTCACCCTACCTTCTGTCTCAGCAGTAATCGGGACACCCTACCCCTAGGCGTGAACGCGCAAAACGGAGGGCTGAGGGCTAAGTGGTAGGGGCAAGGGGAGAAATGGGATTGGGCCTTAAACTCATAGGAGAAACTCGTGTCAGCAGTTGAACTAAAGAAACAGCGATGCCTCTGTTTAGTGATGGCAGTCCAGTAGTTGTTGTCCCCCTGTATGCAGAACTGCAGAGTAACTAGGTTACTCTATGCTCAGTCTATACTAATTGAAAAAGTCATTTTCAGTCATTTATTTAGAAAGAAATGGGCAGTCACAGTAAACAGCATTTAAATGTTCTGTCGCTCTCCATGCCTTTACTCTGAACACACAGCCAGTTATGCTTGATTAAGATCATAAACAGCTCATTTTGTTTTAATACAGAGAAACGAGCCACAATGGTCCAAAAACAGCTGCCTCGAAAAATAAAAGTGCCTGTGAATTGACTGTAATGCTTCTAGAGCTGTTCCTGAGAGAAAATCGAGTCTGGCCTGTTTAGGTGAGGTTGGGGATCTCTCTTCTTCTGCGTGGGGGTCTTCATCCAGCACATTCCTGTTAGGTTGTTTAGCTGCTCGACAGACTGCTCAGTGAGTTTATGGTGCGTCCTGTGCTCGTGCCTCTCTGCTCGCCTTTATAATCAAAGTCAGCAGCACACGTGCAACGAATTGCAGGTAGATGATGTAACCCAAGTAACATAATTCTTGTTAGGTCAGTACCTGGGATATTACTAAAAGAATTTAAACTGTAATGCATTACACTGTTTCATTACAGGAAAAAGTAATCACACTACAGTAATGTGTTACTTTGTACCATGTTACCCCTAACACTGATGGTCCTGTTACTCAAGACACATGAAATGACCAGGTGTAAATGAGGTCCAAGTGCCCCAGTCAGACCATGAGCAGAAAACAGGCAGTAATCCACAAAGCAGGCTTCTCAGCTAGATTACTCAAGCCAAAGGTCAAGACTGCCCAAAGGAATGTGTCTAAATTCACCTACATTCAGATAGTCTTGACGTTTGACTAAATGTATTGCTTAAGTAATCTGGCCTTGTGGACAATCTTGCTTTGTGAATTGCGCCTGTTGTTGTGAATAGACTGCATGAAATAACGTGATACCTTGTGGTGATTTTTTTTTTTAAGCTGTTCTTCCTTTTTTTGTGTTTGAAGTGTTTTCCCAGTTTCCCCACGTTTACACAGATTTTGCAGGATGGAGCACTGTAGAACGGAGTGTCTTTAGAAGCAGCTGCACTGGAGCGCTCTGCTCTCTAGTAGATTGGCACCTTTCCATAACGCAGCATCTGGTTGCCACTGTTTTTATTATCCCATGTTGTTTTTTATTCCCGTGCCACAACTAAAGTATTATGCACTACTAAAGCACTGTTTGACACCAGTGTACATGTTTGTTTTGTGTTTAGTTGTTTGTTTGTTTGTACTCCACAGCGTTATCCTGCAGTGGAGCAAAGGATACTTTTAAAAACACTGCGCTTGATGGACATCCCACCTTACTGTATCTATCTGTCTCTCTCTTTCTCTCTCTCTCTCTCTCAGGCTAAGCAGCAGGCTCAGATGAGGCATCAGATAGCCGATGACAGTAAGAATGAGTACCTGTCCTACCTACAGAAGTTTAATAAAGACCAGCATGAGCACTACTACACTCTTATCCCTCACATCTTTCAGGTAAGACATGACTGACACACATACATTAACACTCACACCCTCTCTCACATCCTCACCTTTTTCAGATCTTACTCACATGAATACATACATTCTGTCAGTCTCACACCTTTCAGGTGAGATGCACAGGTTAAAGCAAAGCATGCACATTTCTCACTGACACTGTAGCTGCCTTTGTCAAGATATATACATATATATTGGTCTTGGGGCATTCTCTGAATACAAATTAAAGCTTGTTTATTTATAATTTTTTTAGCTAAATGTATTACTTAAAACACTTACAATGACCAGCAATAATGACCAAGTACTGAAACATTAGTGTAGCAGACATTAGCGTCTCGTTCCTTTATTTGGGTTAATGTTAAGTATTATATTTAGGTCAGTGTTTTGTTGCGTATCCCTTCTTTTGGATGGCAGCTTGAGGACTTCTAGGTGTGAAGCGCATCAGTTTGCAAAATTGTTGGATTTGGATTTTGACATTTGGATGGCCCGAGTGTGGCACGTTTTGGAAACTTCCTGTCCTGTCCTTGTTTTCTAAAATTTCGATATACAGTTTGAACACACCCGGTCAAATAAGAGAACAAATTTATGGTATTTTTCTGCAAACTTTAGTGCACGATTTCTATTTATCTGAGTTACAATTAGAAAAAATATATATGTGCCGTAACTTTTGCACAGGTCACATTTTGTGTTTTTTCCCCAATATGTTCAATTCAGCCAATAAACAGTAATTGTGCATTGGAATGTGCAGAAGGGTGTTCTCTGTAGAGGATGTGAAACGTATCCACTTAGAAAATCAACAAAAGCTGTCATTTGACGAGGGGTGCTTAAACTTTTGCAGACAACTGTACCTGCATATTTTCTCACAGACGTTTTGTTACTAAGAGGCAGTTTGTTTTTGACAAATGAATTCCAGCCAGTGTTCATGTTTTCAAAATCAGTATCTCTCTGAATGTTGACTAAGTGTAATGTGTGTCAGATGGTGGAGTAGCACTGTAGAGCTCTGGTTTGAACATGACATGAGTGCGAGTGTAGTACTGGAAGTAAAAAAGTGAACATTTTCTAGTTTTCTTCTGTTTTCAGCTGGACTGGTTCAGCTAAATTAAAAGTTATAATAAAGCTGAAATGATGTACCTTTGAATACGGTAAAGCACAAATTCCATAATACATTAACAATTGAAATAATTTTAAAAAATGGTGTCTCAAAAACTACAGGGTATAGTCAGCCGATACTCAGAAGAATGCATTTGCAAAGATTTAATGTATCATGATGCTTTGCATTATTACAGTTTGAGTTAGAATAGTTAGCACTTACGTTTCCACTGGTTTTATTTACCGTGGCAAATGTGTAGCAAATGGAAAGCTGGGTATAACATACAAAACAGCTACTGCCATATTTAGGTGTTAAGTAGGTGCTTCATCCACATTGACTAAACAGCGAATGGTATAATATGCAGATAAATAGCTAATATAGCGTACTGATGCAAGGATTCAAAACAACAATGCAAACTTGTGAAAATCTATTGGACAGCTCTATATTTGGTCAAAAGCGATGTTTGAGGGTTTATTAACATGGATATGGATTATAATGGATATTTTGTGATTGTACATTTTGGAAATCGCTATGTGTTGGTGCGTTACAGAGGATCCAGGAGATGGAGGAGAGACGGATTGAGAGAATAGGGGAGAGTATGAGGTGCTATGCTGAGGTGGAGCGTAAGGTACTGCCCATCGTTAGCAAATGTCTGGATGGAATGACCAAGGCAGCGGAGTCTATCGAGCCCAAAATGGTAAGTGGACTGTGCTTTCTCCTGCTGCAGTCCTACTAAGAACGACTTCAAGTCACAGCTTCCTGCCTTATTTGAGCAAAAGTTTATTCTGGCTCTTTTACAAAACAGTTACCTGTTATAAAATAATGCACATCCTTTTGTGTCTCCAATGAAACCTTTTGCAGGAATGTTTTTTTTTGCATTCTAAAACAACAGGAATTAAGTAATCCATATTTAGCTGACAGATTTACCGTTGCAAAATGCTGACTCCATTACTTTGATTGCCTGTGGCCTACTTTCATGCTAATGAGCACTGATCGCTGCTAGATGTAGTCATCCAGGTTACCATGAATAATTTAGAGCTGTGAGCCAATCAGCTGCAGCCACCGAGCTGGTGCGTGTTGTTGTTGATCTGGACGGCTAAATCCTGTGGTTAGCGCTCACGTGGCCCCCTGTGGTCAGGCCAAGTGTCACAGATGGAGCGAGGCCACACCGGTCTGATTTCCAGAGAAACACTAATTGACTCGTACGGCTTGCTTTTGCTGCAGATTTGAAGTGGCTTACTGACCGCGATTGGATTTAAGCCCCGTGTGGCTTCATGGACGGCACACTCGGGGCTTTAGCCGTAGCTGAATTCCAGCCTATCAGATGTAGATGATCATACTAAAACATGCTCAAAATAACTTGTTTCCCTGCTGATTTTTTATCTCATTCTGCTGACATTGTATGAATGCCACAGACAGTCCACTGCAAGTTGGAATGGAGAATAGAGGAATTAGAGCTGCCAGCCATGTCTCATATTGGGTCTGTTTGTTTGAGTCTGAGGAAATGTGCTGTTTTGTTATGATTATTTGTTGAACCTCTGCCTTTACTAACCTTCAGGATATGAAGCATGTGTTGTCCATTTGCTTTGTGAAATTAGGAACTGGAGAAGTCTGGCCTGTCCAGAATAAATGACAGTCTGTTTGTCAATATGACACAGTTATTATGGGAATATGAAACATCCAAAGTATTCAAGTTGTGAAATATTTGTTTGTTTTTTTTTATAGGGTTTTGTCTTCCAAAGAAAAATACAATACAGTATAGTCTATACTGCATACTGGCCTTATTAATGTTGTGTAGATTCTCATTCTAATAAAACTTCTATAGACTTTAGTAGACAAGTACTTGTATGTGTGAGCATACTGTGTTTATTGGAACAGTATGAATTCCATTGTAAACAGACAATTCAAACTTAATGTTTTGTGTTATAACACAAAAAAAGGTTTATTTGAAAATAAGAAAAATAAGAGATAATTAACAGAAACCGTCACAAGTTCTGTGTAACACAATCCCCAGTGCTACAATGTGAAGACTGTGAATTTCTGAATTTCTCAGTTATTTATCTTAAGTCCTGTTTATTCAGTAACTACTATGAATAGTTTGGTAGCTGCTATGAAATGAATATGTAATCTGTGTCTTTATGAATAAATAGTGCTGGGTGATATATTGTTTATACTGATTCTGGTGTCACACATGTTCAGTATTCATAGATAACAAGCATTATATCCCAGGTTTTCCTCTTGTCAAGCATTTTATTTTTAGCTTTTTAATTCTATTTTGGTGTCCAGTAAATGACAGTTAACAAATAATGTATGTCATCTGCTGAGTGCTTCAGATTGTTTTAAAAGGACAATTTAAAATGCATTAAAGACTAAATAAATAGCAGGTTTCCTTTGTGGAAATCTGTGTAGTTAACATTTACAGTACTGTGTAAGGTTCTCTTTGGAGCAGTTTTAAGAGAAGAAAACAGAACAGAGCAGACCAGTCAAAACAAGCTGTATCATATTCTTTTAGCATAGAATAGCAGCACATAGGAAGCATAGAGTCTTTATTAAAACAATAGAGACTGTGATATATTTGGAAAATACTGTAATATTGAGTTTTATCATACCTGCTCAGCACTTTAAGCAAAGAATAAGGGGTTTAGAAATGTGACTATTGACAACTGGCAATCACATCAGTCCGTTAAGTAAAATTTGGAATATAGATATAAAATTATATTATCAGTTATCAGAACTTGAATGAAATGAATGAGCCCCATGAAATCTGTATCGGACACAAAATATTCCTTTCGTCGGACTGTAATTGTAAAACTAATATGTTTATAGTAAACCTCTTGGCCCTGTGACTGAGAGGATGTGGTGGTTTGTTTATGCAGCCAGAAATAAGAGTTTGTCTCAGGGAGCAGCTTGTGCTAAATGGAATGTTTACCCTGAATTAGACCATTCCCTCGAGCAAATGGACTGACTTTAAACCTACGTAGGCCCTTGACTTAGCTCTAATCTCTCTCTATCGCCTTTAAAAATGCTACAACCTAGTGCTGTCGTTTAAGTGCTGAGGATAGTAATCTTTTCCATCCCTGCACTCTCTCGGACCCCAGGACACCAAGCAGGTCGTGGAGACGTTCAAGTCGGGCTTCGAGCCCCCGGGGGATGTGGAGTTTGAAGACTACAGCGTGTCCATGAAGAGAGCCGTGTCGGAGTCCAGTTTTCTGAATGCCCGTGGGGAGAGCCGGCGCAGGAGCCGGAGCAAACTGTGGCCTTTAATTAAGAGGAATAAGGTAAAAACGCAGGTGGATTCCCCTCTGCTCAGATGTGGGTGGGTTACGCTGAGGTGCACAATAAACACAGGCCCAAAAACATTGGCTGAGCAAAAGCAGACAGGCGCTTTCTAGACAAGAAAGAACGGAGTAAGACCCCCCTACTGACAGTGATTCAATAAGACTGGGCTTAATCTGTGTTTGGAAAAACAGCCCATAAAATCTCAGCTGCTTCCTAGAACAGGAATATCTCAGATGGGTAACATTGACCTGTCTGTTCCCCACCTACAAATACAGTCTTTTGCAAAAATCCTATTGAACCTAATGAGAAACTGAAGAAATAATAGCAACTCAGTTTTGTCAAAATACCTGAATTTACGTTGAGTTATTGATTTCAAATGTCTCTTATTTGTATATTGTATGTGTGTGTAAGGTCACACTGTTAGAATACAACAGATGTATGTCTTTTTTTATTTTTTCCCCACCATTAAGCTATCATTAGCATAGTTTACACTCGATTATGTAGCGACTTTAAACAGAGATCCCTACAATTTCTTATTAGACTGAATGGGATTTTACAAACATCCTGGAAAGCTTATTCAATCTTGCAAAAATTACTAAAAAAGAATAGTTGTGGAGCATGGATGAGTCATTTACTAGGGTCATGAACAAAAAAAGGGGTCCCACTTTATGTTAAGTGTGTCTAATAACTGTGTAGTTACACATCAATAACATATGTAACAACACTGTAACTACTGATGATGTAAGCATTGTTACAGATGGATTACAGAAGTATAGCCTGTGTAATTACATGTGTATTAACTTCAGTTTTGCCTCCATCTTTTTGATACACTACAGATCAGAAGTCTCTTTTTGCATAATATAACATTTATGTTTTGCATAATTATTGTGGAATAACTGTGTTGTAACAAGGTAACATAATCACATCACATTATTTACCACTCTGTAATTGCATTGTACCTATATAACAACTGAAGTTGATACAAATGTGTAATTGCATTACTCTGTAACAGTGACAAAATCATTAGTTACATTGTTTTTGCACATGTTGTTCACATGTAACTACAGTTATTACATAAAGTGGGACCAAAAAAAAACAAAGCATGAATTCAAGACATCTTTTCAAAAAGCCTTAAAATATTCAAAAGCTCAGTTTCTAGTTCCCCGGCATCCAAATTTGGACGCTTATGGTAGCAGCTCTGAAGCTGGAGGCCTGTCCATGTCGGAAACCATGAAAACAGGGTGGATGCAACCCAGCTGGTCCCCCCATAAGGGACAGTGAGTGTTTGCCTTACCTTCAGTGTTTGTCAGTATCTGTTTACATATAGCACCAGCAAGGCAAGCATTCAGATGAAGCTGTATTTTACTGAGTTGACTTGCTTGTCTTAAATCTCATATATAAGATACACTTTATCAATGTTATATCTGCAGCACTCTTTTATCACTTTAGCAAAACTGGTAATGAGCAGCTGATTGCATTCAAAACTGAAGGCTGCAGAAAATGTCTCCGTCTGGTGGAGGAACAGAGTCAACACAGTACGTTCCTACCAAGCAAGGCATTATACTTATGTAAGCACATCAGGTCAGAATGGAACAGCTAGGTGACAAAACATATCTTACAGCTCATCATCAGAACAGACCACAGCAGCAGAGGGTTGTATTTGCTTCCTGTGCACTCAGAATGACCTCAATCAATGTGGAAAGGATATTTAAAGAGGATTGCGTGAGCTTCCCCTCATGCAGCCCTCCTTAAATATAGCGTGAGCTTCCCACCATTATTTATGTTGATTTATTGTGACTTTCAGAAAAAGACAGAATAAAGTGTAGCAACCAAGACAGAAAGAAATCAGAGGAGCGACTGATTAACATTTAACACCATAGCTAGTAGGTCTGGGAATGCTCCTAGTCATCATTGTAATATTAGGGCTGTCAAAATAATTGCATTATTTTGTGTAGTTAATAGTGACCCTAAAAAGATTTCATTTAAAATCCGTGTATTTCGTTTTAACTATATAACTATATCTTAAGTAATTCAATAATATTATTTTCATGAGATCACTGATGATGTGCCCTAGTTATGCATAGTATGATGTTTTACTCTGTCTTCATCATACTCCGATCAGGCATAACATTATGGCCTTGTTTCTACGCTCATTGCCCATTTTATCTGCTCCACTTACTATATAGGTGCACTTTGTAGTTCTACAGTTACAGACTGTAGTCCATCTGTTTCTCTGCATACTTTGTTAGCCCGCTTTCACCCTGTTTCTCAGTGGTCAGGACCCCCATGGACCCTCACAGAGCAGGTACTATTTGGATGGTGGATCATTCTCAGCACTGCAGTAACACTGATGTGGTGGTGTGTTAGTGTGCGTTGCGCTGGTCTGAGTGGATCAGACACAGCAGTGCTGCTGGAGTTTTTAAACACTTCAGTGACACTGCTGGACTGAGAATAGACCACCAACCAAAAATATCCAGCCAACAGCGTCCTGTGGGCAGCGTCCTGTGACCACTGATGAAGGACTAGAGGATGACCAACACAAACTGTGCAGCAGCAGATGAGCTATCGTCTCTGACTTTACATCTACAAGGTGGACTGACAACGTAGGAGTGTCTAATAGAGTGGACAGTGAGTGGACACAGTGTTTAAAAACTCCAGCAGCACTGCTGTGTCTGATCCACTCGTACCAAACCACCACCACGTCAGTGTTACTGCAGTGCTGAGAATGATCCACCACCCAAATAGTACCTGCTCGTTTAGGGTCCATGGGGGTCCTGACCATTGAAGAACAGGGTTAAAGGGGGCTTATAAAGTATGCAGAGAAACAGATGGACTACAGTCTGTAATTGTAGAACTACGAAGTGCACCTATATAGTAAGTGGAGCTGATAAAATGGACAATGAGCGTAGAAACAAGGAGGTGATCATAATGTTATGCCTGTTTGGTGTGTATACGATATACAGTTGTATGCAAAAGTCTGGACACCCCCAATTGAGTTTTGTTGATGTTTTGTTGATTTTCTAAGTACAAATATGTATACATATACGTATAAGGATCAGATTTAAATATGCATTTTTCTGCTAATTTTCATGCAGACTTTCTGTTTATTTGCTGAGTATAACAAATTGGACAAAAGGTCAAACTAGGAAAGAGCATTAACAAAGTTAAACAAATAATTTATTGCATTAACATGTTATTAACAGAATTAATTCATATTAATCTTTCTAAAAAGATCTTAACAGTTTGTTATTGTATATTTTACATGCTCATAAAAGTCTCATGCATCACATAGTAGATGGGCTGCTCCAAATTAAAGATGAATGTCAGCCCTTGAGTCTTATTCAGTGTCCTTTACCATGTTGTGAAAACACAGTGCACCTCCCTGCCCTGCACTCTCTTTAATTGTGTGTTAACAGCTTACAGTTAACTTGACTTTATCTAATAATTTAAAGCCCAATCAGGAATCTCTACCAAGTAGCAGAGGCATTGTAATTACAGCGACATAAATACATAAATCATGCATGCATTAAAGTGTGCATTATGATGTTTACCATGCTCTCAGTTTTGGTCGTCATACATCCTTAGCTGAAATTCCTGATTGTGGTTTAAGAAGAAAGTTCTGAACTCTTGCTGTCGTCTTGCTGTTCCTGTACTTGGGTGTTTCTCTCTCCTCACTTCTCTCTCCTTCTGTCTTTCTCCATTCCATCCATTTCTGAACGTGGCTCCATCACACCCTCACCTATAGCTTATGTCTTTGTTAGCGTCACCCCGCCAGCCCCCTCCCCCTCCCCCCACGTCCCCCTCTCCGGAAGGCCTGGCAAATGGCCCCCAGTCACCCCAGCAGCCCAAGGAGCCGCTCAGTCAGCGCCTCAACGACTTCATGAGCTCCAAACACAAAATGCAGTGCCTGAGGAGCCTCAAGCGTGGGGTAAGTGGCAGAGTGCGCTTGCTGGGGTTCATGGGAGTTGTAGTGTATTCCTCTCAGGAGTATAAGAATTCCACTACTACCACTACTACTGCTACTAATAGATATACCCAATAATAATACCCTTTAGATATACAGCACCATTCATACTTAGAATGCAACTGAAAGTACTTAAGTGTCAAATAAAGCCGCATAAGTTTTGCATTTACATAATCTATGAATAAAAATTAACGACAAATAAACGTGTATAGGGAATGAACTGAGAACACACTGAGTTGCTAGTTTATTCATTTTACCTACCTTGTTTCTGCACTCTTTGGCTGTTTGGTCAGGTGCACTTATCCAATGCAGCACTTGGCACAATTCACAGACCACCCTTCATTGGTTTAACTTCCACTCAAAACTGGCATTAAGTGCAAAGTTAATTATTCTCTCAGGAGATATTTCTGAGCAGATTAGATATAAGATAATCCACTTGCATAAAGAAGGCCAAAGTCATAAGAAATTAAATGAAACAACGGACGTTTCCTAAACTAGAGTTCAAAAAATGATTACACGAAACAGAGAAATGACACTCCTAACAACCGTGCAAGACCTGGTAGACCACCAAAGCATGTCTAGGTAGCTAGCTAGCTAAGTATCCTGTTACACCTTAAATGCTACAGCAGTACCATGGTCAGAAATGCTGCACCATTTAAGGTGGAACGGGAAAATTCTAACAAGAAACTGGCAAATAGCTGACTTCAGCTTCATATCACTGAAGAATTAGGGGTAGGAAATAATTGTCACATCCCCTCCCTTTGAAAGCATATGATGCCTTAAATGTAACTAAAGCCCAGCAGCGAGGTTGCTGAACTTTATCCTCCTCTGCTATCACTGCAGACTGGCAGGGTCGCCTACAGAGCAGCGCTAGTAGTTTGTTAATGAAGTAATGTTCTTTTCATTTGAGGGTCCCATTTCATAGGGGAAGATTTGAACCACTACAACTTGTAACTCAGGTCCAAGGGGCAAGGTGACACTCAAAAACAAGGGGTAGGGGTAAAAGTAAGAAATGGGATTGGGCTCAAAACTGTCCCAGTTAGATAAACAATAGTTAAAGCTTTTGTCTTTGAGAGAAAGGAGAAAATGAAGCTCCACTCTTGCTTCAGATTTCAAAAAGGTGTTTCTGTCTATTCTTCCACTGTGAGAAGACAGCTCAACACTATGAGTCTGAAAGGATGTGTAGCTGTCAAGAAGCCCTTACTGAGAATAGACAATAGAAAATAGATAAAAAAGAGCAATGCACTGACCACCCCAGAGTCCAGACCTCAGCATTATTGAATGTGTTTGGGATTGTTAGAAGCCAAAAATGCAACCAACTTTAACTTTAAGACTGAACTTTGCAGAAAAATATCCCACAAACACAAACTTTTTTGTATTTAGTTGTTGAGACATCTGTGTAGTTTTCTGTAAAATGTATGTTTTCTGCTTTTTTCCTGAAGGTGGAAAATGAATAACTTGTGCTTAATGACCAGTTTGACTGGAAGTTAAGTAAATGGAAGCATGGTCTCAATACTAGGTGCAATTTGTAGGCACAAAGTACATGTATATGGTAGCTGCACCTAATTAAGTAGCCAATAAATGTAAGTACATTGTAGGAATAACTAATAAACTAGCAACTCAAGGTAAACAGGAAATATAAGGGATGTGATAAAAAAGAAGATGGATAAAGATGAGAAGGTTGGTCTAACTGCTATCATCAAATCTGCTCATCCAAATCATTAGCCACTAGCCAGTGTAATGCCTGTATGATTTGCCTTTTCCTCCATGCTTGGCTCTCAGTTTCATCCCAATCCATGTTAACATGAGTCCATCTCAGCTGCTGATCTGACCCCAATGTGCTGAATTGATTTGAAATTTCCTCTCTTCTGTTCTGTTTCTATTCTGTGCACAGCTCTCCCTGAAGCTGGTAAGTGTTCGTGTCTGCTCTCACCTCCCGCCATTCTCCAGCTTTGGCCTGTTTTTGCTTTGCTGTACTGCTTTGCTAAGTCATTATAACATAAACTAATACAGTGGTTGACTGTACATAGCTCTTATATGTTACTGCTATTGCAATTGCTTGTTTGTTTATTACATTTTCATAGTATTTTGTGAAGTTGACCAGGGAAGGATCAGAAAAGGGGTTTTTAAAAGGGCTTCAGAAACAAGATGTATGTAATTAATGTGTTAATGTTAGTCACTGTCTTCTGCTTTGTGACCACAACCAGTATGTTGTGACCTTTTCTGCTTTTTGGAACCTATAAAGTCTGTGGCTGCACATTTGATATCATCTTATTTAAACTTTCATGAAGAGAAATGATATCCACCTTTTCAGTTTTGTTGAGTCTGTGTGTTTGTGTGTATGTGTCTCAGGGAACAGGCCAGGAGGACTACAGTCACTTACCACCTGAACAGAGGAGAAAAAAACTGCAAGCCAAGCTTAATGACATCAGCAAGGACATCCAAAAAGAGATGGATCAGAGGTACCTGCACGTGTGCACGCGCACACACACTTCTTCATGCAGTTTCCAAAAGGCTTGAAATCAGAGGTGGCATGATGCCTCAGTTTCTTTCCAAACATTGATACCGATAAGTATCCACTGATATGGATCCCATTTTTTTCCCTGAAATTTGCGCGTAGCGTTTCGTGCTGCTATGGAATGCGTTGCAGCGAGAGTGACGATAATTATTCAGCTCATTTTTATATCATACTCTTATAAATTTAATGAAGTAAAACTTATAACATCATTTATCCCGCTTGGCATCAGTTGACTGCCTCTTCACAAACTTAGCTTTCAAGCTAAAAGATACGAGGTGAAAAAAGACCAGGATAGAAACGTTAGCTGAGGTAACAAACCATTAGCAATAGTCTGTTTATCTAAAAGACTGGCTGCCTTTCTCTGTGTAAATTTAAAGTCACATATGATCTACTGTGCCTTTCTATGGTCTCAACATGGGTTAAATCCAAACGAGTAATTGCAGAACGCGAGTGGCGCGCAAGGGAGTCGCTGAGCACAGAATGTCAGCGCTGGTGTGTGTACCTTGTTAAAAGCAATTGTTCGAATTTTTGGATGCTCCACAGCGCAACATGACGCATCTGGTTTTCAGTGGCCTTAATGATCTAAAAGCCCAATTGTCAGTTACTAATAATCCAGTCTACTATACCAATAGTCGACTACTAATAGTGTACTACTGTATTCTAATGTAATTGACCAGTACTCCACTACTAATAGTCTAACTGACCAAAAGTCTATTACTGATAGTCTAACAGACCAATAGTCTACGACTAATAGTCTGATAGATCAGTGATTTACTTCTAACATTGTAACAGACCAGTAGTCTACTACTAATAGACATATTGACCAGTGGTGAATTACTAATGGTATAATTAACCAGATCTACTTCTAGTAGTCTAATAGACCAGACTATTACTAATAGTCTAATAAATCAACTACTAATAGTGTAATAGACCCAAAGTCTATTACTAATAGAATAATTGACCACTGATCTGCTTCTAGTTGTCTAATCAACCGTCTACTACTAATAGTTTAATAGACCAGTAGTCTACTACTTATAATGTAATAGACCAGTGATGTAATAGTCTAATAGACCAGTGATCTACTTCTAGTAGTCTAATAGACCTATAGTCTACTACTTATAGACTAATAGACCAACTACTAATAGTCTATTAGACCAGCAATTTACTGCATATAGTCTAGTAGACCAACTACTAATAGTTTAATATGCTAGTTTAATATTTCTTTTAGACCAGTGGCCTAATACTAGTAGTCTACTAGACCAACCACTAATAGTCTAATAGACCAACTACTAGTAGTCTAATAACAGTATGCCAGATTTCTTACACACTTTTTTCTTTATACAAAGCTGTTTTATAAGGAAATAATAAAGTACAAAATGTAGTTCTAGTGTAAAGCTTATACATCCCAATAAAATAAAAATAACTTCTGGGTACTGAATCAGTGCCATATTTACTTCCTGTTACCATAAAAATTGTTTCAGCGTTGATGCCACATCATGTTTCTTTGTCATTGTCCACAGGGATGCCCTGACTAAAATGAAAGAAGTGTACATTAAGAACCCTCACATGGGTGACCCCAACAGCGTGGACCCTCGCTTAGAGGAGGTGCAGCAAAGCATAGAGAAGCTTCAGCTCGAGGCACACAAATATGAGGTGAGGAGAATCACATTAAAGTCATAGTTGAGTGAAAAATCAAGATTTCAAAGTTTTCCTCTTACCTCAAATGTAGTCTGTAAAGACATGGTTGATCTTAAGCTTGCAAAGTTTTTCGCTGAAGCTACAAGGCTAGCTAAAAAGTCATGGAAGCACATACTCCACTATTCAGCATCATACAAAATGAACTTAAGAAAAATACCTAAAGTTTGGGAGGAGGACCTGCCTGAAGCTTCTTCTTTTAATTTAACCATGTGTAAATTTTCAGTTTGCTCATACAAGAGCACCACCTCTGTCTCGTCCCTGTTCCGTAGTCTTTTACTCCTTATCTCAAGCTGCCCAGAACTCCAGTCCAAGTTCTTAGAGTTCTCTCCCCTCATATGGTGATGCAGGTTCTTCTCATGCTACAACCATATGCTGAAGGAGTGGCTCCAACTAACAAACTGTTAGCTACAACATTAGCAAAAGCAAAGCCAAAATTCAGGCTTCAAGGTTGCGTCTACTGCGGTTTGTAGCAAGGCAAAGTACTTTTTATGTTGACAACAGTATGTCATACCATTTTAGAAACTCTATTAGCAAGTTCATATGAGATTAATTAACAATTTAATGCAGTTTGAGGCAAACGTGTGATGATTAAGGCATGTTGCTTCCACTACTCGTTAGATACATTAGCCTTGTTACTTCAGTGCAAAACTAGAAGCAAATTTCAGACACCAACATGTCTTGACAGATGCACTACATTCAGGGTAAGGGGACAATGGTGTAAACTTGATTTTTTTGCCAAGCTGTTGACTTAAATTCATACAATAAATAGTGTTAATGAAGGTTCAGAGACAAACTTGACTGAGAGATGTTCTCCCTCTCCCAGGGCTGGCTAACGGACGTGGAGAGAAAACTGCTGGAGAAGGGCAGCACTCAGCGGAGACAGAGCGCTCACTTTGACTCGCAGGGCAACACACCCAACAGCTGTGCCCAGAACAGAGAGAGGTACTCCGAAAGAAAGCACTGACAGTCCACCTCCCAGTGGTCACCTGCAGATTCTTTGTATTCATTTGGACTGTTGTATGTACTATATGTCTTCTGCACGCAGTCCGGATGGCAGCTACACGGAGGACCCCAGCACGGAAACAGTGCAGTTCAAGTCCCGCAGTACTGAGTTTGACGATGAGTTTGATGATGAAGATCCTTTACCCACCATAGGAACATGCAAGGCACTCTACCCCTTTGAAGGTAGCGGCAGAAACGTACTAGATCCCAGGAAAGGCATTAGACCAACTTGTATGATTCAACCTCGATTTAGTTTATGGGATTTTTAGCGTGAAAGGCCTGTTTGTGAACAATCTGTTTATGAGCTGTTAAAGTACTAGCGACTTCACCCACAAATGCGTACAGCAGTTTACCTGCTTACGATGATGTTATAAGGAGTTTTTCATCCTGATCTGCTTTTTTAATGAGGTGCAATACAGAGCAAGCACTTACAACAGTGCTCAGTTTTATATGCCACTCATGACACAGTAACAAAACCCGCCTAGTTAATTCTTAAGGATTAACATGAATTATGAGTTTTTTGTACATAAAACTACGCAAACATTATAAGTGGACTTCAGGGGGAAAATCTAGGGTATAGGTCCTATGAGGCGTTATGTAACTAATATCAATATAAACAGACAAAAGTATAGACAAATTTCAGACTTCAGTATGGCTGCTAGTTCAGTTTACAGCAGTGCAGCGTACTTTTGCCCATTTTAATTGATAACAGTGAGACATTGTGCAAATTTACGACAGCGTTTTCAGGCCACTGTTAAAAAAGTAAAAATAATAGACCTTGAGAATAAAGTTGTAATGTTTTGAGAATAAAGTTGTATTTTTTAGAATAAAATTATAATATTTACAGAACAAAGTTGTAATATTTCAATAATGAAATCGTAAAGTTACAAGAATAAACTTGTGATATGTCAAGGATAAAGTGGGCTAATTTTAGGGGGCTGCCATAACGTGTTGGGGCCTCAGTTGCTGCAGTGGCGACGGCGAAGACGCTGAGCGCGCTGGAGTTCTGCTCACTCCTCCGGGGTCGATCATTTTGATTATCATTCTCATTGTCGCCTGTGAAACTACATGCCCTCTTCAAATGGCACAGAGATGTAACCACTGATAGCCGTGTAGACGACCACTGCCTGTGAGTTCTTTTTCAACAAAACACTTTCCTCCAAGTCCTTCTGGTTCTTTATTCTAAATAAATACAGTTTCTTGCACAGCCCTTTCAGCCGTTTCTTATACTAATAACACTCTGGTGCTGATGTGGCAGGGGACAGGGAGAGTAATTCTTTATAGGAGAAATCGATACGTAAGTATAACTACGAACTCCTCAGTGTCCCTCATTTTAACACAAGGAGTTGCTACCTTTCTATTGCAAACGCTTTTCCAGTAATTTCCCACCTTAATGTTGTAATTCTATGACTTTATTCTCGAATTATTATGACTTTATTCTCAAAATATCATACCGTATGACTTTTTACCATGAAATGTTATGATTTTTAACCTTTTTTTAAAGTGACCCTAAAACGGTGTCGTTGCAAATTAGATTTTTCGCCACAGTTTCACTTTAATTATTAGCAAATCTAGCATATTTGGCTGAAATATATATTCTTTCCAGGAATATTCAAATGCTCCCAGTAGTTTAGCTCAGCATGTCTTCTGCTCTCACACTTCAGGCCAGAACGAGGGCACCATCCCAATGGCGGAGGGCGAGATGCTGTACGTGATCGAGGAAGACAAGGGTGACGGCTGGACACGCGTGCGCAGGAACGAAGACGAGGAAGGATACGTGCCCACGTCCTACATCAAGCTGTGCTTCGACGCAAACTCCAAAGGTGCCATGACATACATTTAACCAACAGAGCTAATACAGCATACCTAGAGTGAGCAGCTTCCCCTGATCGTCCACGTCCTCGGGCCATTTTCGACTGGTCGCCAGGGCGGGACATGAAGCGAAAAGGCAGGAATTGTTCACTCTAGGCTGTTCATGATTTATCTCTGCATAAGAGAGAGAGGATGAAAGGACATTGTGTACGTGAGCTGTTCAAAACACCACCTCCGTCCTATGGGAAAGGAAGTGGCCAGAACTTGATGTTTTTACATGTGCAAGATATCGTGTAGCATATCGGACTATTTGTGTCTGTGTATATAGGCTTCTTTATTTGGCATCTTTCTCCACCTCAGTATCAGTAAGAGGGAAAAACACGTCCGTAAGGATGAGACAGGCAATAGAACCGCTTTCGCGGTATCCTTTAAGTCGTTAGTAGAAAAGGCTGCTTAATCTACATTTCATATCATAGCTTTGGGTATTGTGGTTGTTTTTTTGTATAAAATGTTTGAAACTTGTTAATTTTTTTTTGTCCATGGCTAAGCCAAAAGTGAGTGACTCTTGGGTTAAGAGTATAATTCTTAAAATAAAAACACTGCTGAAACAAAATTTGACCCAAATAAATGCCTCATTGTGCCCTAGTAAATAAAGAGATGAGGCTTCAGTTCAGTCCTCAGACTAATTTATCAAAAAATGAGTTGTTTAGATTTTTATCACAGTTCAACTGTTTAAATCCTAAAATTTGACTGTAAATACTCTACGAGAGAGCATGGAAGAAGGAACGGAATAGCCTAAAGTTTACTCAGGTACTTATTTTCTTGAATTTCTTTTAAATGAATTTCTGAGATTTTTTGGCCCCATTCATGCTAAAAGTGTACGATAAGGAGAAAAAAAGAATAGCTCTTGCATGTGCGTAACAGATTCAGATTTAGCTAGCTTTGCATTCGCTGCTGTCCACAGTTCCTCCCCCTAACGATGGTGGTAGAAAACCAAGCTTAAGTAGTTAGAGAGCTTCAGATGTCTTCCAAGTGGCATGTGCTTACAAGATGCGCTGCTTTTTCCACGTGACGAGGGCCTAAAAACAAAACATTCTGCATGCGGTTCTTAGTTCGACTGGCATGAAACACGAACTAGGTTAAAGTAATTACTGTTGGATTCAGATTTCCCTGGAGATTTAGGACAGAAACAAAGCACATTTTGTGATTCATGGTGATAGTGATGTGATCGCAGCTGTTTCTGCATGCTTTTAATGCATACAGGAGAATCTGTCGCTGTAGACTAAATCTAGTCCATGGTTTTCCTCGTGAAACAACAGTAGCTGTAAATTCTGCGCTTGATAGACCGATAAAGAAAGTATTAACATTCATACTGTATTTATTTTATCACTCTGTCTCTTTTTGTTCAGTGTTGGGTTCATGGATGTGTACGTTCAGAAGCTTCCGCTGCTGTTTTTTACTTTTCTCCGATGACTGCTTTCTCTCTCGTGCTAATCGTAGCGGGCAAGAATGAATCTGGGGAAACAGTTGTTATGAAGAAAGGAATGTCATAGAATAGTGTGTCACATTCTTATGCCGCATCTCTAACATCTTGTGTAATTTTTTTTTTTTTGTTTTCTTTTGTTTATTTCTTTGCTTTTGTTTTGTTTTGTTTTTTGTTCTTTTCTTTGCAGATCCCTAAAAGCGTTTGGCTGGCACAGGAGTGGCAGGGCAAGCGTCCTTGCGCGAAACATCCTCCTTCTTAAATGTGTAGTCAGAGAGGTGCTGTGTGAGGCCTGCCTGACAGGCAGTTCCATTCTTAGCGCGGTCTCTGAATCTCCTTCTCCTTCGGCCAGAGGCAAAAAACTACTCGGAATGTTGTCTGAGGTCTTTATTTTCCTTTTTTTAAACAAGCAAACAAAAAAAAAAAACGTAGTGTGCTGATGATTTGCTGAGCTTGCTTCTTGTATGGACCTAGACTCCTTTAGCCTTGTGTGCTAGCTGCTTGCTGTCAGACCAGAGCCCTTAGGTACAACCAGTAGTCCTCAGAGGCAGATACAGGACTGTGAAGTGCACGTAGTTGTAAAGGCTTTCACTTATAATAACATAGTACCTGGCGTACTTCTGTTAAATGCCTGACCTGCACAAGATCCTTTGCTGAAAAAACAACCTTTTTAAGAACATTATCAGTCCTGACTTTGTTGTGCTCATTGAAAACCATTCAAAATGTTTTTTTTTTTTGTTTTTGTTTATTTTTTTTGTGGGAGGGGTGAAGTCATGCTTGCACTGATGATGAAAAGTCATTATACAGTATGGTGTGTTTTTTTTTTGAGAGTAAATCTCCATCGAGTGTGTGTAGAAGTGCGTGAGGCAGCTCGTAGGGTTGTGTGTCCGCCGCACTGGTAAGCGCACCTCTATAGTCGCTCTCACTCTCTGCACACAGACAGAGCAGTGCCACCTCACTCTCTCTCACTCGCTCACTCACTCACTCACTACCCTGTAATGTATGTACACACGCCACACCTCTTCTCTCTCTCTCTCTCTCTCTCTCTCTCTCACTGTCTCTCTTTTTCTATCTCGCTTTTCTGTCAGTCTCTTTTTGTCTCTTTCCAACTGCTCTTTTCCACCTCTCTCTCTCTTTTACATATCAGTTCATATCATTCTATCTCTCTCTTTATACGTACTTCTCCGCCCTCTTTCTCTCTTTTTACTAATTCTGTTTCTTCTTTTTTTTGCATCTCTCTCTCTCTCTCTCTCTCTCTCTCTCTCTCTCTCTCTCTCTCTCTCTCTCTTAGTTTTACTAGTGGTTTGATAGTTTTTTCCTTTTTATCTTTTTTCTTTTCTACCTCATTCTTTCTCTTTCTTTTGCTAATTCTTTTGTTTGTCCTTTCTGTTCTGCCTCTTTTTCTCTCTCACATTTTTTTCTTTTGCATCTCTCCCTTTTTATCTCTCTCTTTCTCTCGCTTTTTCTCTCACACACTAATTCTTTGTTTTTCAGTTGCATCTCTCCCTTTGTATGTCTTTTCCACCTTTCTCTCTCTCTTTGTCTCTCTCTCTCTCTCTCTCTCTCTCTCTCTCACTCTCTCTACCTCTCTCTTTCTCACTCTCTCTCTTTTTCTTTTATGCTTTTCTTTCAGTTACTTTCTGTCCGTCTTTCCACCCTCTCTTTTCCACCTATGTCTCTCTCTCGTTCTTTCTCTTTTACATCAGTTTTATTTTCTTTGTTTCTGTCTCTCTTTTTATATCTATATGTACTTTTCCACTTCTCTATCCCTCTCTTTCTCTCTTTTTACTAATTCTTCTTCCTTTTGCATCTCTCCTTTCCACCTCTTAGTTTTACTAGTGGTTTGATTTTTTTTTTCCTTTTTGTCTCTCTTCTTTTCTACCCCTCATTCTTTCTCTTTTGCTTACTTTTGCTAATTATTTTTCTGCCTTTTTCTTTCTCACACTTTTTTTCTTTGCATCTCCGTTTTTATCTCTCTTTCTCTCGCTTTTTCTCTTACACACTAATTCCTTGTTTTTCAGTTGCATCTCTCCCTTTCTATCTGTCTTTTCCACCTTTCTCTCTCTCTCTCTGTCTCTGGCTCTTTCTCTGTGTCTCTACTTCTGTCTCTCTCTTTCTCTCTCTCTCTCTCTCTCTCTCTCTCTGGGCTCAGTGGCTGTGGCCGTGTCTCGTGTAGCTATAGTGGTGCCGTTCAGTAGATGTTGATGATGTTCTTTCGGCTGGTGCTGTGTTTCTGCGCATGCATGCTTGCCCTGTCTCTTTGTATGTGCCAGTCTTAGGGGTCCAGTCCTCTAGCAAGTTCAAGCCTTTTACCTCAGACGGTTGAACTTGCTTCTTCAGTTGTGTTTGTGCCTGTGGTTTACTTTTTTTTTCCTTTTTTTATTGAGGTATTTTTCATTTTTAAAAGGTTTTAGTTTTGCCACCTATGCATGGCCACTTGCTTCACGCCCCTGAGTTCTTCTCCTTCTTCTTCTTCTTCTTTTTGTATTTTTCACAAAACCAGGATTCTTCTTTTGACTCTGTTTCAGTGGTTTGCATTGTTTTACAGTAAGTTCAGTTTGATGTTAAACACAAATATTTACCTCATTTCTGATGGATTCTGGGCTGTTGTTTGAATCAGCTCCGAAAGACTAATATTGTTGTTTATCTCCATTTATAAAGAAAGAGTATTGCAGTGCTGAGCCGTGTGTGTATTCTCTATATTGTGCTTTGGATTTCCCTTTCCCCCTAAAAACCTCCTCATAAACATCAAACTGCCAAATCGGGTGTCAGAGCCTTGTGATTTCATTGACCAGTCAGCTGGTCCCACGTCGTGTTTAATGGGAATAATAGGACTTAGTTACACTTCATTTTTCGAAAGAGGTGCAATATAAAATATCTGAACTTTTTATGTGCAAATGTAACATATTAAAGGCCATTGTGAAATATACTGCCATGTGTCAGAACGACAGTTTGTTTTAAAGATTCTTGTTAAATGCATATGGAAGTGATTATATCCTCTTTATCATGTACACTGTACCGAATCATTTATGTTGCACCAGCAGATGGCAACAGAGGGCAGTCAAAGTTACACAGGGAGGGGCAAGCACTGTGTGTAGGAGCATCTCTTCTCAGGAAATATTTCACATTCTGTGTGTATTGTATGTTTATGGTATGCGAAATAGTTTTACTTCCTCATATTTAAAATGCTATTAATATCTTAATCAGTGAAAAATGTCCAACCACGCCCTTCTTTTTGTCGTTTTTTCCAGCCCTTAGATCACTGTAAGCCTTCATGCCTTGCTGCCAAGTGACATCTACACCAACAGGAACTGAGTTTGAGTGTTTTAACAGAAAATTAGACTTAATGAAACTTTAAATTTGTAAAACTAGGACTGGGCGATCTGACAAAAATATATTGCAATACTTTTCATGATTCCCACAAAATGTATCACAATATTTCGTTTTCTTAGGTTTCGTTTTCTTAGGTTAATTTGGAACAGACCAAATAGAACCAGTATTGCCATATTTCAAAAATACCATCAAAAAACAATAAATACAAAGATTTTTGTTCACCATTTTATATACCACACTGCACTGAATCCCGTTAAACAGGACTAATTAATTATGCTCTTTGTAATGTAAGTTGTTCAATGTTCTTTATGTACTGACGATGTCCATGATATGCACAGAAAAGCAAATTGTGATGTATTTTATCACAATAATGATAAATATCGTCATGTTTCCCACCATTCTGCCTTGTTTTACATGTTAAATCACTTATTCACATATTTAAAAGCTTGAAACTCCTCAGTTAGCTGCCACTGTCTCATCAGACAAAGAAGCTTAGAGTCCTTGCTCTCTTAGACACTGATGATAATGCAGTGTTTGTAAAAAGAATGAGGAAAGATACTGTGATGTGTTGTTTGGCTTGTAATGCTCATTTAATGCTTGCAAGACATTTGCACAGCCCTTAAAGCGAAAGTTCAGCCAAAAATGGATAGTTTTCCCGCCTCATTCCAAATCTGTGCGAGCAGCCAAGACATATATGGCTCTAAAGTTTGCTTCTTCAGTTTTCCGCTGGAGCATTGGGGCTAACGTAGCAGTGAGTAATGCAAGTCTATGTCACCCAGTTTTTTTTTGTTTGACTCAGACTTAAGTCATATTAGCTCTGTAACTCCAGTGCACAACTAAAGATGCAAAATTCATACACTAAACATGGTCTTGGCTCACAGACTGCAATTGGGGTAAGTGGGCTCTTTGATTTTTTGCATTAGGGATCCACTGATTTGGCAGCTGTGGGCGCCAATATCCAATATTTTTCATATACATATCTGCTGATGCCAATACATAAACATTCATAAAATTAAAAAATTGGGACTAGACTCACCTGGATCAGCATTACAGAAAAATATGACCTATTTTTGTAGAGTTTTAAATGCAGTAAAGTGAGTAAAACAGACATTTTAGCTCAGTAGCTCAATGATGCCTAATGTTCTGCTCTCCTGGAGTGCAATAAATACACTGTTTGAAATTTCAGCCAAATTTTTTTAAAGCAAATGTTTGCTGGTACTGATATGATTCTGATCATTGTGCATCCTCATTTTGTATATTTGATTTTGTGGTTCCTTCCGTTCAGCAAAAAATCTAATTTTTATAAATTTGTAGTCGATCAGTCAAGACATGCTTGTCTGTCTGAAGCCTGGCAGCCACTGCAGGGGCCTGGCAGTCGTACCGCTGGCTGACGCTTTTGCACTGGAGCTGTGAGGCTAATGTAGCTAACCAGTTTCCATCTGGTGCCTTTTAATCTCAGTAAGGTTTTCCTGGTCAAATAAAAATATATAAAAAGAGTAATGGACACTTATTCCGCTAGTTAGCATTGTGCCAAATGCGTCACACATTTACCTCAAACCATGTAAGTGATTTTTGACACAGCATAACACTTCTCAATAAAAATGAACAAAAAGTACAGGCAAAGTTCAGGCTCTAAGATGGCTGGTAGGACTGGTTTTAGCTACACAGTGAACTTTCGTCCATTTTTAAAGAAAAAAAAGCCACATATCATCAGAAACCACACAAGTAAGTCTATTTGAGATTACTTAACAACGACACATGGTTTGAAGCCAGTGTGTGATGATGCTAACTGGTAGGTATTAGTTTCCATTACTTGTTAGCTAAACTCGTTAGCCTTGTAGCTCCAGTGCAAAACAAAAGAAGCCAGGTTAGGGCAATAAACTGTCGCTGACTGAGTACATGGGTAATAAATGTGATATTTCAGTGTGCATGTAACTTTAACACATAGAGTTTATATTCTTTTCATTTAAAAAATGGAGAGACGCTCCTTCAAACTGTGCAGTTGCTAGGTCGTACCGCTGGCGGACAGCCGCACGGCCGCTCAGACAAATGGTTTCCTCCTGTAGGGTCACTGCAGGGGCCCGGCAGCCTGAGAGCCCGAAATGGAGGAGACTCCGGAGGGGGGAGCGGTGTAATTAGTTCAGCAGGTGAAGACTGGGAAGGCCAGATAAAGAGGAGAACTCCTTACATCACTTCCTGTATTTGTTCTGGACTTTATTTTCAAACTTAGGAATGCAGTGCCTCTCAGAAGCTGAGGAATTCAAAACAAGTCCATCAAGTCTGAATAGCTTTGTTTCTTTTAAGATATGTTTTGCAACCCCACCCTAATATCACAAGACCGTTGTACCCCTCCCTGAGCCCCCCTCCCCCTATTCTCCCCTATTCTCTCAGCATTCATTTCCTGCCTAATAGTGGGTCATTCTTTTCATCAGATTAGAGGCTGTATTCAACTTTACGAGGTCTATTCCTCTTAGATAAGTTCATTAAAATGCTATTAGGGCAACATTGGTAGTAGGAGTGGAAAATATGTTAATATTGCGATGTGAAGCTTTGGTGGATATTGATCTAAGCTGCTCTATTGTTACATAAAATCCTGCATGTGTATCAATACTGTCATATTGTAAGGTCAGAAATTAACACCTCTGATGGAAGATGATGTTCTCGCCCATATTGTGAGAGCGATTGTGTAAAATTATTAAAGCAGAAATGAAAAGATGAGATCTACTGAAACGTTATACCCAAGCAGGCATATTTATGAACTGGCCACTGTTTCAACTGCAGTTAATTGTGTACTTAAGTGTGGGGTCAGTGTACATGACGTACATGCTGACAAACTGCTACTATGACTGTAAAGTGACCAGTGGCATAACTAGAATCTATATGCCCTCATAAGAAAATTGCCTTCAGTGATTAAAATAATGACAAACTAATGCTTACTAGCTATTGCTATGGGTCAAGCAAGTTAGTGCTGTACCGTAGGCTAATGGTTGAAGTATATTATTAGGTTCTTGTAGCTGTGCACGAGTTATGGGCATTAAATTGTGTAAGTAAAGTTATAATGGGCCCAATAAAGATGGAGGGGGGTCAGCTACAAGGGGCCTCACCGTGCTACAAGCCCCAGTGCAACTGTCCCACCTGCATTGCCAGGGAAGTTAAAATTGCAGTGAAGTGAAAAAAATTTACAAATAAGTTACAAATAAATCTAAAACTGAAATATGAGCAGGACTGTTGGTAAAAACTATAAGTGCACCAAAAAGTGTAAAGTGTGGACATTTGCTGGAGGTTCAGGGCTGTAAAGGGTGCCTGTTTAAAGAAAAATAGTGAAAAAAGAACAATTTTGTGCAAAATGTACTCCATTTTCAGTTTATTAGAGCATTGAACATTATGAAAAAGTACTTGAAATACTTTTTATAAGTATTTTATAGTAATGTGCTAGCCACAAGCTAATATGCACTTACATGGAGTCTGCTTTTTCTCCCTTCTCTTGATTTTGAGGTAAAGAGGAAGCCATATTTTCGGAGGAGGGAGGGTCTGCCTTCAGTGTTGGTTTGCTTGTGTAATTTCAGGCAATATAATCACTATTTAAGAGTATTTTGCTCCACTCTGTTGATACTTCTGCATATTGCATTGAGAGGCTCTTATTGAATGATACAGTGCAATAAAAAAGGGTTGCTATTTAGAAAAGGAATGTAAAGGAGAGAGCCTTCAGTCCAGGCTGAAGGAGTTCTGCATTTAAAAGAACGGACCGAAGGCCGCAGCCATGGAACCCACAGGAGAACATGGGCTTAAATGTTTGCCAGACTCACTCAGGCTCATCAGAGCTCGCCCCAAAGAGGCCAGGAAGTCCCAAGTGTCTTTCCCTTCTGTGTATTAAGATCGTATCTGCTTTTTCATTGAAAGAAAAAGGAAAAAATCCCTGAAAGTTACCACTAAGAACGGGCAAAAAAGGCAAAAGGGGTTTGCTGTTCTTTAACCTAAAAGGGACCCTAAACATGACTTTGATGACAATTGCTCACTCAAGGATTGCAGGACTAAACATTTGGAGTAGACTGTCTCTGCCTTGGGGGCAATTTCAGCGTAATGACTTTTAGCAAGGAGGGGTCGGGGAGCCCAAACGTCTACCGGTGATTAATGCATTTATTTAGGTATTCTACAGTAAACATATGAATTTGTCTTCAGCGGACACCTCCTTGCATGCGCATTCGGAGCAGTGGAGTCATTTTCCTGGGGCTGAGAGACTTTCTGGAAGTAACACAACCCCTCCCAGCTCCTCTGCAAGCCAGCATGAAGCTCACTGGTTGCAAAATATTGTTAGGCGCTTGATTTCTCTGCGATATTTCTGCAACACAGCCCGCATCTTTCGTGGAAATGTCTATGTCTTAAAAAAGATAAAAAAAAAAAAGGGAGAAATTTGTTTTCAATCAAATGTTAGGATAAAGCATTGTACTTGGTGATCTTTGGAAGAAACAGTGATTTCTCCTGCCTCCGTGGGCTTGGCACCGTTTGGCCTTTCTAAAATCTGTCAGTCAGGACTGACGCAGATCCGTTTCCTGAGCCGGTGAGATTTTTATTGTTCTGACTGTGCACACTCCTGTATCTCCATCCACCAGCTACGTCCTGCTTCCTCTCGCTCAGGAAATGCTGCATTGCTTTCCCCACTCCTTATGTGGTCCTCCAGACATAAATTTAACTTTCCTGCTGTTATTCCACACATTTCTTCCACGTTTGTTGTAGGCTAGTTTGCACAGTTCATTATGAAAAATAGCACACAGACTTAATATTTGCTCTGATGATCACATTCTCATTCTCTCTGTATGGTTTAGGGTGGGTGGATGTCTTCAGGTTTCTAATTATTTTATCACCGTTCACAGTTTATACACAAATACGTCACAGATGACCATGAAATGAAGCATCTTCATTTTACATACTCCAGAAAGTATCCGGACACTTTAATCTTGTAACCATTGGAAAGCCTTAATGATGCTCTTTAGGTTACGTTTAACATTATATTTGTTAAAGAGAAAAATAGTTTTAGCACAACGTCAACATCAAAATTCCAACCAGACTGCACTACGGCTACTGTAAAGCACAGAGGTGGAAACGTCAAAGTCTGGGGCTGTTTTTCTTACAGTGTTCTCACTGAGCACGTATATATTGATGGGTTCATTACGGGAATAAAGGCATTTTTGAGCCAAACCTACAGAAGTCTGCAAAGAAACTGTTCAAATGATAACCAGCTGCCTCTTAAATGAATGTGGAAAGGTCTGTTGAAAATAGATGCCACTTGATTTGACAGTTTACTATCCCAATGAAATGATTAGATTTTTGAGTATGGCACAGGCGTCCAAATACATTTGGGGCAACTGTACATAATATAACTTCATTCTTAAGTAAAGAAATAGCTCAATATATTATATATATAGTATATATAGTATTTTCCATGGAGGGTTTACTTGTATGTGTAGAATGAATGCACTTATAAGGAATGCCTCAACGTTTGGGAAGTGTTTATCAGCTTTTAAAGAATTTGTCCTACATTCTTAAAAAAAGGTTCTTCAAGGGTTCTTCGGTAAAAGGTTTAGTTCAGTAAAATTTAGAACCATGAGTTCTATATAGAACCATTTCATGCTTAAATGGTTCTTTGCATGGTGAAATTGTTCTGATTGATGGAGAATGTGTTGTATATAGTTCTATATAGAACCTCTTTGAAAATGGTTCTATATAGCACCAAAAATGGTTCTTCTGTTCTTACAAGCCTGGCATCATAATCCTTTTTGGTGCTTTACCATATACACCACATTTTTCATCAATCTGAGGAACCATTTCACAACACAAACAACTACTTAAGCTTTAAATGGCTCATGGTTTTAAGTAGAACCTATACCTTCCTTAAAACCCCATGAAAAGCCTCTTTTTAGGAGTGTACAGAAACTAAAACTAGTGGAAATAAACCTGAGGCTCTCTTCATATTCAACTGGTTCAACCATGAAGTTCTGAAAAAGGTGCTAAAACAGAACTTCAAAAACAAAACTGTTTCCTAATGGCGAGTATGAGCAAAGGGCTCGGCTAAAGGCAGCTTTGCGGATGAAGACTGTGAGCAGGATGGAGCCTGTTCTCCTCAGCACTTTTATCAGCTCCAAACACACACAGGAATTCCGGTTTGGGAATGACCGTCCCGAGTCCCTGCTTCCACAGGAAGATGGAATAAAAAGAACCTCTTCAACGACAAAGGCGTTTCATTTCTCTCCAGTCGCTGTAAGGAACGCAAAGCTACCCGAGCCAAACATTCAACATGTTTGACGGGATCCACGTTTCGGTTTTACGAGCCACGACTTTGGGGGTTGAAGATGCTAGCAGGTAGAGTAACACAGCCGAGGCTTCAAATTTAAACTGTTTTTGTCGTTTGGAAACATTTGGACAGATATAAAGCCGCTCGGTCTCATTTTGTCTTGCGAAATGCTGATCAACTGCTGATAGATTATACTTTTTTTAGTACTTTATCACTTCGTTTTTATAAATTATCGCTCTGATCTGTGTTTGAAATTATCCAGAGAGAGCTCATTCTCAACGGCGTTATTTTTTTTCCACGCCCGTATTCCGGAAAACCCCCCCCGCTTCCTGTGCTGGGATTGGTCGGTTCGGCGGACTGCTTGTGAAAAGGAAGTAATAGCCAATCCTAACACGAATGGCGGGATAGTTCGCGCCAATCACAGCGCAGGAAGGCGGAGCTTGTTGGAATACGGGTGGGGAAAAAATAACGGTGCAACCTCTGTGACGTCAATTAAACGAGAATCGACGCGGACAGCCGAAACATTTTATTAACGCAAGAGAGAAAGGATAGTGAGAAGGAAAGAGGCTAAAGCTGGAGATCGACAAAAAAGTTTGCCAGCAGCTTGATGGAGGTTAACCGGACAAAGAGTAAACTTCATGGCTAAATATTCAACTTCTGTAAAATAGCGCCATCGCTTGGCAATTTTTATATGTTTCCAGTAATATTACCGCCTACATTTTTAAATATGTGTGGTTATTTTTCTACTTTAAATATGTGCTTGCAGTATTTTGTGTTTTTCTAAATTTTTATCTTTAAAAAGACCACTGAAAAAGAAAAGTCTCAATGCAAGCCTTAAATACAAAGAGCATCTATTAACATTTTATTATTAATATTACTGGAGTTAGTGAGAACAGTATAGGACGTGTGTACTTGTATATTGTTCATATCTCTTGTTTACGCTTTCTGTTTTATTCATTCTCTCACAGACATGGATGATGTGAATCTCGGACTCTAATGAGGTAATACTATGCAAGGCACTTTGCTACTGTAGTGTGCACTTTGTATTTTTGCATTTGTCAAATTTGTCAGAGGGCTCACAGTTTAATTTAACCACATTTGTTTATTTATTTATTTTCCGGTCACAGGAGTCTCTGCTTGATTTTACACTGATGCCAGATGAGGTCTGACCGATGGCAGAAGAGGAGAACTGGCCTGCTTCACAGCTCATTATTACTTTTGGTACGCGCTAGGCCTGCCTCAAACTCGTACCGTGAGTAATAATGCACTGTGGCAGGCAATGAGCTACCAGCACCAACACTACAACCACAGATTTGGAGTAAAGCAAAAAGGGCATGGAGAGAAACAACCACCAAAGTATTTCATATGTGATAAGGCTGTAATGCATTGCTTTAAATGAATGGATGTATGTAAATTGACTATGAAATCTGGAACGCACGGATTCTATAGGTTTGAATTCTGCTTCGGTTCCCAGTGAGTGCCGGCCGTAAGGTGGAGTATTAATGTTTTTCAGAAAGCTGCGTCAGCCTGGAGATGTTTAATCATGGGTTTAGAGACTTTTGATTACAACAAAATCTGAATAAATGATAAGTAATAGACAGACAGTTTTATTTTTTATTTTTTCAACTTGGTAGTGTTGGAGACAGTTGTTTTTAAGTGGTAGGTTTGTTTGCCCTAACTTAATGATAGCTGCTATTTAAAATGTTGAAAAAACTTGTTTAACATTGTATATTGCTTACGTTGCTTTATGTTAATAAATGTTTTCATTAAGGTAGTATTTGTATTTGACTGGTCATTTATTTTGCTTGCGTTTGATCATGTAATATTAGATAAAACTGAATTAAAGGTCAAAAAATTAAAAAAATAATGTGTCTTAGGTTTTTATATATAGATGATACATTTGATAAATTTGTAGACTCTGCTCATCTCACTTCAGCTTGGGTAAATAATACACATTTTCAAACTGTAAAACCCCTGCTAATTCTCATCTAGCAGTAGATTATAATTTTACCAGAAGTAGTTCTATTTGTCAACTTTTGATCTGATTTATCTTTGCTCCCGAAAAGAAGTTTTTGCTCTTCCCTGTAACGGCAGCGTTTTCTTTAAGGACCCGTACAGAGGTGAGTTCTTAAATAAAATAAAGAATAGTAAAAAAACAAAAAAACAAAATCTAATGTGAGAAAAAAAAGTATTCAGTCTAAAAACTTTAGAAATACTGAGAAATACCTTATAGAACTACAGGGGAATGTCTTAGAACATCTAGCATCTGTCATCACTGAAGTTTGTGTTCTTTGTTGTTTAAAATAAAACAAAGTTTGAAAAAGAGAACTGCGAGGATCAGCAAAGCAAAATGTGGAAGATTACAATAAAACTGAGCTAAAACTGGATTGTTTTTTCTCACATACTTGAGTAATAGTAAAAGTATTACCATTAGAGAAGTTCAGGTCCAGCGAAGATGCACTTAAATACATAGAAATAAGTAAATAAGTAAATGTAGTTCTATCCTCCTCTTCCTGCAGAACAGTGAGGTTTAGAGGGTTAAAAGCAAGGACAGGTTACTAGTCACGACATTGGGGACCAGTGTCCAGGGGTCTCTGACTGGGGGCTCAAATACTTGGGACAGTCCTTTGCAGACATAAACATTGCAAGTGACAAATGACTAAATGAATAAAATAAAAGTATGGATGCTGTATGTTTTCAGGCTCATATCCTGGTTCCGTTATTTCAGGTATTATTATGGGATTTTGTTGTTTCCATTCCAATAGGATGTAAACATTCATCCTTTCATCTGTTTTTGCATTACAACACAGTTTGGCATGAAAGAAAAAGAGAAGCTATCTTCAAATCTTACACAGCTCACATTTTGACATGAAATCGTAATAGGATGTTACACATTAATAAAGCTAATTTTATTTTCATAACAAACAATAAACAAATTTTCAATGTTGCTTTAAGTCCTAAGTGAATATTGCTCATGTATTATTATTATTATTAATATTATTATTATTATTATTATTAGCAGCAGCAGTAGAAGTAGCAGTGTAGCAGTAGTATTAGCAGTGGTATCAGTAATAATAATAGTAGCAGCAGTAGTAGTATTATCAGTGGTATTAGCAGTAGTGGTATTATTAGTAGTAGCAGTAGTCATAATAGTATCATCAGTAGTACTAGTAGCAGTAGTAGTAGTAGTATTAGCAATAGTAGCAGCAGCAGTAGTAGTATTAGCAGTAGCAGTAGTAGTAGTACTAGCAGTAGTAGCAGTAGCAATAGTAGTAGTAGTATTAGCAGTAGTAGTAGTAGTAGTACTAGTAGTATTAGCAGTAGCAGTAGTAGTAGTAGTATTAGCAGTAATAGTAGTAGTAGTATTAGCAGTAGTAGTAGTATTAGCAGTAGTAGTAGTAGTGGTAGTAGCAGTAGTAGCAGTAGTAGTAGTATTAGCAGTAGTAGCAGTAGTAGTATTACCAGTAGTAGCAGTAGTAGTAGTAGTATTAGCAGTAGTAGCAGTAGTAGTAGTAGTATAAGCAGTAGTAGTAGTATTAGCAGTAGTAGTATTAGCAGTAGTAGTAGTATTAGCAGTAGTAGCAGTAGTAGTAGTAGTATAAGCAGTAGTAGTAGTATTAGCAGTAGCAGCAGTAGCAGTAGTAGCAGTAGTAGTAGTAGCAGTAGTAGTAGTAGTATTAGCAGTAGTAGTAGTATTAGCAGAAGTAGCAGTAGTAGCAGTAGTATTAGCAGTAGTAGTAGTAGTAGCACTAGTGGTATTAGTAGTAGTAGTAGTAGTCATAATAATAGTATCATCAGTAGTAGTAGTAGTATTAGTATTAGCAGTAGTAGCAGTAGTAGTAGTAGTATAAGCAGTAGCAGTAGTATTAGCAGTAGTAGTATTAGCAGTAGCAGCAGTAGCAGTAGTAGTATTAGCAGCAGTAGTAGTAGTAGTAGTATTAGCAGAAGTAGCAGTAGTAGTATTAGCAGTAGTAGCAGTAGTAGTAGCACTAGTGGTATTAGTAGTAGTAGTAGTAGTAGTAGTAGTAGTCATAATAATAGTATCATCAGTAGTACTAGTAGCAGTAGTAGTAGTAGTATTAGCAGTAGCAGTAGTAGTATTAGCAGTAGTAGTAGTAGTATTAGCAGTAGCAGTAGTAGTATTAGCAGTAGCAGTAGTAGTATAAGCAGTAGTAGCAGTAGTAGTATTAGCAGTAGTAGTAGTAGTAGTATTAGCAGTAGTAGCAGTAGTAGTATTAGCAGTAGTAGCAGTATCAGTATTAATTTATCGTTTTAGCATTTAACAGTAGCCATTTTAATGTATTATGTGTTACTGTCATAAATATCTATGGTTATTGTTCAACTCTCCTGCCCAGAGGCCTGAAAAGACCCTGGCCCCGTTAGATATTCCTAACCCTCCTGGGTAAAAGGGCAGTGACGTCACCTAGTTACCCTGTTGATAGCAACCAGTACAGACAGCAGCTCAGCGCTGAAAGTCAATAAACCTGTAATGCGTCCTCGCTAAATCAGTTTATTAGCTACTCTCTCTGGAGCTTAAATTAATGTCGAACATGGACGCCGAGTCTTCAGAAGAGAAGGTGAAAACCGACCTTTACTCGCTTGATAATAACTCCTCCGCCTTGAGGACAAGCGATGTTTACAGGGTGAATAAAAATCTCCCAAACCGTTTCAACCATCCCGACAGCTTCAGATACAGGTGAGCCTGAGTTAGCCAGCCAGCTAACATTAGCTACCGTTAACCTGATATGCTTAGGTAATTTAGATAATGTTAGCTAATCTAGACTAATGTAATATAGTGGATTGAGGTGCTAACCTACTGCAGCGCATTAACGTTAGATAATAGGGGACACTTTATTCTGCTTTTAACTGACAAACGTTAGTATGAAATTAAATTAAAAAAGTCATTCTTTTTGTCATTCATGCACGTCCGTTATTATTACACACTATGGGCTAGTTTTGTGGCCACAAATGAAGCCTATTATTGGACTAAACTGCAATCCCAGTAGAGTTTTACCATTAAAAATCTGTTTTAGTCTAGGTTTATGTTTAATCTGGGTCTGGGAAACTGGCCCTGCATGACCAAAGATATTCAGTCATCATTTCTAATTTGTAAATTCAGAAGAAGAGTAAGGGCTGTTGATGTTAGTTAAAGTGGAACTCCACCGATTTTTCAAATTTTCGGCATAATTGTTCAGATGACAAACTTACTCAGAGTGGTTTGATGAGAAATGCTCAGTTCTAGAGAAATTTACAGAGTCAGAATTGTTCACAGTGGTGGTGAAAGGAACCAGATGCTAAAAAATGAATGCTTTATATATAACAATAACTACATCACAGAAGGTTATTTCATTGAATGGTTGTGAATACACAAACCAAACCGTTTGAGCACATTCTGTGACATGTACAGAGATAAGGGCATTAACACGTGTGGGATGCACAGAGATAATATCTTCTATCTTGAAGGTGAGAGGAACGTTTGAAAAACCGCAGCTGATATGTGAATTCTGTAAAATGCTGAACTACAGAATACTGCACAACACAACAAATAACACATTAAACTTTAGTATTAGGCTGAAATGCCACTTAAAAGCTTAATTTATAACACTAAACTTTATGTTTGTCCCGTGTACCAGTATCCAAGCATGTGGAGGAGCTTTGTGTGTTGAGATAGGTATGGTACACTTGAACTGCAGGCCATACATGACCATATTATTGACCAAACTGATTTACAAATGAAAACCTCACTGTTGCCTCACTCACATGAGCGCTGTCTTCATGATGCACCGTTTCGCACTGCAGTAAGAAGACGGTCCATCCACTGTACCAAACAACCAACCAGGTTTATGGAAGTAAGAAGCCGACAGTTCACGAAATGCCAGTAAGTCTCGCTCAACATACAGTAAAGTCTTTATAATTAACATGCAGGTCAGGGTCAACTTTTTTCTTCATCGCTTTAGACAACCTTCCATGGAAGTCACCGGAAGTTTTCCGAGCACATTCTGAAGAGCGGGATGTACAGAGACAATGGCTTCAACACATCGCTGGAAAAGAGCCGAATCTCAGGGCCAAGCACTATCGCAGTGCTTCACAACAGGATCATCTTTCACCATTCATACCGCACTGAGGGAAATGAGCAGGCCGAGGCTAATGTGGCCTAAATGTGGTATAGCTAATGTCATGATGTAAATAAAAATGTAATAAATACACATTTAATACAATGTCACCTTGTAGTTGTCATACACAGAATATGCACTCAGTACACCCTTTATTAGGTACAACTCAGGGATGTGGGATATGGGGGTGTTGAGGGGGCTGCAGCATTTCTAGCATTCCCATTTCAGGATTGTTTAACTAAATAATAAAGAGAAAAGAAATGAACTTTAAAATAATTTGAGTTTAGTAAAGACCTTTGTGTGCTTGTTTCGGGCTGGAGTTCATATTTTTATTTTGTTTTATTTAAAGCTGTATGCAAAAGTTTGGTTTCTACAGAGAACAAACCTGTACAGATTTTAATGCACAGTTGCTGTTTATTAGCTGAGTTCAACATATTGGGGAAAAATAAAATGTAAACTGTAGCTTGTGCAAAAGTTAAGTCTCATTTTTTTTCCAAAGCTCTACAAATAAATAGAAATTGTACACTGAAATCTACAGCATGTGCCATGTTCTTTTCAATGACATATTTAAGTCTCTGTGCACTGTTTAACAATCTGATTTCTTGAATCTCTGGTGACCGGTCAACTCATTCACACAAAGTTCGAACAGAATAAGAGAGAAAATCAGCTGTTTGATGTGTCAGTTATACAGACATATTGTTGTGTCTTTTCCCTTTTTAGCAAATTATGCATTATCTATTTAATGTACAGGATCCAAATTTTAAAGGGAATGCCATTTTGTTTTGCATGAGATCACCATGTACATCACGCAGATCATTGCTGCCCAAAACACAACAAAAACCCATGTATTTCCAAAATGGAAACTGGGAGAAGGCAAACATGTACTTTTACTGTGGGTCAATGTAAGGGTAGTAATTATTGAATGTTTCTGTTGATTCACTCATCTTGAAATTTTGATACATGTAAAAGACAGCTGCTCGGCCCTGATGTTGCAGAAAAATACAAATGTAATTAAGATAAAAAATGAATAAAAATTATATTAAAAATAAATAAAAGAAATTTAGATACGTGGGTTTTTTTGGTCAGTGACAATCTGCTGCTTAAAACTCCAGCACCCCCGATTCAAAACACATTCCTGCATCCCTGATAAAAACTATTTTTTTAGTTTGAGTTCTTTATAGCACAGATCAAACAAGGTGGAACTATCCTTAATAGTTCAGCAAAAAATACTTTTAAAAATATACAACCAAGATGTTTAAAATCCAAATGACAAAACTCTGAAGCCTGATTTTTTTTGTACTTCTGTAGTTTTTAATAGGCAGGACATGCATGACACTGAAACCACTGTACTCTTTCTGTAATAGGCTTGAGATGATAGATTGATTAGGCCAGACCGTGGCCAAAGGGATGCACATGGTCAGAAACGGTATGTAGGCAGTGTGGCAATGTTGCAGCATTCAAATGTCTTTTAACTAGTATGAAAAACCTAATATGTAATGTAGAGTTTCAGCTTCCAAAGGCAGGTTGGATCCATGGATTCAAGCTGTTTTTGGCAATTTCTCATACTATGTTCATCAGACCATCAAGATTCATGAGAAGATTCATGTTTTGGTGAAAACGTGCCCACAGTAGCCTCATCTTTCTGTTCTTAGCTGGAGGAACTGTAATCCACCATAGTCTTCTGCTGCTCTAGCCCATTCACTTTAATGTTTGACCCGTTATAAGTTCATAGATCCATTATTTTAGTATTAGTGACCTCTGTTTTAGCTTGGATGAGTTGGGCCGTTCTCCTCTGACCTCAGCCACAAGAGCTGCCATACACTGGATGTTTGTTTATTTTTGTTTATTGCAACATTCTTTAGAGTCCCAGGAGGACATCTGTTTCTCAGCTGGAAACACTTTTGGCAAAAAGCCCACCATGTTCAAAGTCACTTAGATTGCATCTTGCCTAATGTAAGGTTTGGCCTAACAGTTCCTAGACCTGTTAACCAGGCCTGCCTGCCCTGTGTATTTAGTTCCAACCACAAAATTCACTATTAGGAGGAGCAGGTGGAGCTAATGAAGTGGCCACTGAATATGTACTGTACTGGGCAAAAATCAGAGACTCGTTTTCATTTATTTAATGTCCAGTCAGAATGGCTATCAGGTACAAGTTATTCATTTTTCAACACTAAGGATATTAAACTGTGTCCTTCCAATAAAAGGTTCACAAAGAGGTTTTAAAGAGACACCAACATTCACACAAGCAACTACACAAACACACCTAAGCTGCCGTGCACATTTCTAAAATAGCTAAACGATTTCTAAGATTAGGTATAACAAAATACACTTGCATAAGGAAGAGAAAAGAAAAATAAGCGAAAGAACAGGAGTTTCCAAAACTCATAAAAATAATTATGGCAAAATAATTTTCCCATGATCATATGGGAAAATGATTACAGAAAAATCATCATGGCAAAATCATAAGAAATGGGACTCCTAACAACGACCTGCAAGAGCTGTTAGACCACCAAAACCGTCCCCATCAGATAAACTACTTAAAGCTTTCATCTTTGAGAGAGAGGAGAAAATCAAGCTCCACTCTTTCTTCAGATCTTCAGTTTCTGTCCATTCTTCCATTGTGAGCTCAACACTATGGGTCTGAAAGGATGTGTAGCTGTTAAGAAGACCTTGCTGAGAACAGAAAATAAGCAAAAAATGAGAACTCTAGAATTTAGCCTTCTACTCTTAAAAACTGTGCCACAAAGGGTTCTTTCAGTGATGTCATCAAGGAACTACTTTGTCTGGAACACGACTGGTTTGATTGGGAAGAAATTCTACAGGAAGAGATAAGGACTTCAGGCACACTGCCAGTGTTCTTAAAACAGTGGACTTGCTAATTCGAAGTCCAGACCCTCAGCATCACAGAATGCATTTGAATTACTTGGAATCATGAGAAATAGAAAATGCAACCAACCTGTAAGACTGAACTTTAAAGGTGAGGAAAAATATCCCTGCAGATTTCTTTGGAAAAATCAAGAAAGCAAGAATCCTGAAAAGAACGGAAGCTGTGATAAAGGTAAAGAGTGACACACTAAACACTGTGAATTTTCACATTTTCAAATAAAACAATGTTATTTTAACAATTACACCTTCTTGAGTCAACAATTTAGCAATATTGGTTTTTAATCAATTATCTAGAATTCCAACCACCACTGAAGTGCTCGTCCCCACAGTCATGTGTAAAGTATGAGGCCATATTTTGAAGAAAAAAAAACATTTTTCTGCTATTTTAACTACAATAATCTATACGTGACCATGGAATATATAAATTAAATGACATAAAGAAAACAAATGCCAAATAAATATCATAAAATATATAATGAAAGTTGTGGTCCCCAGGAGTCGTGTCACTGGTGTTACCGTGTAAAAAAAAATATTTTATTTTGAAATAAAAATCACACTGATGACATCACTTGACTTCCTTTTATCTATTTTCTGAAGATCTATGAAGAAAAGCACATGGTGAGTCCACTGTGTCTTTTCAGTTATTAGAAATTTTCTCATTTAGCTCATGATTTCATATGAAGCGTTTAGTTGAAGTCACTGGTGTGACCTACTTTATTCTTAGGTAATTGGAAAAAAATAAAATACAAATGGTTTAAATGACATTTTGGTGGATATTCCATGATTGACAACATGTGATTTGATGCTCTGTAGCAGCCATTTTGAAAAATGCATTTTTCAACAACGTCACTGGTGTTACTGTCACTGGTGTTACCTTTCTTATGTGTAACACCAATGAGGATCGGTAACACCAGTGACACCTATGAATAGATAGAAAAGTGGACTCTCTGTAGAATGACCCAGATGTTTTCTTCATGCTTTTTCCCTGAAACTGAAAAATAACTTGTACTTAATGTCCATTTTGACTGGAAATAAAATAAATGAAGGGGGGGGGGCTGACTTCTGAATAGCACTGTATGCCTGGTTTCAAATACCTGTGCGGAAATAGATCTGAACATCTTTAACCACTCTACAGCAGAAAAACAGCTACATGTTTTGTGAAGAATTTAGATGTATGACTGGTCTGGCCCCTTTAAAGTGACTGTCTGGAAAAAATATATCTAATTTACACAAATTTCCCCCAACCCTAAATTTAGTCAACGGGTGAAGACATGTTTGGTGTCCCAGATCATCAAAGCAAAAATGGAGAAAAGTTTGTTGCATATCCAAAATCAGTAGTAGCAGCCATCCTGAAGTGTGAGAAGCCACATAATTAAGTCTATTTGAGATTACATAACAATACAAGGTGGTTTGGGGCAAATGTGTGATGAATTACGCAGTAGTTTGTACTACATACTAATTGGTGGATGTAAGCTTCCAATATTCGTTAGCTGTATTAGCCTTGTAGCTCCAGTGCAAAACTAAAGCAGCAAATTAAATTATTTTGTCAATTCATCGCTGTAAATATGGAGCCGGTGTATAAGTTTGATAAAGTACACACATTCCAGCAGCTGTATTTCAGTACAGTTCATTTTATTTGGTGTTGCAGAGTGAAACTCGAGAGTAGCGGACTTGAACAGAAACGTCCAGTCGGCTCACTCATTCACTGTAATATCCACACAAACTGGAAGCCGTCAAAACATCATTCATGAGTTATAAAAGCACTTCTTAACCAATTTGTGGAGGTACAGCAGACCAACATATACAATGTAGCGTATTGGAAATGAAACGAAATGCTGTAAGGAATGATAAAACAAATCTGTGACAACAGCAATTAGAACACAACACAACCTCGGTCTCACTCGCTCTCTCATTCTCGCTCTCTTTCTCTCACAAACACACATCTCCAGACTTCAGCCAGGGTGTGGGAAACATCACGCCGCACAGTCTTCATCACTCCTGGCTGTTGCTAACAGTGAAGACGAGGGTGGCAGGTGAACAGTATTACAGTATTAAGGGTTTTGGTGTCGTCTTATTCCCTGTTTGTCCTTGAAGCTTGTGAGCAGCAGAATAGTATTGTCCAGAGGGATGGACTGTGAAGTACACCAAACCTCTGTATTAGTCGGAAAGTAAAAGGCACTTCAAAACGTTGTAACAAAATCCAGTGTATTGTATCATATAATCATACACTCAAATGATCAGAAATGACGGACTGCACAGGCTGAGAAGGACACACTCCAAAGAGCGGCCTTATCAGACTGGTCTCGGAGACATTTCGCTTCATCTGGCTCACGTGAACGAAGAAACAGAAACAGTAACAAAAAAGCTGGTCTGTAGCACACGGCAGGCTTAAGGTTGTCATGGAGCAAAGACTTGTTTTCAGTTGCTCTGCAGAAACTGAAATAGTTGCATAGGCAAGAAAAAAGTGGCTCATTCCTTCCAGACGAAGGAAAAAAAGAAGAACTGGCATAAATATATATATGTATATATATAGATATATATTTTAAGAAAGATAAGACAAAAAATTAGATCATATCCTCATGGACAGGGAGTCTCGACTTCTTTGAAGTGAAAAAGAAAAAAGAAACAGTGTGAGAAAAGTAAAAGCAGAAAGGCTTCCGTGTCAGCAGCAGTTTGGAGCAGGCCTGAGCCTGGAGGAATGGTGGAGAATGTGGGAGCTGAAGCAGACAGCAGCGCTACAGCTCTGTGTCCTGATATTTGTGTGCGTCAGGGTAGTAGCCACGCTTGGTCTGGTCAGCTAGCCGCCGCCTGTACTCCTCCTCAGCTCCCTCCTCCTTGTCAGGGCAGGGCGAACAGCTCTCCAAGTATGGCGGTTTGGGGGGAGGAGTCTGTGGCTCCGGCCGTGAGCTGGATCTGAGCACAGAAACAATGAGTATCATTAGCCTGGCAAAGAAGTGCCCAAACTTTATGCTTTGCAGGGCCAAAGTGCAATGTTTGTGGTGGGCTGAGGGCCGAAAAGACAAAAACTGTACAAATGAAAAAGGCAGGTAGGTTTCAAATCAAGCTTTTTAAATTGTCTTTGAGAACATTACACACTATTATGTTGCCAAAATACTTTACTACTTTTTCAAAGTCAGAATAAGTTAAATATAGTATTAAATATGTTCTCTAATTGGGTGAGGGGTCGGGCTAAGAGTAATATTCTGGTGAGGTAAATCTAGTGTCCTTACAGGCCATATCATGATCATTTAAATAAGTGCACACTTATATGCGCAAATTATTGCTGTTTTATTTTTTGGTAACACTTTACTGTAGGGTGCTGTTTATAAGGCTACATGACACCTACATAAGCTTGTCATGACAACTGACATAACCCTACATAAATGCTTATAAATGCTTATTTCAATAGGCGTCATCTGTCATAAAGACTACTTTAGCAAATTAAGATCAAAACTGGCAAATGTAACCTTTATAGCAAATGACGTGTATTGGAATAAGCATTAATAAACATTTATGTATGGTTATGTCAGTTGTCATGACAAGCTTATGTAGGTGCCAAAGCCTTATGACCAGCACCCTACAGTAAAGCGTTGCCCATTTTTTTCTCACATGATTTTTTAAATTGCTTTGCCTTTATTTAATCTTTCACTTTGTACAATAATTCTATCTATGCTTAATTAAAACATGTTTACAACAGAAAAGTTTGTACTTAAATATTGACTATACAAACAGAACATAAGGTGTGGGAATGAGATAGTAACATTGTGACCACAATTTAGTAAGGCAAGAGAATGACTGAATTAAAATAGAGAATGAAGGACAAACTAAACTTACAAACTGAAAACTAGAACGAGCCAAGACAACTCAACATACTGTCACTGCGAGCCACTGAGTCAGTGCTTATTAAAACGCTGTACTTTGATGATTTTGTGGATGAGTTTTATCAAGAAAGAAGCCAGTGTCCTATGGCAAGTCTGGCTTCTGCATACTGACCAAATGGGGGGATGGTGCTTGTGATGAGTTGGTGGGCTTCATGCCCAGGGGCCAAGCATTTATTAGACCATCCCTGCCTGCATCTTGTTTGTTCAGTCAAGAATACTGAACCAGGGTTAAGGGTAAAAGTGGACAGACATATCAGGGGCCCCAAGCAGGTGTCTTTTTTGGGTCATGGAAACATTTCTTTTCCCAAGGGGAAAACTGGGATCTTACCCAATAGGCTGTGGTCTGCTGTGGTCCAGTTTCTGGGCTTTTATGGGGACGGCATAGATGTCTGGATGCTTCTGTGCAATCTCCAACTAACAGAACAGCAGATCGATTAATCATATGTCATGTTTCAATTAAAATTATTAGGACAACTGGATTCTGATTTCAAAACAAGCTTTTTTAAAAAGCTTTCAGACTAACAAATCTGCTTGAAAACACATTCTCGTTACCCTGGCATTCTGGGCTTCCTGTAGTTCCAGCATCCTCTGTGCTCGGGCAAAGTGGTCCATTTTCTCGAAGGCTCGCACCTTGCCCAGGAAGGATTTCTGGGACGGGTCCTCGGGGCTTTTGCCCGGGGGCTCATGGTCCCTGAGGGGCGGGCTGTCTGCCTGGCCTCTGGAGACACGGGACACGGAGGAGGGCTTGAGGGCTAGGGGTGGTGGCAAGGGTTTGGAGGGAGAGTCGTGGGCGCGGAGAGGCTCGTGGCTGACCGGGCTGCTGGGCAGATTGCTGGCAGGGATGACTGCAGGGTTGCTGGCAGGGTTCATTGCAGGGTTGCTGGTGGGGTTGATGGAATGAGGGTCGTAGACTCGAGATGGGTCGAAGTGCCCGCGCGATGCCTCGCTTTGAACCAGCAGCTTCACCTGGGAGGCAAGACACTCTGTGCATTAGAGTCAGTATCTCTCGGTGTGTCCAGCTCTGAATGGGGTGGTCATTCTAAAAACTCACTACATTAAGTGTCATGAAACAAGACCATACACACTGCTACACACCTGTAAAAGTGCTGTAACCCTGTAGTACAGACTAACAATCTGTGGACTGCTTCACTAGGAAATATATGATTTGATTCACTTTTGAGTAGAGCCTGACCAACATACTGATGACTCGCTCTTTTGCTCAGTGGGATTGAAACTCACAACCCCCAGAAAATAAAACAAACAGTTGTGTCATTAGGGAACCCAGTGGGAGTCACAGTCTGTTCGACTGCATGATGGTAATACAGACTGAACTGGTAAATTTGATCAGTCAGTAAAGCACTATTTAATTAAAACAATGAGAGTAGAAAATTAAAATATAAATATAATAAATGTATGTCAGCCAATATTATCATTATCAGAATTTCTAACTGGTACTGTTATTGACCACAAAACTTTCATATCAGTTGGGCTCTGATCTTGATGTAAACAAATACCTTTTTACAATTTATTAAGCAACTTTACAAATGTAGTGAACTCTGTAGAGTACAAAGTGCTATGAAGAGACCTGAAATGCAGCACAAAGGGTGAGGAAATGTTACAGAGGTCAGATAAACTGTAGTGTTACTTCTTATTTTGATGTCATGGTCATAGGGAAAACCAATCGTAATGTTAAGCATTAATTAGTATCCCAGTGATTCAGGCCAGACTTTCTACAGGACTCTCTGTGGCTTTAAAGGCTGCTACAGCATCACAGGACTGCAGGGGGCGATAGAGTACCAGAGTATTCCACTGAGCTTCTGTGGAGGGAGCAGGAAAAAGGCCTGATCAGACCGTTCTTCTGAGATGTGCATGTATGAGTGAGGAGGACCAGGACATGTTAGTCAGTCACACATTGTATAAAACTACTGAATGGTAACATGCAGCCTATTCATACACATTCTATTCATCAGACGGGCCTAATCCTCTAAACTAGAAGACACGCTGGTTCTACAAACACCTTTAAAACTCTTATATTGAGGAGCAGCCGTATCACCCAGAATCAATCACAGCATTATTCAAAGCAGCACACAGCACACCTGGGCTAGACCAGGGGCTCACCTTGGAGGGGTCGGGGAGAAAGGTGGACATTACTGGAGGACTGCCTTCGCTCAGCAGCTCTCTGTTGACCGCACCCACACGAGAATGGAAGCGGATCTCTGGGCTGGACTTCCTGAGGATCTGCGGAGCAGGCAGGGGTCAGAGGGCAAGCAGCCAGAACAACATGCAAATACTCAACAAAGGGTTGGTCTGGAAAGGACTGTTCATATAATTTAATGGCCCTTTTGAGAATGTATTAGAGGTCTGGTACCTCTATAAAAATATCAGGTTGTGGGTCAGGTTTGAGCCAGTTTTTCACCTGCAACATCGGACTTGGGTTGGGCTCAGGTTTGTTGTTGCGCTCTCACTCTCTCTCTCTCTCCCTCTCTCTCTCTCACTCACTCTCACACTCATAACATTAGCTGTTTTTGGAATAACTTCAGAGTTTGAGAAGCATGTGAATGTGCCCATGAACAAAACCACCATGGATGTTTAGAGAGATGTGTTGTCCAAGTGTTTTTTACATATTTCTACAGGAGCAGCAGTAGCAAGAGGAATTTTAGTGCACTGCGGCTACCAGTTGATCGGAGGTGAGTGGATGCTGTTCTCTGTCCTCAACAATTACACAAAATACACTAATAATAAACACTGCTAGTGGAGTACAGAGGGTGAAAAATACCAGCTTGTCCCAGCATGACAACTCAAACTCTTAGTAACAAAGTAAAACTATAAAACTATGCTTGTAACAAGCCATCTCTGTTTGTTAGCATGGTTTGGGTTTCACATTTAGCAGTTCCATACAGCGCTGGTCAGGTCAGCTCCCAAAGTCACTGGTCAGGACCGGGGATTTGGGCTTCAGTTTTACTTCTGTGCAGACCTCTAGTATGCATTACTTGTCACAATCAGGAATGCTGTAATTACAAGTATTAAGCAGCAGGGGGCAGAAGAGACTGCATCAACAAATACCCATCTGGGCTTTGATAAACTGTGCATGTATGCGCTTCAGTGTTTTGCCTCATATCATTTTATTATCATAATGCTGCTAATGTCTCAGAGTGAAACACACCTCAGTGTCTCAAGAGCGAGAGAGAACAAATTTACTCTCCTGATGTATCAAGTTAAACTGATACAGTGTCTGCGAGTGAGTTGGTGGGGTGGATGTGTGTGTGTGTGTGTGTGTGGTCTCTCATGCTTCTGCATGCATTTGGTGTGTGTTTCCCTGTAGCCTTGACCTCCTCTGTCTTTCCTTAGAGGCCAAGCTGACATGTTGCTGACCAAGGCAACCATGAGAAACAACAGAGTGCTGGCTTATGTGTGTGTATATGAGACTAATGGCATGTGTGTTTTTCTAACCTCCTCTGGATCACTCACTTTAATGTTTGTATGCTTTTGTATAATTTGTATTTATTAGACATGTAAATCAAAATTTTCTTATAATGATTTTGATGAGCCTAAAATGATCGAATGTGATAGAAAATGATTAAATTCGTCATTAAATCTCAACTATTTGGGAATAATTCTTACTTTAAAAAAATTACTTTACACAACACTCACTACAAAAGCGTGACCGAAAATAGCTCGAGAATTTATTGTGGGGATTTTTATCGATTATTCTCTGCCTGGTAGTTAAATCTCCATCTATTCTCGCGTGATGTCATAAAAATAATGACCGTGGACAACCATGAGAAATTCTGTGCTAAATGTGAGTGGGAACATAGGCGTTTTAGAGTGGAAACAAACTAAGTATGAAATTTCCAAACTAACTCAACACCTTGTGAAGGCGGAGCTTAAAGGAGGGTGCAATCACCACTGTACAATGGGCAGCAAGCCTGTCATTAGCCCATGGATGTAATGCAAGATTGAAGGCATGTAAGACATGATTGAAAAGTCCCCCCCAAAGAACCTCAAACTAAGCATGTACAAGGGATCTTACAGGGGAAATAAATGAACAATACTGGTTAACTAAAAATAGCGCTTTTCTAGCTAGCTTGTTTACCTTGTTTTCGATTGTACCCTGGACAAACTAGAAGAATTTGGGTGTGGGTTTTAGAGGGGCAGCGGATTTTGTTTCAACGCAGCACCAAAGTTGTTCCCAGATGTCAAGTCTCGCTAAGTCATACCATGCTACCAAGTTGGGAGGGTGTAGGTCAGCAAAAGCTTCCTCCGAGTCATGTGAAGCACCACTGCATCTGTTCAAACTGCTGGTAACGCAACGCCACTGGCAGCTTAACATGCTTGGAGGAGAACACTAACTGCCAATTCTACTACATCAGCTAAGAGATGGGTGCATTGGCTAGCATCATGCTGAGAGATGGGGGAGATGGAAGGACCATCCAACCCACCCAGGGAGTACAGTTATGATCTCTTGGACTCCTGGCCTCGGATGACTGTGGCACTTCCAGGGGTCAAACTCACACTCTCATTTTGCACAATACATTTAATGTGTATGTCTTTTAATCGGCTGTAATTGATTCTAACATTACAAAATTGATGCATCATGATTTTTACACCCCTAGTGTGTACGTGTGTGTGTGTGCTCTCTGACCTCCTCTGGCATGACAGGCTCAGAGGATCTGCTGATGGCTGACACTCGCTGACGCTCCAGTGGCTCGTCCAGCTCGTTATCTGTGTAAGCCCCGCCCTCGTCAGCCGTGTCATCATAGTCACTGGTCACACGGCTGTCCATGCTCAGATAGTCAGCGCTCATGGCTGACAGATATGACATGCGGTCGTCATGGAGATCAAGGTCCCCCTCTGTCCCGTCCAGCTAAAAGAGACACATGATGGATCTTGTGTACAGAGAGGAGTGAAAACAAAAGAAAAAAGAACAAAAACAAAAACAAAGCTGTAGAGCGCCACCAAAGAAAGATGAACAGTAAAACAGCACAGAAAAGAACAGGAAGAATGACTAGTGGGACTTAACTGTAAGAAGAAAAAGAAGGCGTGCATTAATGAAGTAGATGTACTGTAATGGTACAGGATCAGGAAGATAAAGTGAGGATATATGAATGGAGGGAGAGTGAGAGTGGTGTGGTGGTGCGCTTTGAGGAGGTTGTTGGAGAAGCATCTGCTCTTTACCTTCCCCTCGGACACCCACACTGCCTGGGTCTGCTGCTGCCGAATGCACTCCTTCACGCTGCCGTACCACGCATCATTGGCTGCGTTCAGATCAATAACAGCTAGCACAACAAATAACAGAGGAAAAAAAAGCCGGGAGAGAGAGGGAGGGGTGGGAGAAAGAGGATGGACAGAAGGAGACAGGAGGAAAGGGAGGAAGAGGAAAAGAGGAGACAGAAAGAGAAGAAAAGAAGGAACAAGGGACAGAAAGAGAGGAAGAGAAGAAAGAGATAAATCAGAGATAGATACAAGAGGAGAGAGAAGCAGAGAGCAATGGAGAAAAAGAGAGCGGAGAGAGTGCAAGAAAGAGGGAGAGAGGAAAGGGAAAAGAGGAAGGGAAGATAGACAGAAAAAGAAACAGGGGAGAAGAGAGAAAGGGAGAGAACAAGAGAGCAAGAAAGAAAAGAGAAAGAAACAGTGGGAGAGAAAGGGAAAGAGACAGAAAGAAGAAAGAGACAGTGAGAGAGACAGAAAGAGAAAGAGTTCGTGTGAGAAAGAGAGAACAAAGGACAAAAAGAGAAAAGTGAGAAAGTGGAAAATCAGATAGATACAAGAGGAGAAAGGCAGACAGCAATGGAGAGAATAAGAGAGAGAAGGATAGAGTGTGTAAGAAAAAGGAGAGAGAGAGGGAAGAGAAAACGAGACAGAGGGGGAGAAGAGAGAAAGGGAGAGAACAAGAGAGAGGAAAAAGAAGAGAGATAAAAACAGTGAGAGAGGGAGACAGAGAGAGAGAGAGGAAAGGCAGAAAGGAAAATCAAAGATAGACACAAGAGGAGAAATGCAGACAGCAATGGAGAGAATGAGAGAGAGAGAGAAGGAGGGAGAGTGTAAGAAAGAGGAGAGAGAGGGAGGGAAGACGGAAAATGAGACAGGGGAAGAAAAGAGAACAAGAGAAGAAAAAGAAGAAGAGAGAAAGAAACAGTGAGAGAGAAAGAGGGAAAGACAGACAGAAAGCAGAAAGAGACAGTGAGAGAGACAGAAAGAGAAAGAGTGAGAGAGAAAAAGAGAGGGAGAGAGAGAGAGAGAGAGAAAGGCAGTGAGAGAGAGAGAGAGAGAGAGAGAGAAAGGCAGTGAGAGAGAGAGAGAGAGCGGGAGAGAGAGGGAGAGAGAGAGAGAGAGAGAGAGAGTGAGAGAGAGAGTGAGAGTAAATCAAGACATTTCGATCTGGCTCCTGTGTTCTCCAGCTCCACTTATTGATTTGTCTTTGCTAACTGCGTCTCCATTGACTGCTAAAATCGCTCTGTAAATTTCTGCACGAGGAACATGAATCACTTTTACAGTCAAACAGATATCAGATGGGCATAAAATGTGATATTCTGTCCATTCAGTACTTACACAGCTAAAGTTATGCGGCCACCCCTTTTAATCAGTGGGTTTAGCCATTTCAGCCACACATGTTGCTAACAATTGCATGTAATTGAGCATACAGCCATGACATCTTTACAGACAAACATCGTAGAAGAGCAATGACTTTCAGTGACGTTCAGTGTGGCACTGTCATAGGATGCCACAAGTCCGACTGCCAACTTTCTGCCCTGCTAGAGCTACCCAGGCCAACTGTAAGCACTGTTATTGTGAAGTAAAACCATCTAGGAGCACATTGCCAGGGGGCTCTGGTGCAGTGGAAACACCTTCTCTGGACTGATGAATCAAGCCTCTCTATCTGGCAGTCTGATGGACAAATCTTGGTTTGGTGAATGTCTGGAAAGGGAGAACGCTTCCTGCCCAAATGCACACTGGCAACTTTGAAGTTTGTTGGAGGAAGATTAATGGTCCAAGACTGATTTTAACAGTATGGGTTGGGCCCCTCAGTTCCAGTGAAGGGAAACCTTAATGTTAGAGCATACATTGTGTGCTTCTAGTTTAGGGTTAGGCCTTTTCCTGTTGTGCCTCTCCGTACAAGCCAAGGTCCATTTGGAATTTACTGGAATGCCTACTGTGTAACCTCACTAATACTTATGTGACTGAACAGAAGTGAATCCTACAGCCATCTAAGAAGTGTTCCCCAAAAAGTAGAGGAGTTTCATATTAATGCCTGTAGTAAACAAGGTGTTCAGCAAGCACATAGAGATGTGATGTTCAGGTGTCCGCATACTTTTGGCCAAGTATATATATATATTTCTATTATATATCATTACAGTCACTGTAATAAAATGTGCAGAATTGTGGATATTAATAAACATTAAAATGCTCAATGTCTGCCCATCCATCTGATTCAGACTCTCTACTTTATGAAAACCTGCTGTATAGAATAATATCATAATTGATAAAAGTGAAACAGAACCTTAAAGGGCCTGTTATTATGGAAACGTGAATTTTTAAAACTAGTTTCATGTAGTATGCAAACATTGTTAAATTTTCAAAATGTCTCGTTCATCCTCAGCCCATACAGTCCACATATGTAAACCAAGCTGCACAAACAGCCCGTTTTGAATTAAATGTTTTTGTGATGTCAACACATTTACATATATCTGCCTATTCAGCCTACCGAAGTTTATCCCCGCCCATTCATGCTGACGTTATGTGGAGTGTTTCAGCCCTGGACTGCTTTTGGATCGAGGCATGATAAAGGACAGCTATTTAAAACAGTGCTCATTTACATATATCAGTCTTAAAGGCACAGTAACAAAAACAGACTGTTTAATCCTTAAAGAGAGGCTGGAAAATGGTCATGTAAAAATGAATTATTACTGGTTTTGGTACACAAACCCACGCAAACTTCATAAGTGGCCCTCAGGGGAGAAAATAAAATATAAGAAAAATGTGGGCCCTTTAAATTTGAGAACTCCCTAAAAGGAATCTTGAACTTTTAAATAAATGGATGCAGGCAGATCAGGTCCAGTGCAGTGTGGAACTGACCAGTGAAGAGATGTGAGCAGGATTTCCTGAGCTTGACGGCCTGATCGTAAAGCTTGCGGGCACTGCGGTTAGAGTTGGGCATGACCCTCTGCCTCATGGTCTTCACTCCATGCTTACTGTCTGGGTTGAATAAGATGACGATGGGATACCACTGCGTGTAGTTCAGTGTGTCCACGGCCTTAGGAGTCACGTCCAGCAGGGCATGCTTGTCCTAGGTAGAGTGGGAACAAGTTAGTTTATTACCCAGTAATACAATAAAAAAAACAAAAATGCTCTAAATTTATGTAATTTGATTGAACTGTTTGCATCCATGTGAATGAAATATATCAATACAGTTTTTCCTTTCTGTTTACTTTCTTGATAATAACTGTGTTGTAATATATTTTATTTATTTGGGAATGATAGCACACATTTAATTCAGGCAAATTCAATGTACTGCTTTTTTCAGTGTAATTACACTAGGTGATAACGTTGATGAATAATATTACACTAATTTGTAAGATATGTGTTTAAGTGAAGAATTAAGTGTATGTGTGTGGAATGGGGGGGGGTGTTTTTTGTGGTGTGCGTATATTGACACAACAGAAAAAAATATTATTATTACTGTTATTATTACTATTATTATTATTAATATTATTACATCTGTATTACCTGTTCAATGATTTGTCGGATGGTGTTGAGACGCACCACCCCGGAAGACTTCTCCGACCCTGCATCTTTGGGTTCGGTTTCTGATAAGTAAACATTACAGTCCACAGTAAATGATGCTTTTCTACTGTAAACAACCGTGATCTAATGTGTCACTGATGATGGAACCTCAAACATCAGATTAACCATTTAAACCACAGGCTTAATATGCAGTAGCTACTATAAGAGCCTGTTTACACCTCACGTTAACATTTGTGTTCGGATCGTATCTAGATTACGTTCACACTTTTCACTATAACGCATCTCCAGCGTGACCCGATGAGATCTGACTGTACTTTTCCTGCATGAAAAGCACAACACATGCATTCTTTTAACTATTACTTCCTTTTTTCCCACGTTATGATACGCTAAACTCGTACAATCATTGGCCAAGAATGCAAGAAGGCAGCTGGTTTTAGGAAACTCTAGCCTCGTGCATCCTCCATCTTTTGTTTCATGGGCAGATGCATTTCCGATCACGTAATTGAATACGCATTCTGTTTACACTTTTGTAAAATGGTGTCTAGATTCATCTCTGATCGCCTGCGAATGTGATTTAAGTGATCCGATCATAAATCAATCATAATGTGTCCCGGAGGTGTTCACACCGGGATTTTCATGCGGTCAAGTAAAATCCAAACATGATCCGATCACCATAACGCATGTTGATGCAAGGTGTGAACGGCCCTAAATCATTTGGTAACTACTATGAAACTAAGGTACTTAGGAAGAATTTCTTATGAGTGTGGGCCCTGATACGGGTTTAGGGGTTAAAGAATATTTCCCAACTTTAAAAGATCCATTTAGGGAAAAAGGTCTATCCACACTCCAGACACCAGATATACTTACTGGCAACGACAAACTCCTCAGGGAGTTCAGCGGCTAGTTTTTCAATGGCGGCATCAGCTATGGGTCCAAACAGCACCACAGGCCTCCTGAAGCCAGCTAGAGGGGTTAGAGATAAAACAAGGACACTAAATCAAACAAATCTACCAAAAAGTCTAAAGTACACTAAATATACACAAACACCAGACACTTGTGAACAAGTTCAGCACAAAATACGTGAAGAATCAGAGCCCTTGGTGACTGTAATTAGTGCTATTAATACAAACGTTCAGAGTTCAGAGGATTAGAGAATAAAAGTGTAACTGACGTTTGATGTACAGAGCATGATTATAATAACAGAATTCTGCTGATAAATCATGTTGATTGTATTTTTATAGGTATATACACCATAGGTCTGTCATATCATATATACCATTAAACCCTCTTACTTTTTGCTAAATTATTTCTCGCTCCTAACTTTTAGCAAATAGCAGAGAGATTTTGTCAAGAGTGCAGATTCTAAACTTTCAATCCATGCATTTGTGTTTGTAAGTAGAAGAAAAGATTTTATGAGTTGAATTTAATGGTAGTCGGAAATAAACATAAAATAAAAATAAAATAGTTTGAAGTGCAGGCCTGAGTGTGTTGACACAGAACGTAAACTGAACGTAAAATGTAACTCATTATCTAAATATGTAATTGATTATGTAATTGTTAGTGATGTCAAAATGAACGTGTTAATAACGTGCAAATGCGACACACTATTAGCAGCACCAATGCCACTAATGCATTTTCCTAGTTCGACCCTTCAAATCATCTGTACTTTCAGCCTGAAGCCCAGCTGCTTGCAAGCTCCACCACTGTAGCCCCCTCATTCAAATACAGCTTTTAAACGATGAGTTGTTTCCAGCTACTGCTATTCATTTGTTTATCACTGAATTATGTCACGTCCAAAGTTTTATTTGCAAGCAAAACACAGCACTGATTCTGGCAACATCAGTAATATCAGTACCGTTAACACTGTAGGATTCCTTCTGTAGAAAACAACAGTTCCCCTTGAAACAAGACATAACAGCGGTATGAGAGTGAGAGTCACTGAACAAGACCCGGAAATAAGACCTGGAACCTTTTGAAAGTAATAAACACATCCTGAAGAAGCTTATTTTCTCCATGGTAGCTATTACAAAATGCACTGCTTTTTAAATGGAAAAATCTCCTTAAGGGTCAAATATCAAGCAAGTAAGATAAACGTGATTAATCGTGATTAACAACACAAACTAATGTGATTGATCAAAGTTATTTTAATCGTTTGACAGCCCTAATCATAAATATGTAAAAATCAAAATGTAAACCAAATATTAAATCAAACGTAACACGTCAAGGGTTATTACAAAGTCCAGAGAATCAGGAAAAGAACGTAACAGATGTTATAATCCACAGAGCACATTCATTATGACAACAATTTTTCAGTCATCAACGTGTGTGTACAGTTATCCGCCTGTATGCAGGGCCCTCTCCTTCCTCTCTCTCCTTCTCTCTGCATTAACAGTAATGGGGTGAGTGAGGCATGCTGTGTGTGTGTGCTTCCCTGAGGCTTTGGGGGTGAACAGTGTTGGGTCTGCCGAGGCTGTTAAATGTTTAATCAGCTCCGGTTCCTCCACCAGCACGTTAAACTGATGTGCTTGCCGTCCGAAATGTCACCTCGCCGGGGCAAAGCGCTGCGGCTCTCTCTCACAGCTTAATCTAATACAGCTTAATTATTCTCCACAGACCTGTCAGCCCTTCACGTGGCCCCCCGTCCACTCCCTATTTTCTAAACCTATCTCTTTCTTTTGTTCTTCCTCTTGGAGGAAAAGGAGCCTACCCTCTCGCAGCACCACCCGTTCATAGGCAGGGAAGCGGGTGGAGACGAGCCCAGTGCTCAGATCTTCTCGGTTCTTGCGCAAATCCTTCTTCTTGGATGCTCTCTGGCCACGGAGCCTCCAGAAATCAGCCCTGTCACCGCTCGAGCCCTTATGAGTGTGCTGGACATTAGTCATCTGGTCTGCTCTGCTCACAGAGAGAAAAAGGGAGAAAGAGAAAGAGAGAGAAAGAGAAAGAGAGAGAGAGAGAGACCAAGCCGAACCGAGGAGAGACAAGAGAAGCAAAAAACAATTCTTATGCACGCCTTACACAAAAGAGCTGGAACATATAAACACACCAGCACGACATGATACATGATTAAAGCTGCAGTGGTTAGTGGACAAAGTCGATCAGTCGTCAACAATGTTTTTTTGTGGAGAAAAGTTAACAGATTGTGTACTTAAAACTAAAATAAAAAGCACTCCTTAATGCTCTGTAATGTTTATATGCTACACATGGTTATTCTGACAGACACATAGTGTTACTCGTATGCAGTTGTATGCAAATATATATATATATATATATATATGTGTATATACACACACACACACACACAGACACACACACATATATACATTATAAAATTTCATGGTGAATGGACCAGTAGAAATGGTCCAAATGTAGATGGGGTAGCCCTAGGGGGTGGTCCACTGTTGTTGTTTCACTGACTACAATTAAAGGAACATTTTAGCAAAACAAGGGAGCTTAAAGTGAATGAGCCTTTTAACTAACGTCTAATATTATATTAGTTAAGTATTGTCTAACAATTGTCTAAACTTAGAATTAGCCTCAGACCTTTGGAAGAACTTTTCCAAAGTCCTGTGCTTATTTCAGGCAAATTCACCAGAAAACTCTGAAACGGGCCAGAAACCTCAGCCCTGGAGGGCCAGGTTCTTGAAGTTTTGTGATTTCTTTGCTTAAGCACACCTTTTCAACTCATCAGTTAATGGCTAGGTTTAGTTGGGAGTATCAGAGCAGGGAAACAGCAATGTGCGCTGTACTCTGACCCTCAGTTCCCCACCCCAGCGCTAGAACAACACCCCGTTAGTGACTGACATTAGACCTGTTTTTTAAAGGTCTTTGAAGTGTCAGTTCAACAAAAAATCGAATTTGGACACTATGACTATACAGTATCTATAAAATTAGCCTAAAGTACAAAATTTAAGATTCAGAGTGGCCACTACTACTGTTTTTGTACCTTAGCGACATACTTTTGTTCATTTTTATAGATAATAGTATGTGTTAAAGTATGTTTTAAAATGTATGTGTTTAAAAATACATGAAGTCTATTTAAGATTAAGTAAAAGCATTTGTATTGTACCTCAAGTGTAAAACTCACAAATCAAACATGGGTTCTGGGTAAGCGGTACATAAATTAGATTTTTTGCCAAACTGTCACTTTAATGCAGTCCTCAAGGACTCTAAGCAAGTTATCTAGTTGGGTGTATTCTAGCTGCTGACAAAGTTGAGTAAAATAGGATTCTATAGAAGTGGGCTGAAGATGAAATCCAAGTGGAGCTACCTGCTGCACCTCGTACCCCCCCCCAGCTAACCTGCTCTTGTTGGGGATGATTCCTTTCTCCAGCAGCTGGTTTTCCTTGCCCACTCGGATGGCCAACCAGTTGCCTAGCTTGCCGTCATACAGCGTGTCCACTACCTTGAAGATCTCTCCTCGGGAAAAGGCCAAGCACTGAGGCTGCTCCTTCTCGTAGTCAAAGTGCGTCCGAATGAAGAATGAGTCTCCTCGGCCGGACACCAGGATGTCTTCGTAAACTGAGGAGATAAAAATGGAGTAGAACATATCACATTTTCCACTGTGGCAGGTGCTGTAGAAGTTTGTCCTGGTCCTGTCAAGCTCTCATTAGCCCTGTGAGAGACCTCTGCTCTGTCCCACCTCAGCCCAAATGAGCGTCAACCCACAGCCAGCCAGCCAGCAGAGTGTCAGCCCTGATTCTAGCCTTCATTTAGCCCAGAGGCACCACAGAGAGAGAGAGAGAGAGAGAGAGAGAGAGAGAGAGAGAAGAGAGAGGAGAGAGAAAGAGAACAGAGAGAGAGAAGGAGGGAGAGAGAGAGAGAAGAGAGAGAGAGAGAGAAGAGAGAGAGAGAGAGAGAGAGAGAGAGAAGGAGAGAGAGAACAGAGAAAGAGAGAGAGAAGGAGAGAGAGAGAGAAGACAGAGCTGACAGTAGAGGTCAGTGCTGCTGTCCAGTTGTCTCCATGGTGAATTGGTGGGGGTGGGGGTGGGGGTGGGGGGTCTGGTTGGTCTCCAAATTCAATAATTCACCACAAGCACCAGGCTGCTTAGTTTAAACAGGCATTAGACAGGGCTGACTACACATTAGATTAGCCATTAAACACACAGCATAGTCACCTCTTCAACTCTGTCTCTCAGGCGCACACACACACACACACACACACACACAGTCATGACAGAGTGACTATTATAGCCTCCAATATTATATGACTATTATAAACCAAGGTCCATAAAGAATAGTGCAAAAGTCAGAGACCACCCTTTAATTTATTCAAGTTCCAGTGAAAACGGTCATTAAATAGAAGTTATTCATTTGTCAGCATCAGAAAAAAAGTAGAAAACATAACAAAACATTACACAAACGCCTCAACAACTAAATATAATATCACATATTGTCCACCCTTTGCCTTAATTATAGCTTCTATTGTATTCAGGAGACTTGCTTTCAGTACTTCAAAGAAATCTGCAGGGATATGTTTCCACACCTCCAAAGTTCAGTCTTAGAGGTTGGTTGTATGTTCTACTTCTCATGATCCCAGTAAAACCAAACTGTCCATTGTTTTCTTTTTTGTCTATTTCCATGAAGGATGATCTCTAACTTTAACACAGTACTGTATGTCAGCTCTATTTTGAAAGATATGGATAGCAAGCATGTGTGCATGCACACACTTTGACACACATAAAAGGGCAATGTCTTGAACGAGCCAAGACTGGCCTGGATTAGTTTGTGCCGATGGCCAACAAGCTGGTGCCCCTGTCGTCACTCTTACATGCAGTCTGTGTCTGTGTTTTTGTGTGTAACAGAGACAAACAGTGCATAACGAGGACAGAGAACATACATAAATTATCTACATAAATCTCAGCCATCAAATTCCCACACAGGAGGGTACAAGTTAGACCCACCATGCTCCACCTACAAATACATACCTTCATATCTGCTGCTGCTAGGTTGGACAAGCTCTATGTTCCCCTTATAAAATCCCATTCAACCTAATGAGAACCACTGGTAAACTGTGTTTAGAGTGGCTACAACATTGAGTTTCCACTTTAAAACTGCTACAATACTGAGCTCTATCATTTGTTATTGCATGTAACTGAAACTAGGCCATTCTACTAGAAATACTTTCAGCTTTGCTGCCTTATCGCACTTCTTTTGTAATAGAACGAACTTCTTTTAGCCTAATTTGTGCTGTTTAATAACAAAATATGCAGTAGGCTAACAACAGCTAAACAAATTCATTCTAATGCAAAGATATAAACCTATTCTTTTTCAATGCTGAAGTACTAAATGTTGAAATACTGAAAATTTGCCACTACAACAAGCCCTAGTTAGCAAAATTTGTGCATCCATCAGTTCCCAGTGAAGCAGCAGTGTTATAAGTGGAGGAAAGGTTTGTGTGTTAGGGTTGCATGCTGAGTGTGCACAAGTTTGTGGAAGGCATTATACTCACCGTCAGGTTTGCTCTGTGCCAGTATAGTGATGTTCTCTCCTCTGGGCAACTCCAGCAGGAACAGCACCGCCTCCTCACGTACAATACCCCGAAAATCCACATTATTGACCTATAGAGCAAATATACTACCTTAAACCTACAGCAAAGGGTGATCATAATCAGATTTCTGCAGTTATCTGATTATTCAAATGGTTATGTAAACAGCATACTCTGATTTATTAGATTAAGTAAGGTCTAGAAATCCCATTAAGAAATCTGATAAAGAGAGCTGAATTTTAGCTTAGTAATCAGATTTCTCAGTGCATGTAAACTCTTACTCTGATTTCTTTCGGATTTCTCAGTCTGTGCATGTGTGAAAACAGATGGCGGTACCGGAAATAAGCAAGCAGTGTTGCTGCAAGATGGCAGCAAAACACTTTTGGAGCGACAGTGAAACCAACTACGTTCTTGACAAAATGAAGGATTTAAATCTTCTAGATGATGTATGTTCATATATTTAGGTAAAATGGCTCGATGTTTTTAAAAAAGCCGCAGCATGAAGTTTTAGTTTTACATTACATTTACGTCATGTCTTCCTCTGCGAGTTTATTGGCCGGTTGCAAAGCAGAAATCTCATTACCGCCTGGCTCATGTAGACCCGGAGTTTCTCCATTATCTGCTTACTCAAGCGCATGTAAATGTGTTGATCGGTTTACCGACAAAATCTGAATTTCTGCAGTTATCGGATTATTAAGTGCATGTAAATCCTGTCCAAATGTGGCAGACTGAGCAATATTATTTATATTTTTGTGTGCTGCAAAAATTCTCTAACTTTAAACCTGTGATTAGAGACAGATATGGGTATCAGACTGATATTACCAGAAAATGCTGGATCAGATACCGTGACTGAATCTAATATAAGCCTGTAACAAATCTAACCTGAAATAGCACACGCTCACACTGTGATGTGATGTTAGTTGTGTACTTCTTAAAAATAAAAAAATTAGCTCATTTTAAAGTACAAACTTAATTCCAAAAACATTGGGACAGTTTGTGAAATGCTAATAAAAACAGAAAGCAGTCATCAGTGAATTCTGCTTCACCAATGTTAAACAGAAAACAGTACAAAAACACGATATTAAGTTTTTATCTTATGAACTTAATTATTTGTTGTAAATAAACACTCATTCCAAATTTGATGCCTTCAACATGTTCCAAAACAGCTGAGACTGGAGCATGTTTACCACTGTGTTGTATCACATTTCCTTAATTTAATAATTTAATAATCATTTGGGGACTGAACACACAAACGGATCCTCAGGACGCAGAACATACTGGATCAAAAACTGAAAATGAAAACTAAAACCTGAAAACTGAGAAATGAAACTGAACAAAGCCGATAATAAATAAGACGAGTTTATAAAATGGTTACAGTACATAGGCTACAGCATGTCACACGAAATTCAACATCCTCAACAACAGAGAAAAGATGGATTTTTTTTTTTGGAAGTTTTAAAATTTGCACTTTGTCGTTTGTGAATTTTTTCGTTATTTCAAAAACAGAAGCTACAGGTGACGATGTGCTTGCAGGAACTTTCTTCTTCTGTTCTTTTGCAATATTCAGCATTGTTTTCTTCAATAAAAGTGTTATGTTGGGTGTTGTACCCCCTCTTAATACACACATTATAAATCTCTTGACTAATGCCCCTTGTATGAACCGCAAAATAGTTCCACCTGGCTAATGACACCACTGTTCATATGCTGCTGCGCAAATTGAACACGAGAGTAAAAGGAACAAGCAACATGTTAATGTAAACTATTTCTTATTCTCATTGCCATTAAAAGAAATTGTTAGATTGACAATTTGTGCTAGGCCTATTTAAATCTTTATTTTTTCTGGCCAAAAATTTTCAGTAGCTAAAATTTTGGTCCATCCTTACAAAAAATCTTTTATTTCATAACTATACACTCATACACAGATATGTAAAAGTACGCACACATCTGTTGAAAAGAAAATGCGCATAAAACAGACACAAAAGGCATCTTTGTGGAAAGTTCATTTCACACTACAGGCACAGAGCAGGTGCTTTATGCTCATAATGCTCCATTCTTACTGTGCTTGTACGAGTAGGAGTTGGAATGACTGGGCAGATAAGCATGTCTGATTTAGACTCTACTGACAGGGAGTGGTGCAACAGTGCTTTCGAAATGTTCCAGCTTTTTTGGCCCCAACACTGAGGTGTTGCTCTGCTGATTATAAACAAATGGTCTTGGCTTTCATAAGAAAGAAAGGGTTCAGAACAGGGATTCTGCTGTACCTTCATGATCTGGTCACCCACACGAAGTCCTTCCTCCTCCGCAGGACTGCCCTCCTGAACACCCGCAACAAAGATACCCACATCATTTCCCCCAGCAAGCCTCAGGCCTACACTCTCCCCCTTCTGAAAGCTCACCATCATAGTGTTCGGCCTGAGTGAGAGAGACAGAGAGAGAGAGAGAGAGACAAGGAGAGAGAGAGAGAGAGAGAGAGAGAGAGAGAGAGAGAGAGAGAGAGAGAGTGAGAGAGAGAGAATGTGTCAACACATTACCATGTGGCACCATCAAGTCCCATATGTGAGCCAACACTAAACCACATGGTAGCCCAGAACAAGAATGTATTCAACAAAACAAAAACATTGCTGAAGTTGGAAATCAACATTCAGCACAAAATAAACTCACTGTCCCTTTAGAGAAGGTTCAGCCTTACTCTATTGACACACTACTAGGGTGTAGTAGGGGGCAGTCATAGGCTGGAGGTTAGGGAACTAGCCTTGCGACTGGAAGGTTGCTGGTTCGATCCCCTGAGCCGACAGTACGTGACTGAGGTGCCCTTGAGCAAGGCACCTAACCCCCAACTGCTCCCGGGTGCTGCGGATTGGGCTGCCCACCGCTCCGGGCAAGTGTGCTCACTGCCCCCTTGTGCGTGTCTTCACTAGTGTGTATGTGGTGTTTCACTGCATGGATGGGTAAGATTGTGGAGGTGAAATTTCCCCATTGTGGAACTAATAATCACTTAATCTTTAATCTACTAACTGTGAACTGAAAGTCATTACGCATTTTTTTTTCCTTACTGTGACATATTTCTATCTTAAATCTCTTTACTGGTTGAGAGTTTTCTCTGAGGGACAGGGGGTGCTGGTGGGAGTGGAAGATGAAACACATGAAATGGGCAGGCAAAAGTCACCACACTTTAGGGGGCTCAATCATCTAAGCATTTGCCATATCATCAGGAGACTGCAGGTTTCGTTACCCAGCAATGCCACAGCCACCCGTCCAAGACTATCATCCTAATCATCCTCACCTATCCATCCTTAGGAAAGACCACTCCCCTCCCATCACTCAGCATGATGCTACCCAATGAAGGCATCTGTTAGCTGGCATTAAAAAATGAGTGTAACGCAATCAGTGTTCTCCTCCAAGCGTGTTGAGCTGATGTTGCACTAGCAGTATTTTGAAAAGAATGCAGTGCCGTCTTGTGAGTCTCGAGCCTCCCAGCTTGGTAGCACTGCATGATAGGTAGCATTATTGGACTCGTGTCTACTGCACACAGTGCCATGAGAAATTTGACCCCCATTCATTTTGAAGTAGCGAAAAAATGCACAAGAGATTGTGAGAGAGAAAAGTTCATAACTGCTGCGTCTTGATTCCTCCTTCAAAACTTAACAAATAAAAAGACAAACGTAGATGAAATACTGCATGGCAGAAAGTGTTCCTACACTCTCAGAAATAAAGGTCTGAAACTATCACTGGGGTGGTATCCCTCCTGTTACTGGAGTGGGACCCTTCAAGGGTACATCTCAGTATCTTTAGTCAGGGAACATAATTGTAGTATAATCCACTGAAATGATATTTTCTAAGTTGTATTGACTCCACACATCCCGTCTCGTAATGTTTTAAAACATTAGGCTATAAAAAGGCACAAACACAAACTTTTCACCTGGAAAAACTTATTTAAGGTACAGAACTGGACCTTAAACCACTGTGGTACCTTTGAGGGAACATTTACAATATTTGTATCTTGATGAACAAAAAATGTACCTGCACAAAACCTTTATTCTTTTACAGTGTAGTGAGTTTAAAAGACAGCAGTCCTGTAGCTTAGTATAGTATTTTTTGTTGGTTGATAGCCTATGTAGCCAGCCAGCATATACTGAACTACTCAGAGCTTTTAAAATTTACAAGCAGTCTACCTGGGAAAATAATTTGTTAGAAATTTATTTAAAATTCACGACTGATTGACAAGTTCACTTGCATTCTGTGTTGCAGACAGACACGCCCATCAAGTGGTGAGGCACTGGCGAAGAAAGCGAATGAATTTCGTGCTGCGTGCAGTGGCGACATACCGTAACAACATGTTTAGCAGTAGTGCTGTAAGACAAACTGTTCAGAGCATGTCCAGGTGTGCTACATTAATGCACAGCTACAGAATGTGCTAGAATATGTTCAGCTGTGCCACTTAGAGTGAGCTGTTCACCTGTGCTGGCCAGAAACTCACTGTAGTACAGCGCTCTGGCACAGAGACAAAGCTTTTCCATCAGCACAGGGCACAAAAATAAACCTTCCCCACAGACAGCAGCAGTAGGCCACACGCACACAGTTTCTGCCTCATGAATATTTATGAGGCTGACTGAAGTGTGATCAGGAGCGAAAGAGAAAGAGAGATGGAGGGAAGAAAGATTTGCCGAGCTGTGTAAATGCTATGACCATCAACCCGGCCTCTCTCTCTCTCTCTCTCTCTCTCTCTCTCTTTCTTTCTTTCTCTCTCTACACAACTATAGAGGCAGATACACAGCACTATGCAGCCTTGATGGGTTCTTACTATAGCAGCGCACTGCTGTATCTTTATGCACCTATTTAAGTGCTCATGTTCATGGCCATAACCAGCTATGAGAACACTAATTTCCAGACCTTGATAGTTTCAGAGGGATTTTTTTATGTGTCTCCATTCATGAGATTAAATATAGAAACAGTCTACTCAGGGGCGGAGCCACAAGCATCACAGACCTGCCCAATAAAAGGGGAATAGAATCTTCACAATGCCACATTTTTAAAAATAATGAAATTTGTCACTGAATACAGCACTGTAACAGTGTTATGGTCAATCAAATTCTGCCCAGCTCTGTCTTACATCCGCAGCCCTCCAATCACTGCTTAGCAACCACTGCTATCCCCCTTTCTTCAAGCTTTCAGTTTGTTATCAGTAATGAGCATGAGGACAGTGAGGTCCCTGGTAGCATCGAAAGGGTTTTATGAGATTCTGAGTGGAAAAAACAACAAGACTACACAGTGAGCAGTGACTCGTTCTCAGATGACCTCAAACCAGCTGTGCTCTGACCCTAGACTTTACTGCCTGCTCTGTTTATCTCTGTACGAGATGATATGCTGCCCAAAGACCAGAGCAACTGCACAGCCCATGTACTATAGCCTAACAAATGACACTACTATGATAAAAATGTGAGAGTTTATGAAGCTAATGAACAGATTATGCTTGTAAAATGCAAACCCTACAATTCATTTTTCTTATTTGGACCACTGATAACATTGCTAGCTAAGTCAGTATGCTGTAGTCTAGTTCCAGTCGTTCAGTTTAGGCTCCATAGTTGGCTATATTAGCAATTAGATGAAAAATTTAAGCTGTATTCTAACCTACTCATAACATACTTCTACTGGCATGAGTTCACTGTAAACTAGCCTACTGACGGCACAGTATTTTGTTGCATTTTGCCTTTTGTAACACATGTTTGATTTTTCAGTAATTAATGAGGACAAAGATGCAAAAAAGACAAGAAAAGAGAGGGGGGGGGCAGGTAAAATCAATGTGAAACTATCACCTGATTTAGTATGGGTATGTTTTTCAGCTGAAAATAATCAAGTAAATAAATAGTTAAGTGATTCATTTAAAATATATTAAATTTATTTCATTTAATTTTTTTTAAAAAATTGGCATCATGAAGGTTCTGTATAAGGCAAGTATATGCCATTTAAAATTTCAGCAACTCCACACTTTAATCAGCTTCCCATATCCCTGCCTACTGGGAAAGGTGTCTGTGTGTGTAAGAGAAAGCCTTTGTGTCTATGTATGTGTGAATGTATATCTATATGAGTGAATGAGTAGAGCAGTTCTCACCCATACATCTCCTCATCCTCAGGACTGGGCCGCAACAGGATTTTGGGTGTTGTCTTGACTGCTGCTGGAAAGCATATTGTGACAGGATTAGCTTTAGTTTCATCATACTTCTGGCCAGGGATTCATAGGAACAGGATGATAGGAGAAATTTCCAATGATGATATTAGTGACCAAAATTATCACAGTTTTAGAATTATATTGGCATTGATAAAATGCTCAGAAAATTGTTAAAACACTAAATTCTGAAAACCACAGACACTATACTGATGGACCATTTATTTCACCACTTGTGTTTCTTCATGACATCCAAATATTAACTACAACTTAACGTTACACTGTGTAAGTTTTGGGGATTTGGAGGCCTCGCTGGTGGAAATGTGTAATTGCACTCAACACGGAAACATTTTTGTAACCTCGACCATGCTTTGGACACTCTGATGAATCTGATGATTGTGAGGGAGCATTCAAAGAGAACTCAGTGAAAACTTGAAGGATGTGTTTTCCGATGATATGAATGAATTATGTACAATTGTCTTCATGAAAACTGCAATTAGGTTTTAAGAAGAAATTTCTACTAAAAACCTACTTGCAGTTTTCATGAAGATTCTGACATTCAGCAATGTTTTCTTATTTGGGATTTGTTCTTGGTTAAGAACAGAATCTAAGCGCACTCAAGAGCACAAAGGCGCGGACAATTCGGATGACACAGATCTTATCTTTTCTCAAGAACATCCTGGAAGATATTGGTGAATGAGGCCCATTGTTCACATTATGCATTGTTCTGGCTCTTCGTTTACAAAGCAGAGGTTCTACCTGGAGGCTCCTCTGGTCTCGGCTCTCCTCGCTCCTCCTGCACTGCAGCCGGCTCTTCCATCAGCCTGTAAGGGGAAGAAGTGGCAGCGATCTTGGGCAGTCTGCTCTGGGGGTCCTCCCTGGAACCATTATAAACACCAGACATTCAGAGAAATTAATCTCCAGCACAACCACAGATGATTCATAGGCAGTGATCTGAGGTAGATCTAAGGGGCCTGTGTTTCATAACTTTCCCTAAAGTCCACTTAAAACATCTGTGTGGCTTTATGTGCTAAAAACAGCTGTAATTTCTTGTCACATGACCATGTTACCCTCTCTTTATCCTTGTTTTTGTTAGTGTGCCTCTGAGACTGACATATGTAAATGGTCTCTGTTCTGATGGGCTGCGCTGTATTGTGTCTTGTTCAGTAAGTAGTCCAGGCTGAAATATGGAAGGAACTATTAAGTTCGGACTGAAATCCTCAGAGACGTGGGGAAAAAATAAACTTCAGCCACTCCTTTTGGATGTCTGGATTGTTTGGAAGTCTGCAATGACCCATTTGTCTTTCAACAGCCTGGAACAAAAAAAATTTTAATCTTCCACACCAATAATTCTACTACAGACGGTCTGCAGGAACAACACGCCTTATCACTTCAGTGCGAATGGGCTCTCATATGTAAATGTGTTCATATTTGTGACAATGATGTCATGAGAATCAACTCATTAATATATATCCTTCTATTCAGCCTACGGCAGTTTAGCTCCACCAATTCATACTGAAGTTATAAGTAGTGTTTCAGCTGAGTGCTTTTTGAATAAAGCACAATACAGGGCAGCCAATCAGAACGGAGACTGCTTTTCTTATATCAACCTTAAAGGCACAGTAAAAACAACAGACTGCTTAATTCTAGCCCTGCGTTAACACGGGCAGCAATTCATTTCATTTATTTATTGGTCATTTATTTTCAATGATTTCCGGCAACAGTAGGCAGCGCGAACTTTGGCGACTCAGAGTGGGCGGAGTCAGTGACACAACAAAGTTAAGCGGAGTCTAACTTTACGCAAATAAGAAGCGAAGCGACATGGCAATTACCAATAGGAATTGAGCACTCAGCAGCATAGTACGCGCTTTATCTCTGCCACTGTGAAACAGTACGCTCTGTTTTTGGTTCCTAGATAACTGTTCCTACTAGAGATGGAATAATGGCAGCAGTGCTTTCGCTGCGAATAGACAGTAATCACAAAGACCAAATACCGTTTTCCATACAAACTCACTGCACATACATGGGGATTAAATAAAAATAAGCACACAAGCAATTTCTCACCAGGATTTGTAATTTTAGGGAACGCATCTAATTTGTGCTTGCCGTCAGTAAAACTATGGCAACCAACGGTCAGGCGGAGTTCAAAAAGGCCCACAGGCAATGAGCGATCAATGATTTGGGTTACAAAAGGCAAAAAGTTGCTGCCGGTGTGAACGCAGGGTAAGGGATAAAGAGAGCTTAAAAAATGGCCATGTAAGAAAAAATGATGACCATTTTTGGTACATAAAATCACACAAACGTTATAATTGGACCTCAAGGGGGGAAAATAAATTACAAGAAAAATGTAGGATATAGGATAAGTTTAATATATATTTTTTTTTAATACTGTATTATATCTGCACCAGCCAGTGCTCAAGGTTTCCATATCAGTTATCGGTACTGGAAAAGAAAAAGTGGTATCGTGCCATCTCTACTTGCAGCTTGGTTTCCATATATAGACTGAAAAGTTAAGAATGTTTGGAATGCACAGTGCATCAAACTCCTTTAGAGAAATCAGTTTTCAAGATATATGAGAACTTCAAAGCTTCAAGGACATTTTGGGAGTAGGTTTTTTAGGGCTGCTATTGAAGACATGCCAGTGGCAGAAGACGTCACCTTTTGTGCTCCTTATAACAAATTAGCTAAATAGGGGTAGTGAGTTTGCCAGAAGTGATGTCCCCTTTGAACAGCCTGTGGAGTGTCCATTATTTATTCAGCTCATTCAGATATCTCATTTTTTTATGGTGGGCCTGTGTTAGTGTGCAGAGGAAGGGAAGCTGCTATTTACTGCTGCCATAAGAAAACCCTTGTGTTTCCAAAATGGTAACTTCATAAAAGGAAAAAACATTCTTATCATCTTTTAAGACCATCTTAAAGGTGCATTCCACAGAGTTTCAAAATATCTGCATTTTAAGTAGTTAAGATGTAGAGAAAGTCATTCAGTGTGGTTTGGTGTGAAATGCTCAGTTCTAGAGAAACTTATTGAGTCAGAATAGTTCACAGGGGTGGTGATAGGAACCAGACGTCCGAGGAGTTTAAAGATTCTGAAAGCTACATCGCAGAAAGGTATTACATGAAGTGGTTATGAATACAGTGCCTGATGTCTGAGACGCTGTTTTATGATAGTTCTGTTTCTATCAAAACCACTAAGAAAATCTGAGTTTCTGTACAATGAACCACTTCACTTCAAAACATTCCGGATGACTTTGTTTACATCTCCATTACTGAATTATGCATTTTTAAACATGTCTGGAATTCCCTTTAAAACTATTGAAACATTTGCAAGACAATAAAAACAAAACAAAATATAAACAATAAAAACAACACATAAGGCAACACACATCTGAATGTTTCAATAAAAAAAGTGTTAGAATAAATTTTAATATTTTAAAAGTGACAAAGTGTATGGGAATTTTACTTTGGCCACAGTAAAACTAGACAATAAAAGCAAAGTAAAATAATAGCTTTTTTTAGTTTTTTATTTATTCTTCATTATGAAAATAGCCTGAGCGTTTTGTTTTGGCCAAAAAAATAAAAGCACAAATACTTGAAATAGTTTTGTAATAAGGCTTTGGTCTAAAACTTTCTGGTCCTTTTGGATAGTAAACAAAGTGGCTATATTTGTGTTGCAGACATTACAACTCCTGGTTCCTATCACCACCACTGTAATGAAATTTGAGGCAGTGTCGAACGATTTCTCATCAAACCACTCTGAATGTCTTTGTTTACATCTCAGTGACTGAATTATCCAGACCTTTTGAAAAATGGTTGGAATTCTCCTTTAAAACACTTGAAAGATGTGATTTTCTGTTAGTCCGTTTATCAATACACAGCACAGATGCTAAAAATGCCATGAGCTACAGGCTGTTTATGAAGTGCTGCTGAGTGAGACTGGAGAGAGAGGAGCGCGCTTTTAGCTCAGGAATGAAATGAATGTGATGAAAGGCTTCAGACTGAGCAGGTTCCTGGGTTTGAAAATAATACAGGCTGTATGACAGATTACCCACAGTGCAACAGGCATACCTGACGTTCTCTCGCGGCACCTCATTGGAGGAGTGTGAGGAGAGGTCAGACTGCCGCGACCTCTGGTCTTCCTGCGGTGAGTAGGAGTGGTACGACTCCATCTCGGAGATATCTGAAACCAGAGGCAGACAGGAGGGAGTCAGAGAGCAGCTGAGAGTCTGCTGTAATGAAGCCCTCCACCAGACAGGACCCAGGAGAGAGTTTACCGTCCCCCCGCTACCGCACACAGCTCTGAGTGTTACTGCCGACTTTGTGTTAATGTGTTGAGATCTGCCTCATCATAACACAATCAGCTCTCTGCGGTCACTGTTAGGGGTTTAAATCTACATCACGACTCTTCAGGAAACAGTTCAGTGCATCACGAAGAGTCAGATTTCACCATGATTCAATTCGATTCAGTTAAACTATCTTGGGATGATGCAACAGGAGAAATTGTTACCCAATATAAAGACACAAGTCAAGAATTTGATTTCGGCCAAAAAAATGTTTCATTGAAAATTATTATGCAGGCATTGTAATAAATTATAATATTTCAAATTAATGCAGCTGAATGATCATCTTCAGATCCACTTTTATGTTTAAATTTTTTTTTTACTTTTATTTTGGCCAATGCAAAAACTAGAATATGAAAAAAAGTAATGAAAAAAAGATCTTTACTGAATATTATATCAAACTGACATTATAATAAATGGTAAAATTTCAAAAGTGATAAACAGGAAATTTTATACTTTTTGAAAATTTTATTTTGGCCAAAAAAGGGGCAAATATTGAATATTATAAGCTTAATAATCAATTAGAAAATTTCAAAATTTATGCTGCTGAACTGCCACAGTCTGATTAATTATTACATTTAAAGAAAGTCTGAGAATTTATTTTAGTAACAATAATAAACCAAGCAAAGTAAAATAAAGGCAATAAAAACAATATATTAAGGATTTTTTTCAATATGAAAACAGTTAATATTTTATTGAATTTTATGAAATTTATTTTGTCACAATCATGAAATTTTAGCTGAAACTAGACAATAGAGACACAGTTAAATACATGCAATAAAAACAACATACTAAGTTTTCTTTTTCAGATGTTCTATAAGAAAATAGCCTGAGAATTTTATTTTGCTCAAAAAATACTAATACTTCACTGAATATTATTAAAAGGCGAAACTGATGCATTTGAATGGATACACTTAGATCGATGTATTTTTACACCCCTAGTCAGCTGTGATGTTACTGTACTTTTCAGAAGCGAATTGAAAAGCAGAAAATGATTTTCCAGCAGTGCTGAGTGGAAACTGTTTAGAGCAGTGTTAAAAAGAGGCAGAACAGAACTGCAAGAAAGCTGTATGTGTAATACAGACCTGGAGAGGGAGAGAGAAAGAGAGAGAGAGAGAGAGAGAGAGACAGAGGTGCCTGTAAGACAGACAGTTCTGACAAAATGGACACCCTTTATGCCACCGAGAAGACGTGTGAGAGACAATCAGACATACAGTGAACTGTCATGGACAGCAGAGCCATAAGAAGATACCCGCTTATGCCAGACAAAGTCCAAAGCCAAAAATACACAGTCTAAATCAGTAACAACAGGTGAAATGGTAGAGCTCTACTTCCTCCAGGGTAGTTCAGGAAACTCCTGTTAATACAAGCAGAGTTAACACCACCGATACGCAGCAGCTGCTCAGAGTGGAAGGGTTAGATACAGAGGTACAAAGCAGGGGTGAGAGCGACTTTGTGACAAAGAGAGAGAGAAAGAAAGGAAAGAAGGAAAGAGGCGGGCGAGGGGCGAGAGAGAGAGAGAGGGAGCGAGTTACTGTGTGGTTGGGTGCTGCTGGTGAGCGTAAGTGCAAGTCCGCTGCTTTAACGCAACTCTTCAGCTCCTCACAGTGCCAGCGGTGGCCAGTGCAGCATGCCTAAAACACACTCTGTTACTTGGCACAGGACACACACACACACACACACACACAATACAGACACACACCAGCCAGGAGCAGCAGTGCAGCTTTCAGTGTAGCAATGAATAAGAAAATACTAAGATAGAAATAAATGTGGTAAATACTGCTGTAAATAATCTGTAAACAAAGACGAACAGTACTGTTCAAAAGTCAGAGACCCTTCATTTAGTTCATTTCCAGGCAAAATGGACATTTAGTACAAGTTTTCAGAGTCATGAAACAAAACAGAAAACATATCACTGCTGGAACAAAACCCTCACATCTCCAAAATGAAAACTTTACAGGTGAAGATAAAACATTACGAACTTGTAATGGAAGTAAAAATATCTTCAGGTAATTTTGGAGCATTTCTGTTGGACTGTTCAACATTCAATTTTAACACAATTCAGAAAGTAACTGGAGTTTTCAAACTGTGCAAAACTGTATTGTTTCCACACCTCCAAAGTTCAGTCTTAGAAATTATTTGCATTTTCTCACAATCCAAACACATTTAGTGATGTTGAGGTCTGAGCTCTGCACACTCAAAAATGGTTCATCAAGGGTTCTTTAGGAAAGGTAAACACTTGAAGAATCATTTGAATGTGCAGATGGTTCTTGGCATGGTTAAATGGTTCTTCTGATAGAAAACCTGTTGTATATCGCTGCTGTCAGAACACCTCGTATCTCCATTTTTGATGTTTTTAAATTTTTTTTTTTACATAATTCAAAAATGCCTGTTGCCCTTTATATTGTGCGTAAATGTCATCAAGAATGGACCAAAAAGAAAAACAGTGCAAAATAACTTGAAAAAACTCTGGTTCCATAGACTTACATTAAAAGTATGTTTTTCCCTTCTCCTGTAAAGTTACCAGAGAGACACAAGGTTTTGTTCGGACAACAGCAACAATAGTTCTATATAGCAATAGTTCTATATAGCACTAAAAGGGTTCTGCTATTGCTACTATAAAGAACCATTTTTGCTAGGAGTATACAGCTCATAGTGCTGAGTTGTCTTCTCACAGCGGAAGGATGGACAGAAACACCTGTGGATTTTTTCAGATCTGAAGCAGGAGTGGAGCTCGACTTTCTCCTCTCTCTCAAAAATAAGAGCTTTAAGTACTCTGTTGGGGAGATTAGCGATCTACCAGGTTGTACACGGTTGTTAAGAGCTCCATTTTCTCATTACTCATTATGTTGCCTTTGCTTATGTAGGTGGAAACTGTGACCTCCTCAGGGAAATGGAAAATGAAAAATGCATATTTAATAAACATTTTGACTGAAAATTAAATAAATAAGGGAGGGGTCATCTTTTGCACAGTACTGTACATAGCCCCTTAAACCACATGTCCGACTCTGTTAGAAGAGGGAAAACAATAATATCTGCAGAGGTGTGTCCTGGAAGGAACCCAGTTTGACATGTTTGCCTTGAACCTTAAGGGTCTATAAAAGGTGGGTACTCTAGGGTTGTGTAGTAAAAAAAAATAGTCCTATAGAGAACCATGAACACTCAAAGAACCCTCTGCATGATTAAAGCGTTCTTCAGATTGAGGGAGAATATGCTGCAGATAGTTCCATATAGAATCTTTTTGAAATGGGTTCTATACAGCACTAAAAAAGTTCTTCTACTGTTACAAGCTTGACATCGTAACAAAACGAGAATCCTTTTGGGTGCCATACAGAACCCTTTTTTAAACATTTTAATCATGCAAAAGGATCTCTGAGTGTTCATGGTTCTACAAAGAACCATTTTCTTTCCTAAAGAACCACTGAAGAACCATCTTTTTTTAAGAGTGCAGCATAGCAAAATGACTTTTTTTTACTCTGTTAAACTTTTCTTAACTGAGAGTTTAATTTAATCCCTAGACTTCTGTATTTGACGAAGTTTAAGGGGGTTAATGATTGAATCTTCTTCGGTTGATGTTTGTGTTTTTATCTGATGAATGAGAGTGCAGGTTTCAGGCAGTGAATGAAGGCCTTGCTGACTTTTTCCTTTTTTTTCAGAGCTCTGTAGGAACGAGCGTTCCCATCTGTTGGGTGGAGATGTAATTACAGCCTGTCGGACACTCGAGAGAGGACAAAACCACAGAGCTGGAGAGAGAGATGGGACAGCTGCAGAGACACTCCCTCGCTTGCTCACTCGCTTGACACAGCCACAAACAGGGCACAGCAAAACACGACTACTGCACCACCACCGGCTATTTACATCACACCATCATATCATTACTGTACAACAAACAAATACAATACACACACACACACACACACACACGCTTATACACACACACACGCTCATACACACATACACCAGGTGCAGCAGTGCAAAATATACTGAAACAGTAATAATGTGCTTGCAGGTAAATAATAAACATAACTATATTTACCCCTAAACACACACATACCTATACATATACAGCACTGTGCAAATTCATTTACAGTCAAAAGCCATTAAGTACAAGTTATGCATTTTTCAGGAGACATTTCTTAGGAGGTAAGAGATAAGAGAAACACAAATGTTCAAAAATCATTAAAAGATACAGAGAAAATGGGACTCCTAACAACTGTTCACGATCTTCAAGAAGATTTATGCTAAATAGACATAAATACATGTTTTTCTCCTTACACCAAAAAAGAATGACGTATAACTAATGAGTGGACATTAAATAAACGAAGGGTGGTCTTTCACTTTTCATAGCACTGTATTTACAAAAGAACTTTAACATCACTTTTCGGTCAGGTCTCAGTGATGATGTTTGGTCTGGTTGGTAGGAACTGTAGTTTGAAATGTTCTTAACTTTTAATGTAAGTTTTTGTAAAGATGTTTTATTTTGAGCAACTTTGAAGCATTTCTATTGGTCTGTTCATCATGAAATGTTCACACAATGTAAAGGGCAGCTGCTGTGCTCAAATTATGTCAAAAAATGAAAAAACACAAAAATGGAGACACTTTTTTTGCGACAGTGACAATACAACTATATGCTAGATATGCAAGATAGCAGTCTTGCATATTTTTATTGACATCAAGTCTGAAAACGTCTCAAAAACATCCCATGCAAACCAGCAAGGTTCATTCAGGTGGCCTTGGTAGGAGTAGGCAACAAAATGAGTAGCTGTTATATAATTGTGTAGATTTTACAAATGACTTAATGTCATTAATTAACTGTTCTCCTCAATTCACACTGGTTCATTTGGCTTGTCAGTAGTTATTTTAGAACAGTGTAAAGCTTAGAATGTTGTTGGTTATTTTAGGTAATTTTAGATTTTTAGGTAAAAATATAATAATCCTGCTTTGCTGATCGTTCTAACTCAGTTTTAACAAAAAATGGTCTTAAACGCTGGAGTTAGTTTATAACTGCTAATTCACCCTTTAACCTGAAGATCGGCATGCAGACTGCTGGTCACCATAGCAACGCAGACAACAATCTCTAGCTAGTAGCTAACGAACGGCAAAGAGAAAGATTTAAGACATAACAACATCAATAATTTGGAGACGAATGGACTTTGCATTTATGATCACTCCAGTTGGTTTCCTGATAAATTTAATCTGCAGCGAGAAACTGTCAAACCCTAAAAAGTCACAAAGTTGAAGTCAGCTTCACATTCACCAGCTCCTTGTTCGAATTTTCCCGTTCTACATTAAATGGTGCAGCAGGTGATGAGAAGCTGCAGAATGAGAAGCTGATTTCAGCCTCATAAAAAATCAAACGTTGAGAGACATTTTACAGAAGCTATTCTACTTTTGGGAAAGTTTCCTGCTGGAGATGCGAGAAAAACGGCTAGATTTGTGCTAAAGCTTAAAGCAGAGCAAAGTAAGTCTGCATTTTCGTTTATATTATAGTTTTTAGCCTATACTAGTACATCAGCACATACTGAGACATATTTACAGCTGAGATGGTACATTGGACATAAAATATTAGGCCAACTAAGGTTGTTTGATTTTTGCTGAAAGGACAAAATGGCTCTTCTTAACATTTGGGTTGCCGACCCCTGTCATAGACCGCTGGTCAGTGTGCGCTGGGGTTTACAGTTCAACAGTAAATACAAAGTGTGCAAAGGTTCAAAGATACTGGCACTGACTTTTTTGTAAGAACAGGCCTTTTCTGCTTTGGTAGTATTCATATCAAATCAATTCCCCACAGTCCTTATTCACCATGTTCTCTTCTCTATTGCAGGATCTGCCTGTTTAGACTGAAGCCTAAACCTTTGTGATGTATTTGCATGTATTTCAACAAAAAAGACTACAAACAAGACCCCGCTAAATGCAGGCATGCACACTGTCTGTGCTGTAAAGCACATTAGCATGCATTACATTACTATCCTGTTTTTGGGATAGAATTTCAAGCACAAACTTTTAAGCAGCATATAACATGACTGTGTCTGACCTGTCACTGACTCCAAGTGACATTTACTTCACTTTCTTCCAATGTTTAACAGAATAAAATAAAAAACCACACAGAATTAACAATGAATAAAACAGTTTATTGATTAGGGAGAGTATTAAAATTGAAGTTAGCAAAAATATATACGGGCACAAAAGTGAGCGCCTCACAAATCTTAAGTGCACGGTGTGAAAGCTTCACAACTTTGCTGTGGCACAGTCAAGAATAAGGATTAATGGCAACCAGAGAGTATGTACTGCAGTGTCTCTGACGTCCTTCAGCTAAAAGTATGACATATTATCTGTAAAAAAAGAACAGAAATAGAATCGCTCTTGTAGAACAGATCGCTTTGTTTTCTTAGTGCATCAGTGCATCTCTCTGGCATCAAACTGCTCAATGAGACCAAGTCAACCTTGGTTATAGTAAAGCAAAGGCTTCTTAAAATAACTTGGCATTAAAATATAACAGATATCAACAAGATATTAGAAAAAAAATCATCTCTGACTAAATTTGTGTTTATAAATTTACCAAATGTATACAGTACTGTGCTCTGTAGCCAGAGATTATTCTTTCATCTGACAAATTTTGTGAAAATGACCATTATGTACAAATTATTCATTTTTCAGTATTACTAAAAACAGAAAACATATTTAACAGAAATTTACGCTGAAGCCTCAACTACCAATACAATACCAAATTGTTCAGTATTTAGTGTGTCCACTCTTTACCTTTATTGCAGCCTTCACTCTTTTCAGGAGATGTAGTTTCAGGTTTTTAAAGAAATTTGCATGGAAATTCTTCCACACTTCCACTCTTAGGAGTTGGTTGTATTTTCTGCTTCCCACAATCCAAATAATTCCAAACACATTCAGTGATGCTGAGGTCTGGGAAATTGTTCTGAGAACACCAGCAACTTCTTCTCTCAGCAGTGTGCTTGGGGTCATTATCTTGCAATAGAATGGACTTCTTCCTGAACACGTTCTCCAGAGGGTACTGTATGCCATTAAAATTTGTTTGCAGTTATCAGCATTCATGATGGCTTTAACCAAATGTTGTTTGTAGAAAACCACATCACAACTAAGAATGTTTCATTGCTTTGGCAGCATACATTAGAACCATAGTCCATAAAACCTTACTCCACATCTCAGATATCCAGTTCCTGTGTTCTTGAGCAAATTTTCTTTTCTTTCTCAGTAAGGCCTTCTTCACAGCTCCACATCCTTTCAGACTCATAGCGCTGAGTTGTCTTCTCACAGTTAAAGGATGGACAGAACACCTTTGGACACCTTTGGATTTTTTCAGATCTGAAGCAGCTTGATTTTCTCCTCTCTCTCAAAGATGAGATGCTGTTTATCTCATGGCGACAGTTTTGGTGGTCTGCCAGGTCTTTGCACGGTTGTTAGGATCATATTCTCTATATTTGTAAATAATTTTCTGAACTCCAGTTTTGAAAACTCCTGTTTTTCCCCACTTATTTTCTTCTGACTTTCTCCTTCCTTATTCAAAAGGATTATCTTCTAACTACTCTCCTCAGAAATATCTCCTTTTGTTGGGAGGACACAGCTGTAACTGGCTGGTTTCGAGATTGGAAAGATGGAAGAGTTAAAGCGGGAGCAGGTGCACAAAAGCAAAGAATGGACAAATAAAACACTGACCGATATGATGTTATACTTCGTTCTGGAGGCTTCTGTCTAATTATCTGTTAAATACACATTTGCTATTTTTTCCATTGAAAAATGAATAACACATACTTAATGATTGTTTTGATTGGAATTTGGGTGGTCGGTGATTTTTGCACAGTAATGCACCACAAAATTGCCCATGAACTAAAGGTGAAGTAATGTCACTGGACCATAACACCACATTATAGAGTGAGAAAGTGAAAGATTCCATTACAAAATTGTGCATTCTCCTCTTGAACCCATTAATCCATGTACTTATAAGCAACTTATTTGAGGCCATGTGGCTGGCAAACGTGCATATGACATTACTAATCTGATTTATCTGATCCAATTAATGTTATCTGCTTTTAATTAAGTATGATGCAGCAGAGCAAGCAGGCAGAGCAAATGGCCCATTAAGCCTGATGAAGTGCTGGAATAGGGTCAGGGCCTGGATGGATCAGACATCTCAGGCTAGTAGTGCTGGTCCACGATCAGCTCCATGTAAGCACATTCATTAGGACATAAACAGCAAACTGATCCTACATCAGCACGCTCTCTGAAGTATGATTAAGACCACACCCTTGAGGGTATGCTGTGGAGCTCATTTCATGGATTACGAGGCTAGATGGCCCTGAATTGAACCCTCAGTCACTGTGCTGTGTTTCACTGTTGGGATGCACAGTGAGCTTCAGTGAAGAGGGTTAGGCTGCACAGCTGCTAAAGGAGAGAGCAAAACTCACCGTCAGGCTCAGAGTCGCTGTCAGCGAGGGCTGGGATGCGCACCAGAATCTGCCTGTGGTCCCTCTGCACCACTAGCTGCAGCTTCCCCCGAGACTTCTCAATCAGCTTCCCTGCGTCGCTCAGAGAGAGATTCTCAGTCACGGTCCCGTTAATCTAGTAAAAGCAAAACAAACATGTTAAAAAGCTGTTGGTTTGGATACAAGTCAGTGGTGTCCAGCAGATATCACTAGCCATGTTTACATGCAGCCTAATAATCTGATAATAATTAATTACTAATAGCTCAATCGGAACAGAATAGGTCCATGTAAACACCTCAATCGGAATAGATGAATCTGACTGAGGCCATTCGGAATACAAATTCCATCCGATTGTATGAGGTGGGTAATCATGTAAATAATCCGTTAAATAGAAGAATAATAACCATGTAAATGCCTGTATCTGATTACATTCCCAGTCGGAAAGTTTAAGTACGTTTTGCATGTGCGTCGCATCATAGCAAAAGTTTATAACGTTCAACATGGCGGGAGCAGAAACTCGTCTGCAGAAGACGGCGGTGGGACGGGCGTCCAGCTTATGTGTCTCAGAACATGACGTCTTCCTCTCGCCATACTTTAATAAGTACATGTGAAGTACATTTTCCTGAGTCTGACATAATTTTAAAGTAATTAAAAACACAAGCGCTGCCCACCGCTGTTCGTCTCACTCTGACTGGACATGATCCTTGTTGTCGTCATGGTAATGTCTACACTAAGTGGTACTCTACGCATGCACGTGATTTTGGATTGGATTACTTTTAGTGTGAGTGTAAACAGAGATTTTCCATCAGACTGTTGAGTAGAGAGCATGAAAACACCTGAGTCTTAATCAATAATTGGAATGTATTCAAACGGACTGGCAAAAATCTTTGCATGTAAACACAGCCAGTGTTTCTCTCTTCTAAAGCACTATTTGGACAGGATTTGTTTTACCTGGGGAGATGGGGCAGTGTAATTGTTACTGATGTTTCTTTGTGATTTTTCACCTGTCCACATTTGCCATATTAGCCATTTGTAGGAGTTACGCAGATTATTTCATTTAGTTGACAGAAAGCTAGCTGGAAAAACTTCCCAGCATTCTTAGTGGTTTGTTGGTTTCTGTTAATCAGCTTTTCTTTTTCTAATTTTTCATTAGTTCTTGTCAAGCAAAGTTAACTCCATAGGTAGCCAGTGCCTGACGGCCGGGCCCAAGTTTTATTACACAGTTCTATAACCTAAGAATAGCTCAACCAGTTTGCACTGAAGTCCCTGTATTTACTGAATAATATGCCTCAGTATGTAATAAGCCTGGGATGGTAAGGAGTCAAAATTAGTTTAAAACATGTTATCTCCATGCTGAAGGTTAGGATTGGATGCATTGTATGCATTGTGCTATATTAACCATGACGCTGCAGTTTACCAGGTCAGCCTATATTAGTAATAAAAAGGTAAACAAGCAATTGTGATCATGCTTATATGACCAGGGACCATTTAACAAACTCATGTTAAATGTTAAAGGTTAGTTCTGATTTAAGGTTGACTTTAACTCACTGGTCATGTGATATTAATGATTTTGCCGCATGAGGCTCTTCAACACAAGCAGTTGCAGGTGCAAATTCTAAATTTTCAAAATCACATTTGTGCCTGGAAGTAGCAGAGGAAATACTTATGATTTGAAGAAAAGTTATTGCTACGCACAGAAGAAGTTTTGTGGAAAGAAAAAACATTCTTAATATTTTTGCCATGTGTTTGTCAAAACTAATGAAAAAAAAACATAAGAGCAAACTTGAAAGTGTCTATAGAGAATGTTATTCAAATGTAAATACAATTCATTATGTAAGTAATTTCGTGATTACATAAGTAATTATGCAATTTCATGCTATCTGTGAAAATAGCATGTCCTTTTAAGAAAGCAGGATCTGTCCTGTGGTGAACCAAATCAAGTTCTGAAGATGAGTCATTATGCACTGAGAATGATATCATTATACAGCAGGTCTGACAGGCACCTTCAGAATGATGTCTCCCTCCTGCAGGTGTCCGTCTCTGGCAGCTAGTCCACTGCTGGTCATCTCTTTGATGAAGATCTGGCTGCCCAATCGGAGACCATACTCTGTAACAAAACAATAAGAAAGACCACTCACTGTTCAGTAAACACAAACCTGATCTGAACCACAATGACCTCGAACTCAACCGTAACAACCTGACCTGACCACAGTCCAGCCCACCCTGAGGCAAGCGGCTTCATAGCTTCATAGCCCACCAATAATTGTGCATTAAAGTGTGCAGAAGAGTGCTCTCTTTAGAGGATGTGTTCACTTATATTCACTTAGAAAATCACCAAAAATAATTTCAGCAGGGGTGCCAAAACTTTTGCATACAACTGTAAATATCCAGTCACATTAGCAGCATTTAATACCCACATTACACTGCATTTTCAACATATTTAAGCCATTCTAAAAATTGGTGGCTTTTCCCTGTAGAGTGAAAACAAACAGAAAAACAAATTCATGAATAAGCAGTAATGCGGGTGGTAGTGAGTGTGTGTCCAGTGGTCCACCTGGCAAGGCCATGTGCTGTGAGACGCTGGTGAAAAGATGAGGGGAGACAAGGCGTTATATGCGAAATCACGAGACGTGCTCTCTTCTTGGCAAACGCTCAGCTGGATCTCCATAAATAAATCAGATTAAAATATCATCATTGCTAGCTGAGAGAAAATAACAACCCATATATGAGAGAAAGGGAGAGAGCCAGAGAGAGAGAGAGCCAGAGAGAGAGAGAGAGAGAGAGAGAGCTGAGTGCAACAGAGATGCCAGCTGACCTCATTATAAACACCAGACGCTTTTTATGCTGCACCTGCAGAGGTATATGCATTACTTCCACATCTCCACATCTGCCCTAATGTACTCCTGGTAATTTTACCACACAGTCAATTCTCTGACTCTGTGGGAAATGAGATCTGGCAATTATCTACCAGACTGGAGCATTTCTCAGTTAAGAAATGCCAATAAGGACAGAACTTCATTAGATTTGGACCAAGGCTAAACAACCTCAGGACCAGAGGCCTTCCAGCAAACTCCATCAAGCTGTTTTGACCTGTACAAAAATGCTGTGGCTGTAACTGGTCCTTATAAGGAGCTGTGCACTGAAGAAGCAACACACATCTTATCTAACTCATACAATAGCTTGACAAATGGCTGCTAAGTTCAATCTGGCACGTTACACTATGTTCACACTGCAGGTCATTTCAAGGTTCTTCATATGTAACATGGATTTGTTTTTTCTGTGACAGTGTGAAAAAAACACACTAAATCGCACTGAAAGCACATTGCGATTTGGGCCTTTTAAGCTCAGTTCACATTACCAGGATGAATGGGCACAAATCAGATTTTTTGCCATAATGTGAAACCTGATCTTTTCAAATTAAATCTGAGCCACTTTCATATGTGGCCCACTGCTGTGTCTGATCCACTCAGACCAGCGCAACACACACTAACACACCACATCAGTGTTACTGCAGTGCTGAGAACGATCCACCACCCAAATAGCACCTGCTCTGTGAGGGTCCATGGGGGTAAAAGGGGGCTAACAAGGTATACAGAGAAACAGATGGACTACAGTCTGTAATTGTAGAACTACAAAGTGCACCTATATAGTAAGTGGAGCTGATAAAATGGACAATGAGCGTAGAAACAAAGATCATAATGTCATAATGTTATGCCTGAACAGTGTATATCAGATCTGAGTAAGTCGGATTTGGGTCACTTTTACCTGCAGACTGAAGCTTTAGGGCACAGAAGACACTCAACTATGCAGTGTCACCCCAGCACTGATTAAGGACTGAATCATCAGCCAACCCCTTAAACATTAGGCTTATTAAAACTACTATAAATGCTTTGTTAACTTCTATGAAACTAATATGCAAGTCATGCAGTGATGAGAGTGAAGAACTGAAGTGTGGACTGATGTACCGCCCATTGTAAAGGGTTAATTATCAAGCCATTCCTAAGCTGATTCTAAAGGCCATCAAACACTGGACATGATGCATGATGTTGCACAGCATCAAAAAATTCGAAAAACCATTGTTTAATTAAGGTACACACATCGCTTCCAACATTTAGCGTCAACACGAGCTTGCAGACCTCAAGCACTTGAGTTTCTTGCCAGTGTGTGCCACTCAGCATTTTCCTGTTACTAAATTAAATTAAACCCAGAACAAGACCACAGAAATCAATGGCAGGTGACATGTGGCTTGAAATGTACACCAAAACCAGGCAGGCTATCTAAAGTCTTTAAGGCCGTGTTCACACCTGTCATTAGCGGACATCCTTGGTGTTCCAATCATAAGTGGACAGCACTAAGTACAGTGATGAACACAGTGCAATGAATCTCGGAGACATGCTGTGATCCGATCACTCAAAGTTCCTTCAGAGGTGGTCAGAGACAGATCGGACCACATAACATTGGTAATATGAATGCTAAAGTGCCCCAACGTGTCCTTGACAGCATCAAAGGACCGCCTTAAATCAGCTGCGTTCACACTGGAAATTAAAGCAGGTGCATAGCTAATTTTTCAGTCTCACCTCTTGCTTGTTTACAAGCTGCTTTAGCAATCCGTGCAATCTAAGCTGATGCAATAGCCCTTACATACACATGAACAAGGACCCACGGGACAGTTTTGCGACAACAAACCCAACAAAAGACTGACACAGTAAATGCGCGAGGTATCCTTCTTCTAGTCACACATTTCAAACGTGTGGTCACGTATTCACAACACAAAGAAATGCCAAGTGTAAACGGCTATACATTTGGCTGTCCACTTATGATCAGGTCACTCAAGACGGATGGTACTACTAAGTGTGGACAGGGCCTAAGATAAACAGACAAACACTGAAGGTCATTATTAACCTTTTTTCCTCATCTTTGAGCTTGAAATCTGTGAGTTTGAGAAGAGTTTGTACGCTGAAATCAAACACAATGGCACCAAATGATGCTGAAAGTTTTATTCCATTAAATCAATTAAATCAATATCTGGAGAGTGTAAAATGAATTTGAGCTTAATGCTAATCAGCGATCACCCTGTGACGGATTCTATGTGGCGTATGATGCTACATCGATGATATGTACGGGTGTGCGGGGTGGCCTTAAACTATGCATCGGTGCAGCATAAATGAATACGATTACGTTTCTTGAGTGAATATCTTGGTTCTCACCTTCGTTGGGTCGGTTCTTTACCAGCAACACGTTGATGGGCGTGTCCAGTGGCTCCAGGTGACCCCAGTCTCTCCCGCGCCCCCTGCTGGGTGATGGTGAGTGCTCCTGCAGCCGGTCTCTGCTGTGACTCCTCATCATTCTGTCATCTGAGCGCGGTTCGTATCTCCTCGAGTCGTAACCTGGCCCAGGGTCTCTCCCGTAGCTTCCTGCAGGACTCCCCCCACCCCCATGACTGTGGTAGCGGCTATCAGGGCTGGCACCACGCTCCAGTGTACGTCCCCGGCTCCCGTCCCGCCGGTAGCCCCTGTCAGGGCTGGGTGATCTCTCCAGGCTGCGGCCACGGCTTCGCTCCCGCCTCCCCGGGTCATAGTCCGGCCTGCGGTAGTCCGGCTCCAAGTAGCCCATGCGGCCCTTGTCCAGGCTGCGATCGCGCTCACGGGGGTAGCCCAGGCCCCCGTTCCCTCTGGGGTAGTCTGAGTCCGGGTCGCTGTGCGTGCTGCGGTTGTCCTCAGGGTAGTAGCTGGACAGATTGTAGTCCCGGCTGTCCCTGTCTGGAGATGGAGGGCGCTTGAGGACGGCAACCTTGCGAGGCCTCTTCACCGTCTGCAGGGAAACATAAGTGTGAATCCAACACAAACACAACAGTAAGATTATATTTAGGCAACAAATATATGTAAACGAATTTACATGCCTATTGAAAATGCTGCAACTACTGTTTTCAGCTAATCTATGTTTTTAAAAATAACAGTTCTTAAACATTGTCAGAAACCATATAAGCAACATGATGATTTAAGCAGGCGGTCTGTATGATTCTTAAGTGGTAAGGTTCCACTTATTAACTACATTAGCCTCTTCGCTCCGGTGCAAAACTAAAGAAGCAAACTTTGGACACTAAATATGTGTACATTTAATTTTTGGTCAAACCTCTGCCTTAATAAAATCACTGCAAACATTCAACCTTTTAAACAGAAATGAATCAAGAGAAAACAAAAATCGCTAAAGGAGAAACATGGTCATGTGGCAGAACAAAGTAGCCCTTACGCATGACAGTCACAAGCCTACTCACTATTTTGGCCACTTTCCCGCATTTTCGGAGCTGCTGCACAGCAAAGGAATGAGGCACATTCTCCATGGGGATAGTGTTGACCTGTATAACCCGGTCATTCTCACTGCCAAACGTAAGAATAACACAACTTAATTCCAAGTAAAACAAAAGGGTCATTTAATCCAACAGACTAAACAATTGCACTAATTATATTCAGTGGTTTATTATATTATTATCTTTAGCTCTGAAAGTAATGATAGGTAATGTTTGCTTTGTATGAAAGCAAGAAGGAAACGTACTACAGTAAGCCGTCGGCTGGGCCGCCCTGCAGAACATCAGACACGATGATGGAGGTCTCACCGGTGTCCACATTAGGGTTGTCCCTGCCCCCAGACACAGCTATCCCAAAACCCATCTTAGCATCCTAAAAGAGATAAAGACAGAGTTAAAATGAAGAACAGGAAACCGCTTTCTTCTCATACTCTTCCAGATGAAGTCGTTGATCAAAAGGAGCTGGACAGACAGAACAGCAATGACAGGCAATGCAATGAACAAACAGGAATGATGAGGCAGTTGGGCAGCGAGACAGCACTTCTGCTCCAGACATTAACTGGATTACTCTCCTATCTGAGCAGCAGAGCTGCCCAACAAGTCGTAGTGTTTTTGGTATTATATTGTATTATATACAGTGAAATAAAAGCTTCAATTTAAGGTGCAATTTAGCTTTACAATGTTTTTTGATCCTAAAAGTATTTATACTATTTTTTGGAGAGTGTGAATAAGTCATATTTTGGTGATTTTTTTCTGTGCACTCTGCCTGCTGTCTTCACACTAAACTGTGCTCTCACCTGCGCTCTTTCACAGCTCGACTCCAGCTGACAGTTACACCTCACTGCCTGCATAAATAACTAACTGCTGTACCTGCCTTTAGCATGGAAATGACTGCCTATTACCAGCTTGCTGTAAACCAGTCAACCAAACCAAATGTAATCTTTCTGTCAAAATACAGTCAGCAGAGAACGTGACAGTGAGAGAGTGGATTGTAGGTCTTCATCACAGATACGACACCCGTTGTAAGGAGCTAAATATTCTGATAACCAACAATATCAACTGACAGTCAAAAATTAAACAGACTCAAATAGTTCTTAAGGCTAATCTTGTCAACTGTCAAAAGTACCTACTGGCGGTGGTCCAAGAAGGGACAGAACAACGAGAGGGTTTTAGGCATCCAAGGTTGATTACTGCACATAGGCAACGAAGGATATCCCGACTGGTCCTAACCGACAGAAAAGCCACTGTGGCACAAGCCACAGAAACCCCAGACCAGTCAGAATGCCCATACTAAGCCCTGTGCATCGTTAAAGGGGCCTACTGTGGACACGCAAGTGTCAGAACTTCACCTTCGAGCAAAAAGGTAGCCTGATCCAATGAGTCCTGTTTTCTTTCACATCGAGTGGGTGACCAGGTACTTGCTTGCCGTTTACCTGGGTAAATGATAGCACTATGGGAGTGTGATGCTTTGGACAATGTTCTGCTGAGAAACTTTGGACATCAATTTGACACATACCTAAACATCGTTGTGAATCAAGTACGCCTCATCTCAATCTGATCGAAAATCTGTGGGCTGCGCCGGAACAACAAGTCAGATCCACAGTGGCTCCACCTCATAACTTGCAGCCAAATCGTTATGGCCAGACAACTGGGTGGAAGCACCTCCGAAATGACAAGGCTTGTGGGATCTGCTGCTAATGTCTTGGTGCCAGATACCAGAGGGCATTTTTAGAGAACTTGAGTCCTTGCCTCTGCGTATCAGAGCTGTTTTGGCAGCACTTGGAGGACCAGAGGCATAATTAACAGGTGGTTTATTGGTCTATAACCAATTGTCACACTTCTTTAACTCAGATAAACAGCAAAATCTCACAAAGTCTTAACAACATAAATATTGTCTTGCTGCCTATAAACACTACTGCTTTTACTGTCATAGTGGGACAGGAAGCTTTTTGGCACTGAAGCTCTAAACTGGTACATAAAAACTTAGCAGTTAGAAGTTAAAATAACAAAGTCTATTTAAGGTTTTACTGATTTATCTGAACTATATATTATAATGATAAGAAATGAAAGGTCACTAAGCAGCCACTGTGGGGCTACTGGTTTCAGTTTAGCACTTCAGAAATCTGGTCTACAGTGCCCTTGTTTTCCACTAAGCACTGCCATCATGCCCTTGAGCAAGACTCTTTACTCCATGCTGTGGAAAGAAGACACCGTGTTCACCCAAAACATTTTCACTGGCCAATAAAATCAGAGCTGCTGGAAAACTGTTTTTGGATGAGCAAAACAGGACAGCCTACCAACACCACGATAAGTGCAGGCTATTGATTAGTCAGATAAAGAGGAGTTTAAAAGCTGCCATGGGAAAGCGCTGTGAACACTATGAGCTTCCTGCTTTTTTCCAAACCTTGCCCACTTCAAACTGTGTCCTCGCTCTGCCCTGACCTTCATGTTCCTGAGACACAACAAAAGTCCCCTTTATCTGACATGCCCATTACACATGTCAACACACAGAGCTATTTCCTGGACATGTTAGCCATCAAGATGGCAGCAGATAGTTGATGTGTGCATGTTTATATGGGTGTGTAAACAGCTCTGGACTCAAGCAGAAGATGAGAGGAGCTTTTCCCATGTGGCAAGTGGACATGGGCCCGTTTTGCAGAGAGAGACAGAGAGAGAGAGATGAAAGAAAGACACGAAAAAGAGTCTAGATCCTGCCACTGAGAATGATAAGACAGCAGCAATGGGGAGAACAGAAATTCCTAAAACTCTCAAAAGTCTTCGAATTTAAAGAGGCAGTATCATGTAAAACTGAATTTTCTTGGCAAATTTTGAGATAAAAGAGTTTAAAGCTACACTATGTAAGTTTTAAGGATCTAGTGGAGCTGCTGGAAATGTGCAACTGCATGCAACATGCAACGTTGGTTGGAGTATTAATTCATAGCACACTAACACTACATACATATGAATAACGGCACATGGGGTTATTTGTATTATGCCTGACCAGTGATCTTGGTCTCATAATTGCATTCTGATGCTATGACCCCTTTACACTACTGTGGTTACACTACACAACTGTTGCCTCAATTTTACCCCTGATTCTCAGTCTGGCTGAGTCTGTGCTAGTCTGCAGATTTTTGGGTCAGTCAGAGTTGACAGTTGGAGAGAGAATCGAGTCGTGTATGAGGGGCGTAGACTCAGATTTTTGGCCTCCCGATTTCAGACCAGTTGGAGTTTATCAAACATTTGATTTTTCAGACCCAACTCTGAGCATAATCTAGCAGTGTAAACTTGGTCAGTGACTCAATCTGAACGGATTCCTGCAACAGCCAATGAAAACTGAGAGCCAGAAAGAAGAAAATACAGCAAGTAAACAAAGAAAAATGGCGAAAAGTCACTCACATGGAAGCATTTTAATGAGCTCAGTTTAAGGTTTGAACACAATCGAGCTTATGTACATGACGATGATGATGACTACTGTGTGTTAAAAGAGTATTCAAAGAGAACTCAGGCAAAACTTAGTGAAGAACATGTCTTCCAAGGATTTAAGTGGAGGTCTCTGACACTGATGTAATAAAGAGTGCTGTTACTGAGGACAGTCACCAACAGGGTTATTAGGGTGGAAAATTATTAAATGTGTTGTTCTTGGCTGTTGGAAAGCAAATGTATCACTGCAGCTTTCCAGAGGGTCTGAAAAAGTGGCTGATTTTTTTTTTCTCACTTCTCTGAAAATTACAATCTGAACTTGCAATTTATTGCATACATATCAGCCTGGATTACCTTTGGAAAGAAGCAGAATACAGGGCAGCCTAAGAATAATCAGAGGTCATCTGCATATCAGATCTAAAGGCACAGTAACAAAATCAGCCTGTTTAATTCTAAGAGATAAAAAGAGGTTAAAAAACTTAAAATAGAAGAAACATGTAGAACATGGCCTTTTTAAATCAGGCCATGACATACATACAGTTTTAAACTTCAGTTCATCTGTTTGGAGTAATGGTGAAGCTTGGTGTGATAAAGTGAACTATTTCCAGACTTTCATGCACAGTAATTGATTTGTGTCTGGTTTGTTGTACAAATTGTGCCTAAAGGCTGAGTCAGAATTCTGCAGCTGGCTTGTTTATAAAGGCGATCATCTGTCTGTGTTGTGAATGTTTAGCGGGACAAAGCCTCTCCCTGTCTATAAACACTACTACTTCTACAGTACAGCAAGTGTCACAATATCACTCTAACGGCTTTCTGTCTGCTATTGTACTACAGATAATATCTTCCTAAACATGGTTTCTGTTTTAGTTTCAGGCTCTAGCCCCATCATTAAACCATAACAACTTACTGTCCACATGAAGCAGTTCAAACTTACTAGTAGGTGTTATTATTTTGTACTTCATCATCAGTATCCAGACGAGCCTGAGAATGTTAAATGGTTGTTTTGACTGAAAATGAAATACATGAAGGGTGGTCTCTGACCTTTGCACAGGACTGTACAACTACCCATTCTTGTTGAGTTAATAAGGAGTGTTGTTACTGGAAAACAATCTCTGGCAGGCTTACTGGAGTGGAAAGTGTGGGAAAACCAATTAAACGTTGTGCTGTTCTTGGCTGTCAGAAAGCAAATGCATCACTGCGGCTTTCTAAAGAATCCACACATGAGAAAGAAGTTGACATTCTTGAAAATTTTAGTCCAAACTTAAGTCTATTGCCTAAATTTCAGCACAGACTGCTGAAAGGCACATCATCAGAGCAGTCAGAGGAAACAGTGCAGTGAAGAGGAAGTAGTCACATACCCGCTGTAGAGTCACAGTGTACTGCTCCCACACGGTCTCCTCCATTCCTGAGCCCTAAAGAGAGAAAAATATACATTAATATCAATATGATGTTGATTTACAAATGAAACATGACTCATTGGCACTACAAACATATGAATAATGGCACATTGGGTTATTTGCATTAGCCCTGACCAGTGATCAGGGTCTTATAACAGCATTCTGATCGCATGCTGAAGGTTTACTTTTCTTTATTTAATGAGTCACAATGGAAGCCTGATAGTCAAACCAATTGCAAAAAAAAAGTGTCGTCTGTGAGCAACTTGAAGTGCCACTGAAATGATCATACGAATCTTAACTGCTCAGATTCAACCAGAAAACAATGTCATGCTTTTTGACTGGCCAAATCAGACAAGCACTGGTCAAAATGACAAATAAAGTGTAACTTTTGGACTGTACTGTCTATTAAAATCATTTTAAAATGCACACAACCGTTTTTAACAGGGGTGTGTGATGTAATTTCACTACTACTACTGACCACTGTTCAGATCCTACATTACATTGAGCAAAGCAATGGTCAGACGGAAGAGGAAGGGTGGTAGTACTGATAGCAGCTGGAAGCAGTTTCATCATTTATGAAGGTTCTTTTAAGGATGAAGGTTTTCAAAGAGCTCACTGCGATAACAGAGAGACAGAGCAACACAGAGGCCTTGAACAGGTCAAACTAAGGGTGGGCGATATGGCAAGAATACATCATGAAACTCACGAAAGTACTTCAAAATACTCTAAAATTGGTCCAAATCTGCCTTATTTATGATACATGCAGTTGTTTTGCTGATTTTCTAAGCAAAAGTAAGTTAAAATATTCTCTACAGAGAACACACTTCAGCACATTTTAATGCAAAAAATCTGTTTATATGCTGAATTCAACAAATCGAGGAGAAAACCATAAAATGTTATTCCTTGTTTTTATGTTATTGCTGTTTTATTTTTTTCTAATATGTTAAACTCAAATTAATAGAAACAGGGCACTAAAAATGACATATTTAACTTTGTTCCTTCCTGTAGAGACAATTAACAAAATTGTAATTAGACTGGGGGTGTTCAAACTTATGCTGTAGGACTGTACGTATCATAATGTTATTTATCAGGACAGTGATAACGTCATCATATTGCCCACTCTTAGTCTGGACTGATTTCATGAAAACACATTCAACCATATTGCAAACCAAAAACCTCTTTCTCTCTTCATTTCTTTTCTTCCTTTTTCTCTCATACTTAAACACACACACACACACACACACACACACACACACACACACACACACACACACACACAGCTCGAGGGTGTCACTGTTCCCAGATAAACAGACAGGCATCCGGGTCGATAGTGCTGATCACAGACCCAACATGACCCACAAACTCCACAGTCACACCAACACCATGACCCCACTGCCCACAAAGGCGCCAACAACACAAAGATAAGCACCACTGGACTTTAACACAAACATTATTCCTTTTACCCTCTAACTCAAAGCACACATTTTTATTTACGGTAACATGTTTATGTAACTTGGTTCCAGTTCCCAAAATGACCCAAACCACAGAATTCAGAAAATTGTAACCTCCACCCCAGAAATGTTTTAACCACATGACACATACAGTTACATAATCATCAGACAGCAAAACACAGGATTACTGAGATGCTCTATACGGAAGGTGCTCTGTAAAAAAGTGTGTTCATAAAGACATTTTGGCGCTAGTCTTGGGTTCCAAGAATGATTCAGTTTGCCAGACAGACGGGTAAAATTCCAGTTAGTCCTGTGCAACATCTATACTGTGTGCTATAAAAGAATGACTCTGTCAAATGAAGTTAGTATAAACCAAATAAACGAGGTCATAGCACAAACCCCCATTTAGTGTACACTTCATTAGCGCTCAAACAAATCGGCCGTTGGCTGCATGTGCAAAAAACAAGACATATACTTTTGATAGAAGGGGGTGTCAACATTATTATAAGTAACTTAAAAACTTATATCTTGGCTAAATAGTTTTACTGGACATTGCGCCCAGACGTCTAATTTAACAGACTTGCGGATTTTTTTTCTGGACAAAATCCGCATTATTGTCTAATGGAAACCCTGACCAGGAGCCACTCTTAGTGCTGAAGCAACTGAAACAGTAACAATTGCTACACTGGTTTGTGTCCCTAACTCAAAAAAGTCATCTTTTCAATCCAAACACAGCTATTACTGTTCATAGGGGTTATGAATCTGTCAAAACAGAGTTTAGAATGTGTACAGGACATATGTATTCACAGCAGGGCTCCAGACTTCAAGCCAATAAAGCCTCTTGCTTTTCTGCAGGATGCCCACATGAGCATAATAAATAACACTTTGCTTACTTCTCTGTTCTCTTTCTCTCTTCATTTCTTTTCTTCCTTTTTCTCTCAAGCTTAAAAACACACACACACACACACACACACACACAACACACCATTCACTCTTTTCTCTCAGTGTGGTGATTTAATTGGAGGATGCTGCCTGAAGATATTTGCCCCATGAATTCTAAGAAAACACACCATTAGTGTTGCCATGTGTGTGTGTGTGTGTGTGTGTGTTTAAAGTAGTCCAAACATCACACTAACACACAGGGACAAACTGAACACAGAGGCGCACACACATGCGCACACACACACACATGCGCACACACACAGCTCCCTCTCCTACTTCAAAATTGACACAGACGCAGGCAATATGACAACAGTATAGCACTGTTATTATTGTGATGCATTATGTCGCAATATGCTTTTCTACTGTGAATATTTAAAGAACACTGACCAACTGCAGGCTTCATTACAAAAAGAGCATTATTAGTTCTATATGTTGAATTCAAATCAGTGCATTCATAGTTTTTGATAGTATTTTTTAAATGCTGCACTGCTGGTTCTATTCTGTCTGTTCCAACTCATAAAAGCTTGTTTTTAAGTACTGTTATAGAAAATTTTTGCCATACTGCCCACCACTATGATGAGATGAAGGTGGCGAACAGAGTGAAAAGGAGAGAGCGGGAGAGAGAGGGAGGAAGAGGTGGAGGGGACAGAGGGAGATAAAGAGAGAGAGATAATAAAGATAACAGAGAGAGAGAGAAATGCTTTGTACAGAAATGCTGCTGTACAGCTTCAATGCTCTTACTGTGGTGTTAATGAGGCCACGTTTATATTAAATCATTACATGGAATTTTTTTTTAAAAACCAATTCAAGACACACTGATCTACAAGTGAAAGATGTTCAGAGATTCTCAACAAGCTGTTCTGAAGACGCGATCGCTGTTAAACAAGTCAGCAGAGCAGTCTGCTGTTGTGTTTGCTATGCTATTGATATGCTGTTTAAAGTCAACATTCTGACTAATATAACAGGATACTCTTCATAACACATGACAGTCACACGCCCTCACAAACAAAAATTCTAGGACAGTGTCAATAATAAACATTTAGTCCTTACTGTAACAAACCTTATTTACTTTTCGGTTTTTACTTCAAACTCCCAACAGCCTTTTAAACTGTGTAAACACCTCATGACGAATCGACTAATAGAAATAGAATAAAATGACTTGAAATAAAATTTTAACTTCAGTTCCATTAACATACACCAGGGTTAAGAACTTCTTCTATGAAGTTGCTATTTTGAAGATATGAGGTTTACACATTGTTTACTGATGATACACACACACACACACACTTTTCTAAGCCGCTTATCCTTCTGGCTCATTTGGGGGGAGCTGGAGCCTACCCCAGCGGTCACTGGGCAGAAGGAAGGAAACACCCTGGACAGATCGCCAGTCTATCGCAGGGCTCATTTGTTCATTTTCAGTCAATTTAAAGGGTCAACTTTAGTATTTATCTGAAGATTTCTATGTGATACAACATGGTTTCTGACCTGTACGCGTCTTCATTTCTCTTCACAGGCGCATTTGAACTATTTAAATCTCACAGCTTACAACTAAAGTCGGCCTTCAGTGCTGGAGATTTCTCTGCAGGTAAATATCTCTGTTCAGCTGATATCTCTCTCTCTCTCTCTCTCTCTCTCCCTCTCTCTCTCTCCTGAGAACTAACCCAAAAACCCCAGCCCGCTCCGCTGCAGCTCTCAGCTCTTACTTAAAGGAAAGCGATCAGAACAAGGTCAGGATCGCGCTGTGGTCTCCAGCGTGTCTCACTGGAGAAAGCCCCTGCAGGGCCCAAGAGCACAGACAGGCGAGTGGAGCACTGAACTGTGCTGACAATCCCTGTCACCCACCACCCCATCACCAACGGCCCTGCACCGCTGCCTCCTGCAGGACTGGGGAATAACAGTGCTGCATGCCTGTTGCCCATTTCACCAGCTGTATAAACGTCTATACCCCGATCTCCAAGAGTTAAATAAACTTCTTTAAAATAATAAAGTCAACAAAACTAAGTATGTATTGTATAGGTGTCTAAACTACTTTAAACTACTAAATTAATGCCTAAACTCCTTATACACATAAACAATAACCACAAGTCACCAAACAGCTTCAATGCGCCTTGGCATAGACTGTGGAAGGCTCTGGAACTGTACACATTCCTCTGAAAGATATTCTTTTTTTTTAATTTTCATAATCACTAAACCATTCAGGGACCCCTTGAGGCCTGTGGGTGATCCTAGACGAGACCATTCCCATCAAGACAGAAATGTTCATCATAGGATAAAGGTGATCAGTCAGAATCACTTTCTATTGGTTTGCAGTCTAAGGGAACAAGTAGACCAAAACCATGCCAGCAAAATACCTCTGACAGCATAACAGAGCCACCAGACCCCCTCATTGCATGGCTCAACCATTCATTCATGTATTATTCTCTTGGTGTATGCTGCACATGCACTTGCCCACTTGTGGAAAATATGCTGAAAGATCAATCATCTGACCAAATCACTTTTTTCTACAGATCTGTAGATCAGTGCCTGTAGTTTCAAATGTGCCTTTGTCTTAGTCATGAGGGGTTTATACACTGCACACCTACTATAACATCCCTCTCTAGTTACAGGTGGACTATTTTTGCA